CACCTCTTAGTGACAAAAGGAGAGTACGAATACTGAAAAGTCAGATTGTACCGTCTGTGTTCCCTAGCTTTGAACTACTGACAAGTCTCGTAGCTATGTCCTTTCACAGGACAGGGGAACTTACTGTACTGATAATAATATTAGACGAGCAAACGTGCTGGATAGCAACTGGCTGCGTAACGCTGAGGGGATGGAAGTAAGGAGCATGACGTATGGTACTACTTGGGAGTGTAAGATGTCCAAAGTCAGGAGATTCTAAACGTCACTAGTGTCAACAGTTGTTTATGAGAATGAAAGGATGGCCTACATCCCTGTTATGCTGTCTGCGTTTCCACAAGGTAGGGGAGCCCAGAGCTAGAAACCGGAGTCTATACAGCACAATTTTCCAAGCCAAAGAAGGGAATGGCATGTCTTTATGTCGGAGCTCAGTGGTAAAACTGGAATTGTATAAGATTTCCAGGAACTGGGGTTGGGGTATCCTGGGTTACATCTGGAGTGCATGGTCTAGGTGGGGTGAAGAGTTTGGCTGGGGAGCCTGGATTGAAATATTTTACTAGTTCTGAGTTGTGCAACATCTACATGTAGAGTAAATATGACAGTCATGTAGGTGATAGTATAACAACTGGTGGGTTGCATAGTGATGAATGGCGAAAAATTTGCTAAATGAGGGAAAGGTGAAGCTCTACTAAGAGCCAAGTGGCTCTTAGAGGCTCTAGCTATGAATTGGCCGAGAGACTGAGGCCACCGAACGATGTGGCGTGAATGTTGGCCTCTCTGTGACAAGTAAGAGATTCAGAAGAGTGACCGTAACATGTGAGGCCCTATCTAAAACCTAGAGAGGTAAGAGCAAGGTTCTAGCTATGAGTTGGACTGATGGACGAATACCACCGCATGAGGATGTGTATAGGCCTTGCATGACTAAATTACAAATATACAATAATATGGCACACACCAATACTCTCAAAAGCCATTTTGTCATAGTGGAGTGCACACAGAGGGTCATATGTAATGTATGGAGTGAGGGCCACGTGTAAGGTATCTTAAGGCCAATATTACCAAATGTAAGTCTCGAGCTGACGGGTGTATAATAGGGTGTATGTAAAGTAATGATTATGCTTAAATAAATGTAGGTTAATTGTACCAAAGTTGTAGAAATGGACTGTGAATTGAGTATGAGTGATGCTCTGGTATTCGATCTGGTTTTATTAAGTGTTCTTGCATAGCAAGACCACTTAATGTTATCTCACATATATATTATTCTTATTAAATGTTCTTGCATAGCAAGACCACTTAATGTTATCTCACATATATATTATTATTCTTATTATAGCCAAATTTGCCACCCTAACTCCTCCCACAGTTTTTACACTACATAGACAAATATTTACCAGAACGTGCAGATTGTTCCCAATCGGATTGCTATTACTTTGTGGAACGTTTCGCCGAATGGTTCACGGAATATCATCAGGACATGATTTCTAAACTGCCACCACTCCCTTATTTTCAGGCCCACCTACACAAATCTTATATCAAAACGTTCAGCTATCCCTGCTGCCACTAAACATGTCAACGGCTAAGCCATAGTCCTGATAGTTGTCACAATAGAATCATTTGTTTGCAACTAACGCCATCCATTGACATTCATTGAAACTTCACTCTACAAAGCTCAAATTTGAAGTGCAATTTCTAAACTGCGACTGTGCCTTCATTTTTAATACTTCAGAGACATACTATGCATCAAAATGTAGGTCTGGGTCTTGGGATTCTCACAATATAAAGCTCTTCGCTGTAGGATTTATAGTTTTTAAAATACGACCGTTTGAAGATGGCAACCGCCAAAATACTCTGACCTGTGCGAGGCTGCAGCAGCAAGTGATGTCATAGACAGGGCCTTTTGAACACCTGCTAATGTTTTATAAATGTATGGTTTAATGTAACTGTGCAACAACGTTGCAATTAAATGTGCTATATAAATGATAACAGTTACTCCGCCCACTCCAGTTGTAGACTACTGGTGGAGGCAAGAACACTTCACACAATTTCCCCAGAAATTGTAGCTTTTCTAGTTTATTTTTATTTTTACACTGAGTGGTGTATTTAAACGCAGTATTATAGACCAATATATAATACCCAAGCATCAGGAAGGCCCAAAATTAGGTGGTAGCTGTAAGCCCACCTGGTCTTTGTAAGTGTAGGCCTAGTGAGATTCATGTGTCAAGGTAGAGGAGTAGAAGGCCGAGAGAGCTCATTGCGATTCATGAGTAGCAGGGTAGCCATTTAAGGGAAGTATGACAATTAGCAGGTATATCAAGTGATATGATGTGGGTTGGTGAATGGTTGTTGAACTGTGGAGCAGTGATGCAAAATGGCAGACCTGCTCCATATCATAACATGTATATAACCAACTTGAATCGTGAGAGGCCCGAATGGTAGGACTGTTTATTAGAGATGATAATGATGAGACACTTGAGTAACATGACACTGATCGTAGCAGGTTGTCCACTGAGGGCCATATGAAGCGTATGTAGTGGAAGGCCTAGTGAGGGCCTAATATAAACGTATGTGTGTAATGTCCTGCATCTCTCATAGGGACTTAATAAGCAAAGTTTGTGCCTTTATTTTTCCAAAAAAGTTGTGGCTTGTTTTTTTGTTGTTGAAATTTTAAAATTATTTATTTTCATGAAAGGCTGTGCCTTTTTTTATGCAGTTACCACTCTATTAATAAGTATACATAATGTTTTCACACTGTTTAGCACACCCTTCAGCACACCCTTCACTTTCCTATGATAGTGAAGGCCAAATGATGGCCCAACATAACTATACCTAGATGCAGGGTGGCCAAATGAGGGCCTAATGAGAAGTTACAGGTGCATAATGATACAATCAAATGGGGTTTAATGAATGTTGAAATTATTTGAGTAGACCGGTTACAATGTAGTATGTTATTGGTGACACCCAAGTGGCGGACCTAGTTCGTGTCACGTCTTGATTTGAAGTGTAAAAATAACATATTTAGATGAGGGCTGTGAATATGTCTGTATAGCCATAGAACAGACATACTTATGACCAACATTATGTTAAAGTACACTTGACCAGACCTGTACATAGGGTTTTAACAATGTAAGTAATGATGGACAGTGAAATAAGATTAACAGGCAGTACCATACATGCTAACCACATGTATTGGCCCAAGATTGAGCCTGACATAAATGTAGACAGTCAGTAGCAACACCTAGCCATATGATTATTAAACAATGTAGGCCCAATAAGTGCCTGAATACCCTGAGGTATCACTATGATACCATGTATGATTAAAATAGGCCAAATTCGCGTTAGTAGTGAAAAATTGCTATATCCGAATGAGGGCAGAATACTGACTGAACTGCTAATGCCACCCTAGATAGTGAAAGTCTGAACATGGGGCGAATACATGTTGAATGTCAGGGACAGCGTGGCCCAACGTGGGCTGAATGAACAAACTTACGGTTTTATTGTAATAAACACACAAACAGCAACAGGAAAAGCCACGGCTGGGCCGGACGCGGCAGTGCCCCATGAGCTTCTCAGCCCAGAGGAGGTCTGTCTATTTATAGGCCGATAACTCCTCCCACAATTACGGGCTTTCCCTAGCTGCTCAGCCTTCTCATATATATATATATATAGTACACTTGATATATATAAAGCTGCTACCCTCTCAGCCCCCATAAAACTGAGTCACTATCCTAACCCACAAACTCCTCATGCTACACAAACATCCTGTGGTATTTATTAATGAGCACCTGGCTTGGCATATTTAATGGGCAAACTGATTGTGCCATGTTCTGTGGGGGCAAAGTGACACTGTTCTCCTATTTTTTTATTTATATATATTTTTTATTATTATTTGTTGTGCTTGTGGTGTGCCGTGAAATTCTTGGCAGAGTCACAATGTGCCTTGAGTTAGAAAAGGTCGATGAGCACTGACATAGATATTTCAAGACTTATTATTTTTGCTTTATTGAATACATTTTTTATTTCTTTTACATTTTACAAACCAGCAAACAGAAACAATGCCACTTAATTTCCACAAAGCACTACCCTACTGCCCAATCTGGTTCCTTCTAACTTAATAGCATGTTTTTCCAGCTGTTTGACATCTCACTCAATTACCTCCTCGTTCCCTTCACACGTTACCAGTTGCTGCAATTTTCCTTTTAATTCTCTCTGGCCATCATCTCTTGTCTCAACTTTCTTTTTTAACCTTCAGATTGTAAACTCAGGGGCTTTCCAGCAATTTATCCTGTATAAAAGAACTTCAATGTACAGATCTCAATGACAGATCCCTTTACTTTTTTTTTTTTATATATATAGGTCGCTTTATATTTTCCTGTCTTTTTCCCCAATTGTACAGCGCTTCAGAATATGTTGGTGCTTTATAAATGTCAGTAATAATAAACCTTTTGTTTTCTTGACTAAATTTGTTTTGGAAAAATAAAAATGAACAATCAAAAAAAAAAAAAAATCAGACTGTTCACCCATCTTAAGTATTAATGCGATTTGAAGAATACCCATTTTCTAAGCTTTGGGATGGACTACATAGCAAATGTGGCAGGGAGTCTATAATCCCTAACATATCGCCCATATTCTCCCGTGACAAACACTACAACAGTCAAATCATTTATTTTTTCCTTCCTGATGCTTTATGCACGGTGTAAATATAAATGACCTTACCATTACATAGTACATTCTACAGTTCTTCCAATACATAATAATTGTTACTGCCATTTTATAATGCAGAATCTTTCACATGCACAAAATGAAAGAACAAAAAATGGCATTTCCATCACTCATTTCCTGTAAGGTTTTCCTTCTGGCTCAGACACTCAGGGTGAAGGAGATGATTTTTAATAAAGATACGAATCTTCAAGCCTATTATTATTTTTGTAGCTAGAAAGCGGCTTTAACATTCTCTCTCCTCCCACCACTCCACACTCCCCCTCTCCTCTCCTGCTGCTGTGTGTGTGCGTACTCTGTTGCACACATAATTGTGGAGCGCAGGCGCACACATGCCCTGCAGATCTTGTTTGGAATAGCACCCTTGTTACTCAAGGTAAGAATAACCTCTTCATTGCCACTTGGGGACTAAAGCAAATAAAAAGACAAAAAAAAAGGGGTTTTAAAAATATCCTCCAAAATCCATTTATATCTATATTTCCAATCTAAAACAATGGATTCAAGTACCTCGAATCACCGGGGATAAAAGGAAGGATTTCAATACATTTTCATTCTATAATAATTTTGGAAACCTGCAGAGGTGCAGCATGAGTTGGGGAATGCCAGATACAGTGTCCCTAGAGCAGGCTGTGTTTTTGCTTGTGTGCATTTTTTTTTTTTGTGATACGAAAAGAGATCTGATTGCTCATCATCTCTATTTCTTCTCTCATTTCTATTCATTTCTGTCAAAATCTCCCATTTCCTTTTCATTGTTATTGCTTTTACATTCCCTTCTTTTGTTTCCCACCAGATGTATTTTTTTCATTGCCCTACATTTGCCCCATCTCACTCCCCATTTAACCCCTTCTTCCCTTGCATGTCTGTAATCTGATCTGCTAATTATTTAACCCTTCTTCCTATTGCGCTTTCTCCGTATAACCAATTTACCCAATGTATCCCTCTGTTTACCTGTAAAAGTCAAACCTTCTCTACCTTTAACATGTATTTTTAGTGCATCCATTGACACCTGTCTCTACTCACTTCCATGCCCTCTATCTTCCCCATTCTGCTTTCACCCACTTTCCTAGGAGACAGACACCATGGATTTGATAAATAAAATGAAAAGCGATGCAGAGACTGATGTTCCCTCAAGCCAGGGATTCAGAGAGCAATCTGTACTAATGGTCTCTTCCACTCCACCAGGTAACTTACAGTAAATCAAGAAAAACATGGAAGAATATCAGAATAATTCTAAACGGAATTATATTTAAACACAATTTTTTACAACCCAAGGCAAAAAAATCATTCAAACTTGTAGGGATGCGTCTAGCAGTACGCTGCTCTCAGATTAGGTGCTCAGTGCATTAACGATTTGTATCCAAGAAAGGGGGAGTAGTACACTCTTTATGGTGTAATAATGAGGGTTCCACTGACCTCTAGATCCAAAGTCCAGAAATATGGTAAAACTAGTAATTATGGTCCTACACAATTTCTTGGTAGCCCGCAGTCCATTTTATTTGCTATCAGTGCATAGATAATGGCAACAGTTTGACCAGTCTGGTGGCCTTTGGAACACACTGGGTACGATATCTGTGCCTCCTACATGACTGATGTATGCTTTATAGTACACTTTATATTCCATTATGTGCCCTCATGCCAATATTTTGATAATATGAGAGCTAGAACGTAAAATGTGTATAAATTCATCCCTGAATCTCCATTTGATAGCCAGCTGATGTAAGTGACTAAGGCCCAACATTTGTCTAAATCAGTGGTTCCCAAACCAGTCATCATGGCCCACCAACAATCCAGGATTTATGTATTTCCCTTTTTTAATCGGATGGAGATACTGCCAAAACCTGGACTGTTGGTGGGTCGTGGGGACTGATTTGGTCTAAATAGAGCAAGACGTATGTGGCTACTTGTTTGTTTTTGTTTTTTGACTTCAGTGCTCAACACATTAGTGTACCCTAATACTTGACTTTAAACAGTTAAAGGGACACTATAGTCACCAAAACAACTTTAGCCTAATGAAGCCGTTTGGGTGTATAGATCATGCCTCTGTAGTTTTACTGCTCAATTTACTGCCATTTAGGAGTTAAATCACTTTTGTTTCTGTTCATGCAGCCCTAGCCACACCTCCCCTGGCTGTGATTGACACAACCTGAATGAAAACAAAATAGTTTCATTTTCAATCTGATGTAACAAACTTTAAACGTTTTTATCTCCTGATTTGTAAATTGATCTTTAATTACCTTCAAGAGGCTCCTCCTGGGTCTAGCAAGCTATTAACAGAGCAGGAGATGAGAAATTCTAAGATAAACAGAATTTAAAATAAAGGAAGTGTAAACATTAGATGACTCTTTACAGGATGTGTTTAGGAAGGCTGTGCAAGTCACATGGAGGGAGGGGTGTCTAGGGTTCTAGAAACAAAGTGATTTAACTTCTAAATGGCCAAGAATTGAGCAGTGAGACTGCAGGGGCATAATCTTTACAGCAAAACCCTGTCATTAAGCTAAAGTTATTCTGGTGACTATAGTGTCCCTTTAAGATGGTTGCATAAGATATATGATGTAAAATAATTTCTAAGCAGTTCCCCATTATGTTCTTTTTATAAACATCCTTATTTAAAATATACAGCAGGTGAACCTATACTATTAATGTGACTTTTCACGGTAGCTGTGAAGTTACCACCTACAACCTCAACAGACAAACAGAGCCCTCTGGTGGATGAAAAGAGGAATGCAAGAGTGATGGAGCTTATCACAGTCACCGTGAATCCCCAGGTGAGAGGAAATCTATTTATGAATATTTTAACAAGCCCCACTACTGATCAATTTTGTTATGTGGAATGGAAAACCACCCTCTGATTGTGATTTCCTGGGTCGGGTTTGCATGATTTTAACACAGGGGAGTTTTATCAAGTTGCAAAGAGCAAAATGTTGAGAAACATTCGATTGACACCTTTATTTTGATAACCCACCACGACATGTCAACTACTCATGTCTTAACATTCAAAGAACTCTGTCAAACACTTTTGCACACTTCATCTCACAATTGTACATGAATGTGTCAGACATTCTTGATAATTATCTCTGGTGCCTCTGGTCACATATCATGAGACTCCTACCAAATTCAGAACAGCTGCTAGGCAGGCTACATCTTGTTTTACATCATGTATATATTTCAGTCAGTTTACATTGCTGTAATTCTTGTATGGCCTATAAAAAACACCTGAAAACAAGGCACAATCTATAAAGAACTATAAAAGGGTGCAAACCAAGTGTAGACGATGATATAAACAATCCACCCTTTCAAACAGAACTCAGTTCAAACAAAATCCTTCCTCTTTACCATAACACAACCAACAAAGTTCATAAAGTTAAACTATTGCATCTCCAGAACATCTATGCAACTTTATTTTCTGGAGACGCTAATGGACTATATTCAGTGAGGGAAAAAAGTATTTGATCCCCTGCTGATTTTGAACGTTTGCCCACTGACAAAGAAATTATCAGTCTATAATTTCAATGGTAGGTGTATTTTAACAGTGAGAGACAGAATAACAAAAAACAAATCCAGAAAAACACATGTCAAAAAAGTTATAAATTGAGTTGCATGTCATTGAGTGAAATAAGTATTTGACCCCTTCGACTTGGTGGCAAAACCCTTGCTGGCAATCACAGAGGTCAGACGTTTCTTGTAGTTGGCCACCAGGTTTGTACACATTTCAGGAGGGATTTTGTCCCACCCCTCTTTGCAGATCCTCTCCAAGTCTTTAAAGTTTCGAGGCTGACGTTTGGCAACTCGAACCTTCAGCTCCCTCCACAGATTTTCTATGGGATTAAGGTCTGGAGACTGGTTAGGCCACTCCAGGACCTTAATGTGCTTCTTCTTGAGCCACTCCTTTGTTGCCTTGGCTGTGTGTTTTGGGTCATTGTCATGCTGGAATACCCATCCACAACCCATTTTCAATGCCCTGGCTGAGGGAAGGAGGTTCTTACCCAAGATTTGACGGTACACGGCCCTGTCGATCGTCCCTTTGATGTGGTGCAGTTTTCTTGTCCCCTTAGCAGAAAAACACCCCCAAACCATAACGTTTCCACCTCCATGTTTGACGGTGGGGATGGTGTTCTTGTAGCATTCCTCCTCCTCCAAACACGGCGAGTTGTGTTGATGCCAAAGTGCTTGATTTTGGTCTCATCTGACCACAACACTTTCACCCAGTTCTCCTCTGAATCATTCAGATGTTTGATGATAGATTGCTTTGTGGACAGACGTCTTACAGGTAACGATCTGAGATTAGGAGCACTCCCTTTAAGAGAGTGCTCCTAATCTCAGCTCTTTACCTGTATAAAATACACCTGGGAGCCAGAAATCTTGCTGATTCATAGGGGATCAAATACTTATTTTACTCATTGACATGCAAATCAATTTATAACTTTTTGGACACGCGTTTTTTCAATTTTTTTGTTTTTGTTATTCTGTCTCTCACTGTTAAAATACACCTACCATTAAATTTATAGACTGATACTTTCTTTATCAGTGGGCAAACGTTCAAAATCAGCAGAGGATCAAATACTTCCCCCCGCACCCCCACTGTATTAACATGATTTGGGAGTGTTAAGCATCAAAATTAAAGCACGGATAGTGGAGAAAACCTTGGTAGCATTGACAGGCAATGTGACATACACTCAGTATATGAAAGCATAGAACATGATATTGGCCCATCTAGTCTACACAGAATACAATTAAGATGATGAGTTTACTTGTTTGCTCATCAAGGTAGCCTAATATAGTGTAAGGTGGCCTTCATGGTCTATATTTTTGTTGCTGGAGCCCAAGTCACAAAGATATGCCATCTATGGTGGCTGAAGATGGAGACAGATCCTAGTAGTGAATAATACCACCAATGGAAATCTAGAAAAGTAGTTAAAGGATCACTATAGGGTCAGGAAAACAAACATGTATTCCTGACCATATAGTGTTAAAACCACCAGCTAGCCCCCCTGGGCCCCTCATGTCTCCATAAATATAGTAAAAATCTGTATTCAAGCCTGAAGCTGCTGGCTCTGCCCTGTCTGCCTCAGAAAAAACAAGCAGTCTGCTGACATCATCAGAAGTGGTAGCCTGATCCAATCACAATGCTTCTCCATAGCTGAGACTGACAAAGAGGCAGATCAGGGGCAGAGCCAGCATGATTCAAACAAAGCCCTGGCCAATCAGCATCTCCTCATAGAGATGAATTGAATCAATGAATCTCTATGAAGAAAGTTCAGTGTCTGCATGCAGAGGGTGGAGACACTGAATGTTTGGATGCATTTTAGGAAGCCATGACCCAGAAAGGATCTCTAACAGCCACCTGAGGAGTGGCCAGTGGAGTTATCACTAGGCTGTAATGTAAACACTGCATTTTCTCTGAAAAGACAGTGTTTACAGCAAAAAGCCTGAAGGTAATGATTCTACTCACCAGAACAAATTCAATAAGCTGTAGTTCTGGTGACTATAGTGTCCCTTTAACAGTCCAAATGTCAGAAGACTAAATAAGATGAAAGTCATGGTCTGTGTAAGCCAAATAAGGGAAGAGGAACTGCAAGCAGTGAAATCAAGGAATCGAACAAGGTGCGTGGCACTGGTCAACTCATGGTTGGAGTTCTGAGAGCTCTAGAAAAGTAAAGTGATGACTTGACTCTTTTAAAAATCATTACAGGTCAGTTACACACAGAAAATGGGGTGCAATAAGACTTGTCATGACAGAATGATAGAGATAAATTGATACAAAACATCTTAAAGAAATTTGTAGCAATATAATCTTATCGTAAAAACAATACACCCTTTCAAATAGAATTAAATTCAAACAGAATCCATCCCCTTTACCTTAACACAACTAACGGGATTCATAATCCAAGACTCCAGAAAATAAAAGAAATCTTTGAATAAAAGTACAGACTGTGTCTAACAGAATCTCATAAAGGAAATAGACAAACTTTATCTTGATCTCCTGAAATGGAAATAAAGACGTTCAGAACCTCAACTGAGTACAACGCAGAGTGTGGACCGAAATAGGTTGTGGACGAGTGGGGTTCAACTTTGCCAAAAAATCATTTGTATACTTATCTTTGTATGGAGAAGTCTCAAACCAATCAAAATAAAATAACATTGCCAAGCAGGTAACCATCTGAATGAAGGTCAGGGGACAGGTGGCTTTCTATTGCACTATAATTGCCTGCCTACAAGTATAGAAACTTAATAATATCATCAGCAAGTTCAACAAGGTTTATCTTACCACATTATTAACACAATATGTGCTAAAAAATGACACAGGATATGTAGATTATGTGGGAACACAGGGCACAACACACTGCTCTCAATGATTGTACTTGGTGGAGATTGATTCGACAACTAAGGATGCCCATGTCATAAATGGTTCATTATAATAAACCAAAAATGGCTCTAAGCATGCATACTTTATTCTATGTTTTGGTTTAACTACTTTTCAATATGTCATAGCTTACATTCTCCATAGCAAGCAACCATTTTTCTTTCAATTCTTGTTAGATGGTTTGGTAATCAATGTTCCATAACCTTTGTTGTTGATGCAGAATGATTTTACAAATCATAATCCCTCGTTTTGCTAGAATGGTGTGCCCATCACATTATTGTCACTTTAGGGCTTTGCTAGCATAGTTTTTGTTAGTGTTGTTGTCTGTGGAAGTTGTTTAGATGTGGGCAAAGTTTCCCATAGTTGTGCATCATTGACCTGATTTTTGGTGCAATTTCATCACTGGTCAAAATATTTTGCTTATTACTCTTACACAATAGTATTTCTATGCCCTGTAGCCTGAACGTTCTTGTTTGTTCCGTTACAGTTCCGTGTCAGCCGATTGGATCTCAAAGAGGAGCTTCCCAAAATCCCCAAAGAAGAGACCCCTGATGAGCCCAATGATAATGACAGAAAGGTGCCTTATCAAGGTATAACATGACACACTTTATATAGTAGAATTGCACATCTGGCTTGCAGGACTTGTTTCTTGTAGATTGTGTGTTTGAGTTCCTGTGTCACTGAGAATTTCTGTTTCTTCACAGATTCAGAAGGGAGAGACAGTCCCACCGTTGACCCCTCCATGTGTTTGTGTGATACTTGTGGTTGTCGCCACATGGTAGGAGGCACATGTGAGACCTGCGGTGATATCTGTCACTTCAGAGAAAGGTAAGTCTGAGAGTTGCATGTCAGTGTGACTTGGATACGGAGTAAGGAAGTCAGTGTCAACCTGTCCCTGGTTTCTGTGGTGTCCACAGCAAGTCCCTGATTCTGGAGACATTACCAGGTTTTGGGGTTAGCAGCGAGGTCCCTAAACCAGTCAAGAAACGGAGACCCAAGGAATATCAAAGTCCAGCAGAGTCGGAGCTTGACCAACTGGTGAGAACAGAATTGTTTGCTCATTGTTACTATATTTCTTATGTCTGCAAAGTGTAATGAAGGAGGTTGTTAATAATTGCCAAATACAACCTCTTTCTGTGCATGTACTACTACATGACCAGGACTTTTACCAGAAAGTGTGTAGTAGATACAGATTACTGATTGAAGGATGTATTATGTAGTGTATGCAGATAGCTGATTGAAGGATCAGGTGTATAGTGTATACAGATTACTGATTGAAGGATACAGTGTGTAATGTATGCAGATAACTGACGAATCGGGTGTATAATGTATACAGATTACAGAATGAAGGATGTAGTGCAAGCATGTCAAACTCAAAGGCTAACATGGGCCAAGTAAACAAGGTTTAAGTTTATGTGGGCCGCAAAAAAACAAAAATTTAAGTTTTTATAAAAAACCTAGTAGAGCTTAAAAGTAAACAAAAGAGCAAATTTATTTTAAGGAGACGCGCATTTGCATATAACCAATGGTCAGTCCAACTACCGTGACCTATTAAGAAAAGTTTGGTAATGGGACTGAAATGGTGAATGTATGCTGTTGCACAGCTGTAAAAAATTAATTACGTTATCTTGTTGATTTTAAAGTCCTATGAGTGTGTTCTTCACTTTGGCTGAAATCATCAAACTTGATGAGCTCAGCCAATCCAATGGTTTCCCATAGGAAAGCATTGGGAGGCTATTGTGCATGTGTGGCAAAGAGCTGCGCGGCCAATCAGCATCTTCATAGGGAGCGTTCAGCGCCTCCATGCAGACCCAATCTAATACACTGCCCCCTCCCCCCAATCTAATACACTGCCCTCCATCTAATACACTGCCCCCTCCACCCAATCTAATGCACTGCCCTCCATCTAATACACTGCCCCCTCCACCCAATCTAATACACTGCCCCCTACTCCCATTCTAATACACTGTCCTTCATCTAATACACTGCCCCCTCCACCCAATCTAATGCACTGCCCCCATTCTAATACACTGCCCCCTCCACCCAATCTAATGCATTGCCCCTTAATCTAATACACTGCCCTACTCGCATCCCTCTAATTTAATGCACTGCCCTCCCTCGCCCTCCCCCATTCTAATACATTGCCCCCAAATCCAATACACTGCCCCCTCTCCGCCCACTCTACTACACTTCCCCCTCCACCCATTCTAATACACTGCCCCTCCTCCCTCCCACTCTAACTGAATACACAGCCCCCTCCCCCATTCTAATACACTGCCTCCCTTCACTTTAATACACAGCCCGCCCCATTCTAATACACTGCCCTCCTCCTCCACTCTAATTGAATACACAGCCCCCCTCCCCATTCTAATACACTGCCCCTCCTCCCTTCACTTTAATTGAATACCCTCCTCCCTCCACTTTAATTGAATACACAGCCCCCTCCCCCATTCTAATACACTGCCTCTCCTCCCTCCACTTTAATTGAATACACAGCCCCCTCCCCCATTCTAATACACTGCCCCTCCTCTCTCCACTTTAATTGAATACACAGCCCACTCCCCCATTCTTATACACTGCCCACAAATTCAATATACTGCCCCCAAATCCAATACATTCAGGGCCGGCCTTAGGGGTGTGCGAGCTGTGCAGCCACACAGGGCGCCATGGCAACAGGGGCGCCCTGGCAGCTGACACAGCTCACACATGGCCGGATGTGAACTGTGTGCACCTGCTACCCGGGTGGAGGATTTCATTTTTCACCACCAGGGTAGCCGACTATCCCAAAACACCCATGTGTGGGTGGGCGGAGCTTACCAAGTGGTGGGCGGAGCTAATGCAGAGGCAGGGCCATACATGGCAGCACAGGCGTAGCTGCGCGGCCAATCAGCATCTTCATAGGGAGCGTTCAGCGCCTCCATGCAGACCCAATCTAATACACTGCCCCCTCCCCCCATTCTAATACACTGCCCTCCATCTAATACACTGCCCCCTCCACCCAATCTAATACACTGCCCCCTACTCCCATTCTAATACACTGCCCTTCATCTAATACACTGCCCCCTCCACCCAATCTAATGCACTGCCCCCATTCTAATACACTGCCCCCTCCACCCAATCTAATGCATTGCCCCTTAATCTAATACACTGCCCTACTTTCGCATCCTCTAATTTAATGCACTGCCTCCCCCTCCCTCCCCATTCTAATACATTGCCCCCAAATCCAATACACTGCCCCCTCCCCCACTCTACTACACTTCCCTCCACCCATTCTAATACACTGCCCTCCTCCCTCCACTCTAATACACAGCCCCCATTACACTACCCTCCTCCCTCCACTCTAATACACAGCCCCGCCCCCATTCTAATACACTGCCCTCCTCCTCCACTCTAATTGAATACAGCCCCTCCCCATTCTAATACACTGCCCCTCCTCCCTCCACTTTAATTGAATACACCCCTCCCCATTCTAATACACTGCCTCTCCTCCCTCCACTTTAATTGAATACATCCCCATTCTAATACACTGCCCTCCTCTCTCCACTCTAATTGAATACAGCCCTCCCCCCATTCTAATACATTTAAAATCCAATACATTGCCCCCTCTCAGCCCACTCTACTACACTTCCCCTCCACCCATTCTAATACACTGCCCCTCCTCCCTCCACTCTAATTGAATACACAGCCCCTCCCCCATTCTAATACACTGCCCCTCCCTCCCTTCACTTTTAATTGAATACATAGCCCCGCCCCCATTCTAATACCTGCCCCTCCCTCCCTCTAATTGAATACACAGCCCCCCCCCATTCTAATACACTGCCCCTCCTCCCTCCACTTTGGTGAATACACAGCCCCCTCCCCATTCTAATACACTGCCTCTCCTCCCTCCACTTTAATTGAATACACAGCCCCCTCCCCCATTCTAATACACTGCCCCTCCTATCTCCACTTTAATTGAATACACAGCCCACTCCCCCATTCTAATACACTGCCCACAAATTCAATATACTGCCCCCTAATCCAATACATTCAGGGCCGGCCTTAGGGGTGTGCGAGCTGTGCAGCCACACAGGGCGCCATGGCAACAGGGGCGCCCTGGCAGCTGACACAGCTCACACATGGCCGGATGTGAACTGTGTGCACCTGCTACCCGGGTGGAGGATTTCATTTTTCACCACCAGGGTAGCCGACTATCCCAAAACACCCATGTGTGGGTGGGCGGAGCTTACCAAGTGGTGGGCGGAGCTAATGCAGAGGCAGGGCCATACATGGCAGCAGAGGCGTAGCTAAGTGCGCCCAGAAGCCGGTGTTGGTGCTGCACAGGAAAAGGGAAGCAGGAAGAAGTACCTGCTTCCCCAACAACTCCAGGAGCTGTACTGCCTCCACTTCTCACTTACAATTACTGAACATAATAGAGAGAGGTAACCTTCCATTTGGGTATGTGTGTGTCTGTAACTGTGTGTGTGTGTGTCTGTAACTGTGTATGACTGTAACTGTGTGTGTGTCTGTAACTGTGTGTGTGTTTGTAACTGTATGTGTGTCTGTAACTGTGTGTGCGTGTGTTTCTGTAACTGTATGACTATAACTGTGTGTGTGTGTGTCTGTAACTGTGTGTGTCTGTAACTGTGTGTGACTGTCTGACTGTCTGTGTGTGAGAGACTGTCTGTGTGTGTGTGTGTGTGAGACTGTCTGCCTGTGTGTGTGTGACTGTAACTGTGTGTGACTGCAAGTGTGTGTGTATTACTAACTGTGTGTTTGACTGTTTCCTATACAAACACTACACCCCTATACACACACACACACACTATACATGGATGAAGAAGGGGGGAGGGCCCCATGGCAACAGGGGCGCCCTGGCAGCCGACACAGCTCACACATGGCCGGATGTGAACTGTGTGCACCTGCTACCCGGGTGGAGGATTTTTTATTTTTCACCACCCGGATAGCCAACTATCCCAAAACACATATGTGCGGGTGGCCGGGGCTTACACACACACACTATACATGGATGAAGATGGGGGGGCGCTGTCAGGATTTTTCGCACAGGGCACCTAAAGGCCTAAGGCCGGCCCTGAATACATTGCCCCCACTCCCATCACTCTAATTTAATACACTGCCCTCCCTCATCCAAAACTCTCTGCTCAGCAGAACGCCAGCCACTCTGCTCTCTTGTGACCATGGGAGGTAAGACACGAATCAAACAGGAAATATCTTTCCTGTCTTGCGGCTGGTCACAGCCCCAGCACAAAGTGGCCCCAGGGCAGGTGGGACGCAAATATATTCATTGTGTGCCGCAGGTTTGACATGCTTGATGTAGTACATACTGATTACTGATTGAAGGATACAGTGTGTAGTGTGTACAGGTTACTGATTGAAGGATGATATATATATATAGTGTATGCAGATATCTGATTGAAGGATCGGGTGTATACAGATTACTGGTTATAGGATGTTGTATATACAGATTATTAATTGAAGAATGAGGTGTATAGTGTATACAGATTACTGGTTATAGGATGTTGTGTATACAGATTACTAATTGAAGAATGAAGTGTATAGTGTATACAGATTACTGGTTATAGGATGTTGTGTATACAGATTACTAATTGAAGAATGAGGTGTATAGTGTATACAGATTACTGATTATAGGATATTGTGTATACAGATTACTAATTGAAGAATGAGGTGTATAGTGTATACAGATTACTGATTGAAGGAAACTGTGTAGTGTATACAGATTACTGATTGATATTATGTGTAGTGTATATAGATTACTGATTGAAAGATACAATGTGTAGTGTGATGATTACTGATTGAATGATATTATGTGTAGTGTATATAGATTACTGATTGAATGATATTGTGTAGTGTATATAGATTACTGATTGAAGGATACATTGTGTAGTGTATATAGATTGCTGATTGAATGATATTATGTGTAGTGTGTATATATATTACTGATTGAAGGATACAATATTTAGTGTATATAGATTACTGATTGAAGGATACAACGTGTAGTGTATATAGATTGCTGATTGAATGATATGTGTAGTGTATATAGATTACTGATTGAAGGATACAATGTTTAGTGTATACAGATTACCGACTGAAGGATACAATTTGTAGTGTATACAGATTACCGACTGAAGGATACAATTTGTAGTGTATACAGATTACCGACTGAAGGATACAATGTGTAATGTATATAGATTACTGATTAAAGGATATTTGTAGTGCATATATATTAATGATTGAAATATGAAGTGTATAGTGTATACAGATTACCGACTGAAGGATATGTTGTTTAGTGTTTACAAATTTCTAATTGAAGGATGTAGTGTATACAGATTACTGATTTAAAGACGCAGTGTGTAGTTTATACAGGTTACTGTTTAAAGAATGTTGTGTATATAGATCACTGATTGAAGGATGTTGTGTGTACAGATTACTGATTGAAGGATGAGGTGTATACAGATTACTGATGGAAGGATGTTGTGTATACAGATTCTTGATTGAAGAATGCAATATATACAGATTACTGATTGAACGATGACGTGTATACAGATTACTGATGGAAGGATGTTGTGTGTACAGATTACCGATTGAAGGATGAGGTGTATACAGATTACTGTTGGAAGGATGTTGTGTATACAGATCATTGATTGAAGGTTGTGGTGTATACAGATAAATGAATGAAGGATGCTATGCATACAGATTACTGATTGAAGGACATAGTGTACACATATTACTGATTGTAGGGGACAGTGTTTAGTGTTTACAAATTACTCATTGATAATTACTGATTTAAGGATGCAGTATGTAGTTTATACAGATTACTGATTGAAGGATCAGATGTATAGAGATTACTGATTGAAGGATGTTGTGTATACAGATTACTGATTGAAGGATGTTGTGTATACAGATGACTGATTATTATTATTATTTTATTATTTATATAGCGCCAACAAATTAAGTAGCGCTGTACAATGGGTGGACTAACAGACACATAATTGAGATCAGACCACTGACGTACAGGAACAGAGGGGGTTGAGGACCCTGCTCGATGAGCTTACATGCTAGAGGGAGTGGGGTATAGTGACACAAAGGGTTAAAGTAGGGGAATTAAATAGTTTGTTACAGAAGGGTTTATTGAGTGCTTGGTTGGTCATTTTTGACGGGTGCAGGGGACATTGTGTATACAGATTACTGTATAGTGTATACAGATTACTGATTGAAGAATGTTGTGTATACAAATAACTGAATAAACGAGACATTGCGTAGCTAGTTCTGCTTTTATATAAAGCTGGTGTTATTTACAGATTTCATATAAATGTTAATTACATACTGTGTAAATACTTCCTGTCAGTGGTGCAGAGTGAGCTTTTAGCAGGGTATCATTCAATAGCAATATCCTTTAATCTCAATTAAAAGATGCAGTGTGTAGTCTACATGGCTCTAGGAGGATGCTGTGTTGTGTACAGTATTGTCAGATGTGTATCTTGAAGACATTTCTGAATAGGAGAAGCAGAGAGAACGACAACCCATAGGAGACTGTGAAGAGTCAAAACTTAGGACCCCCGAGAGGGAGGACTGGCTCCGGAGAGATACACGTGGTAATTATGTGACTCATATGTCATGTTCACTTTCTTTGTGATTATTGTTGACTGTTTTCGTTGCTGTCCTCTACCTTACCTTTGTCCACACAGTTTCAGGAGATGAGATTGGGGAGTCCTGGTCATGGACGGTCTACCTTGAGGATCAGAAATGTGTCGCTGCGCCGCTGAATCTCTTTCGGGAGGTAAGTTTGTTAGTGAGAAGCTCATACAACATTGTCCTCTGTATTTAGTGCAACATTACAGGAGCAATAATCTACTTACAAACAATAATGGATCATACACAAAATTAGAATTTGACATTGCTTTAATACAGAGAAACTCATTCATGTCTTAATTCGAAAAATAGGATAGACTTCTACACCCCTTGCAATAACAATGCATATTTTATACACATTCTAATCCAGGGCACTCAAGGAACTTAGCTCACATTGGGGTGTTTTTGAGAACATATTTATTGTAAGATGTAAAGGAACAAATATAAACACACATCATCAGCACTCCAGCTCTCAAGAGTGTTGCTGTGTGTCAGTGTGTGAGTGTTGCAGTATCAGAATGTGTGTCTGTCAGTGAGTGTGTGTGTCAGTGTGTGTCAAATCAGTGAGTGCCGTGCCGGTCTCGTCGCAGCTGGCCCTGCCTCCATGTCTGAGATCCTCAATCTTGATGATTTCCACTAATCCAGTGCTTTCCCATAGGAAAACACTGGGAGGCTAAATGCCACGCTGCGCCAATTAGCATCTCCTCATAGAGATGAATTGCATCAGTGCATCTTTATGGGGAGCATTAGGCATCTCCATGCAGAGCTTGGAGACACTAAATGTAGGACCCAGGACACAGCTCAAGAGGCCGTCTGAGTGACTGTCATTAAAAGTGTTACTAGGCAGCAATGTAAACACTTCCTTTTCTCCAAAGTATTTACATTGAAAATCCTGCAGGGACAAGCTACAGACACCAGAACAACTACATTAAGCTGTAATGGTTCTGGTGACTATAGTGTCCCTTTAAAAAATACATTTTTGACATTGAAAAACCTGACTCCTAACGTTTTTAGCTGGTTCCTAGATTCCAAGCAAATTTCTCAAGCACTGATATAGCTCAAGAGTTGTCTTATTTAGGCATTCAGGAAGACCTCACTAACATATTCTAACATAGTCTGGTTTGTCAAAACTGCTTTTCAGGCTGTGTGATGCATACCTGTCCATTTGGGTAAGGGCTTTAAACTCAAAGGAGTGTATGACCATATCTGGTAAGGAGTAGATGTTCCAGCCCACAGAGCATAAGTGATTACCATAGACGTGCGTGCGCATGGGGTGTGCCTGGGCACACCCTAATCCCCGCGGCCTGCCTATGGACTGAGACCGGCAGGAGAGATCTCAGGAGCGCCGGCTCTGCTCTAAGCCTCCATAGGCCGGTGGGGAGATCAAAGATCTACCTCACCGGCCCACAGCAGCATGGTGGAGGCAGGAGAGGACCCAGGGAACTCTAGCCAGCAGCTCCACCGGGTTCCTCTTGCGAGATCTGAGCATTGCCGCGGCAAAGCTCAGATTTCGCGAGAGTGAACTCTAGCCCCGCAGGCTAGAGTTTATTCTCCACTGGACCACCAGGGATGGCACATGGCAGCAAGGATCCCCATAAGGTAAGAAGGGAGGGGGATATTTACTAATCTGCCCCCACAATCCCTCCAAACATACAGCAAAAACACACACATACAACACACACACAGCAACTACACAAATACAGCATCTTCACACTCAGACAGCACCCTCACACACACAGTACACTAACAGCACCCTCACAAACACACACACACAGCACCCTCAAACACATAGCACCCTCACACAGCACACTAACATGACCCTAACAAACACACACACACAAACACCCTCACACACACTACCAGCACCCTCACACACAGCACACAAACAGCACACACACAAACACCCTCACCCACGTAGCACACTACCAGCACCCTCACACACACATCACACTAACCGCACCCTCACACACAGCACCCTTACACACACACACAGCACACTAACAGCACACACAGCAGTGTATGTATGTATGTATGTGTGTGTGTGTGTGTGTGTATGCCTATATATATACACACACATACATACATACATATATATACATGCGGCGTGTGTTTGTGCTTTAGGATGCACAATTTCTCTTCTTTTCAAAGAAAAGTCCTTCTCTCAAATCTATTTCATCCTGTGCTGACACAGGGATACATATGGGGGATTCCTAAATCTGTGTGAATGTGATTGACAAATATATAAATTATTCATTAAAGTACTAGCAATATCTCCGTATGCAGGAGGTATGCCTTTAGGAATACTGGAAGAACCTTGAAATATTGAGTTCCAAGGGATCATGTCAATTGCTTTCTCAATCTCTATGATAGTTGCACCAGAAGTAGGAAATCAAGATTTCCTAGCAGGAAATCCAGACTTTCTGAATTGAACTATTTATCTTCAGGGTGAACTTTTTGGCAACCATAAAGTGACAGGCAAAGTGAAAATATGTGATGTGCAGAGCCTTCTAAAGCGTGCGATTCTTTGGTGAAGGCTTTGCCGTCAGAGATCTTTCTTGGACGACACTTCCCAAGTTAAACAGAAAAATAAAATAACAATTACATGCCACGATGTGGCAGTATAGCATCAAAGATGGTGCTATAATTAAAAATTGCCACAAGATGGTGCTAAATATCCAGTCATAAAAATTTTGCTTTTTATCCAAGTGTTTCCAATTATAATAATAATAATGCAATAAAAAGTGTCTAAATAAAAATAAATCTGAGTGGATGATTGCACTGCATTAAGGGGCGATTGGCAGTAACGCGATCTGTACAGGCCCTAGCATTCCTAGTTTATTCTTATTTCCATGCTGTCTTGTCAACCATCATTTGGAGTTGGTTATTGAGGGATCTCCTGCTGTGTGATTAACCATCCCCCCATGTCTTTCTCACTCCACTGCCCCCCCAAAAAATGTAGATCACTATTTAGTAGAAATACAACCAAATTTAAAGGGACATTATATGCACCCAGACAACTTCAGCCCATTGAAGTGGTCTGGGTGCTGTGTCCCAGGTCCCTTAACCCTGCAGTGGTAATTATTGCAGTTTTTAATAAACTGCAATATTTACCTGCCAGGGTTAACACTGCCTCTAGTGGCTGTCTACTAAACAGGCACTAGAGGACATCCAGTGTCATCCAAACCCCATAGGAAAGCATTAGTGTTTTCTTGGCACTATAGGTTCCCTTTAATTATTCACCATTTCATTGGGGTATATCTAAAAACGGCCTGCAAAAGCGGCAAATGTCTTGACTGCAGCCTTTGCATACCATCCTCTACTAACCCCACCCAGACTTTCTGTGGCTGTCCAATCACAGACTCCTCAATACAACTCAATAGAAAGTCTTTGTAAGGCAGGTGCTCTGGACCATTGCTGCCTCTTGAGTTTAGCTTCACTGAGCTAACCAAACCAGGAAGTAACAGGACTGGTTGTGTGATTGACAGCCATGGGGTGTAACAAGGTTCATTTATAAAAGTGCTAAGGACACACTATTCACACATAAAGCACTTCAGTTACATTTTCTGTACTGGAAGAACTGGTTTTAGGTTCAATCTTAAAATGTGATATAACAGGAACATCCAAATTGTCACATGTCATGCTCATGTGCTTCCCAAAGAACATAACAACATTTGTTTGTTTCCAGTAGGAACACCATCCACTGTTTTCATGGGTGTATTTTTTCCTGCAGGCTTGTGGGGGGTCACATTGGAAATGTGCATACACAATGAATAGGGGTGACCAAGGGTCAGGGATACTTGGGTGCAGATTTTGCTCAAACAGTCACAGGAAATATAGTTAAACATTTGCAAAGTCAAAAGGAACACTCTAGCATTAGAAATACAAACCTGTATTCCTAATGTTAAAGTGTTATACTAACTATTTTGATTATATCTCCCCGCTTAATTAAGCTGAAAAAAGCAGTTTACTTACTTTTAGTCTCCTGCATCTTTGCAGAGCTGCATCCAGGTTGTCTGTTTAATGGTCGCCACCAGTTAGCTCTACTAGTTCTGGTGTCTAGAGAGTCCCTTTATTTTGCTATTAATTACATTGAATAATTATGTGTAAATTTACTCAAAATATGCAAACCGCACACAGATGTAGCTAAACCATAATTACAAAACCTTACTTAAAGGAATGGTAGTGGTTATGGTGTTAGCAGTGCCTTGGCATCACCCTAATGTAAGAAGTCAAACTGTTTCTTAAAGGACCACTATAGTGCCAGGAAAACATACTCGTTTTCCTGGCACTATAGTGCCTTGAGGGTGCCCCCACCTTCAGGTTCCCCCTCCTGCCGGCTGGATGGAGAGGAAGGGGTTAAACTTACCTCTTTCTACAGCGCCAGCGTGGAGCTCTCCTCCTCCTCTCCTCCTCTTCGGCCGCGCGCGCGCGCATTCAGCCAGTCTCAGTCTCATAGTCTCATTTACAATGCTTTCCTTTGGACGCTGGCATCTTCTCACTGTGATTTTCACAGTGAGAAGCATGCAAGCGCCTCTAGCGGCTGTCAAGAGACAGCCACTAGAGGCTGGATTAACCCTCAGTGTAAACATAGCAGTTTCTCTGAAACTGCTATGTTTATAGAAAAAAAACATAGCAGGGCCTGGCACCCAGACCACTTCATTAAGCTGAAGTGGTCTGGGTGCCTATAGTGGTCCTTTAACAATTTGACAACATATCTGGATACCACTAAGTGCTGGTCACATTCCTCAATTGAGAGCTGAGTTCTTGTTAGCTCTCTTGCGCTAAATCTTGCTGTGAAGGGCCAGCTCGCTAGTTGAAAAAGTGTCTGCTGATCGCTCTCAGCCAATGAGCTAAATCTTGAACGGCCAGATTTAAATCAATGCAAAACACTTCTGGCCATTGTGAAGGAGGTGACTTTTGCAGACGGTCCCCAAATAAATTAAGCACTCCTGGCATGTGTCCACTATAGTTTTTATTAGTTAAGTATTGTTCTGCAACAGTCGCACCTTCTCATCAGTCTAAGGCCCTATTAGGTTTTACTGTTAGGAACTGTTAGAAGTAATTTCTGTTTTGTTTCCAGTGTTCCATGATCAAAGTGACTCTGTCAAGATGAAGTCTTTGGTCTTATGACAGTCAAGGGCATCCTCTGTCTAGATAATGCTGCCTGGTAGTCCTTTCTTTCATCAGTAGCTCAGTCTGGCCCTGTCAAACTCCCCTCAATACAAGTAGCCAAATCCTATTACTGTTCCTTCAGTCAAGACCGGTTCCAATCCTGCTTCTGCCTATGACTCCTTTACCCACTCCTAGTATGTTTGCTATTTAGGTTTGGCAACCTCTGTTAGGGCTTGGAATGTAGACGTTCAGAATGCAGCTCCAAGATGAGAAAACCAGAAAAGAAGTACAGTCAAGGAGAATTCAGAGAGCCGAGTTAATTCAGACAAAGGTTTTTTTTTTTACAGATTAAGAGACTAGAAGTGGGTTAATAAGTCTATATGAGTAACTCTTTGCAGTACCCAGATCCTAACCATTGCGCTCAGAGACCTTGACCACCTTGTGAGGCACCTACCATGAAATCCTCTCCATATTGATGGCGCCATGACACTAGAATTAATGTAGTCTGTCACTGTGGCATCAGATTGAGGCTGACCTCTTCGTGCAGCTGAATCTTATACCTCCCTGAACGTGCGTAATTTTTCATAGCAGTCCTCGTCAAGAGATGCCATGCTCAGACATCCTTGCATTGTTTTTTTGGTTCATTCTATTGATGCTGAACATGTACGTCCTTGCGTAATATTTTTTACACTAACCAATGGTGTCAATACATGGATTATATAAAACCAAGAATTATATAAAAATGACTTGGTATTGACAGACCCCTAAAAAATTTAACCCAACAGACATTATAGTGATGGGTAAGCCGTGTGATTGTGTGTGTTTTAGCAAGCCAGATCACATCATATATGCACATTAAAAATACACAGGATGGACCTTCCTTCATTCATCAACACCAAGACTATCTGGACCCAGGACCATATTTCCCTTCCTGTAGACTGTAAGCACGTTTGAGCAGGGTTCTCATCAACCTGTTCCTGTAACATTTTGTTATTGTCTCATTTATTGATAATTTTCCCCCTACATCAATAAAGTGCATAAAGGAAGGCCAGATCCTCTTAACATGTAAATCCGTCCCTGCCTGGGCTGTTCTATGTCCATCCGTCTGTTGTTGCAAGCATGGACTGGTTCATAACCAGTGAGATAACTTAGTTGTTATAGCTCAATCAGCAGTATCTGAGTGGCAAATTTGATTGAAGGCAAGATCAACTAAGCTATTAATCCTTCCAAGGTCCATACAATGAGCACCATTAGTTTGGATGATAATGTCATTGAGATCACAGGACATCCTTGAAAACTAGTGAGAGCTAATAGCCTGGTAAATATGTTATAATCATTATTATATGTGCTGGGGCTTCTTCTGATAGGTAGACATGAAGGACATGGCCCAATGTACCTAATCAGAAGTCTGAATATGTCACCTAAAATCATGCTTCACATAAATCACAGTTAAAACCATATCTTAATCTTATTAGAATCATCTAGCAGTCTTTGATATTTGTGAGAACACAATTTCATGTAAGTGCTATGCCAAATGGTCTGCCCTAACCATAAAGCCTTCCACCCCACTTATCTTCCTCCTGATTGGCTATATATTTCTGAGCCTTCAAAATTCTTTTACACTCATTTTTGTTTAAAGTGAGTCTGTCAGTCTTGAGCTTTTCATAAAGATCTTATCTTTATGAGAAACTCATTCTTTTTGACTGTGTTGACATTTCTTTCAATATTTGGCGCTATGTAAATGCTAATGATAAAGTGACTAATTTGTCACATGTAATTGTCAGCGCAGTCTTTTGCAAAATGCTGAGTTTCAGCCACTGTTTGAAATCAGCTGTCAGTCGCGATGGCTCATGGGAACTGGGTTTGCATGTGCACAAGATTATCTACAGAAGATTTTATGGGACCCCATGTTTTACCGTAATGCTTTCCTATGGGGTTTGGATGACACTGGATGTCCTCTAGTGCCTGTTTAGTAGACAGCCACTAGAGGCAGTGTTAACCCTGGCAGGTAAATATTGCAGTTTATTAAAAACTGCAATAATTACCACTGCAGGGTTAAGGGACCTGGGACACAGCACCCAGACCACTTCAATGGGCTGAAGTTGTCTGGGTGCATATAATGTCCCTTTAAATTTGGTTGTATTTCTACTAAATAGTGATCTACATTTTTTGGGGGGGCAGTGGAGTGAGAAAGACATGGGGGGATGGTTAATCACACAGCAGGAGATCCCTCAATAACCAACTCCAAATGATGGTTGACAAGACAGCATGGAAATAAGAATAAACTATGAATGCTAGGGTCTGTACAGATCGCATTACTGCCAATCGCCCCTTAATGCAGTGCAATCATCCACTCAGATTTATTTTTATTTAGACACTTTTTATTGCATTATTATTACATTTTCACACATTTTCAATAGTAGTAGTACACCAGTGAAGATGAATTTGCGAAAAGTTGAATTAGTATGGCAGTGCCAAGTAGGGTCAGTTGAAGGTAAATATATCTTCCTTTCTGCTCCCACCTAGGCCACCTCCAGAGAAGCAGACATGCCACATTGTGGTGTCTTTGTAAAAAATACAAAGACCCCTCAAGTGACAGAGCCGCTTTAGCAATGAAAAGTTAAACAACCGGTTTTTCTTTCTTCCTCAGAGATGAGTGGAGTTTATTTATATTTGTACAACTGCCGTCCTGCAATGTATCACTGCTTGCCTTTCTTCCATCTCTGAATGGATGTCCTCCCACTTTCTGAAACTCAATCTCTCTAAAACTGAGCTCCTTGTCTTTCCTCCTTCTAATACTGATCCTCCTCTTTCTCTCTCCCTTCAAGTTAGTGGTATCCACATAAGTCCTTCCTTGCAAGCGCGCTGTCTTGGCGTCATACATGATTCTGGCCTCGTCTTTGAGCCTCACATCCAGTATATTGTCCTGTAGATTCCATCTTAAAAACGTAGCCCACATCCGCCCCTTTCTTACGCAAGATGCTACCAAGGAGCTTGTCCATGCTCTAGAATTTCCCGCATGGATTATTGTAACCCTCTCCTGATTGGTCTTCCCATAAGCCTACTGCACCGCTGCAGTCCATAATGAATGCTCCTGCCAGACTGATTTTCCTCTCTATTCGGGTCTCTCACACCTTACCCCTTTGTCAGTCCTTACATTGGCTTCCTGTATCCTTCAAGGTACTAATTCACACCTATAAAGCACTGAACAATTCTAGCCCCTCTTATATCTCCTCACAGATCCATAGGTATGTCCCTTCTCGGTCTCTCCGCTCTGCCCGTGACCACCTCCTGTCCGTTGTTTGCACCCATATGGCCAACTCACGCTTGCAGGACTTCTTGTGGGCTGCTCATTTCCTATGGAACAGCCTGCCTACCGCCATCAGACTCTCCCCTAGTCTTGCATCTTTTAAGAAGTGCCTTAAAACCCATCTCTTTAGGAAAGCTTATGGCCTCCCAGAGTAACCTCTACCTCACATACCTGTCTCTTGCTCTCTCCTAAAGGGCAGCACTCTACTCTCCTACTCTCTCCTCCAGCTCTGCCTCACTCATAGGCGTGCGCAGCCTATTGCATTAGGGTGTGCACCCTAAAGCACAAACACACGCCGTATGTGTATATATGTACACATACACACACATATATATATATATATATATATATATATATATACACACACACACACACACACACACACATTGCTGTGTGTGTGTGCTGTTAGTGTGTATGTGCTGTATGTTTGGAGGGATTGTGGAGATGGGGCAGATTAATAAATATCCCCCCTCCCTTCTTACCTTATGTAGGGAGGGGGGATCCTTGCTGCCATGTGCCATCCCTGGTGGTCCAGTGGAGAGTGAACTCTAGCCTGCGGGGCTAGAGTTAACTCTTGCAAGATCTGAGCATTGCCATGGCAATGCTCAGATCTCGTGAGAGGAACCTGGCGGAGCTGCTGTCTAGAGCTCCCCGGGACCTTTCCTGCCTCCCGCCATGCTGCTGTGGGCTGGTGAGGTAGATCTTTGATCTCCCCGCCAGCCCATGGAGGCTTAGAGCAGAGCTGGCACTCAGATAGCGCCGACTCTGCGTGAGCCAACAGGGGAGATCCGGAGATCTCCGGAGAAGTCCTGGGGAATAAAGTGTGGGAACTCTCCCAAGATTCCCACGCCCCAAGAAAATAATATACACGTGTGTGTGTGTGTGTGTGTGTGTGTGTATATATATATATATATATATATATATATATATATATATACGCGTGTGCACACACATTGACACACAGACACACACATATATATACGCGTGCACACACACTTACAGACACACACACATACACTCAGACACACATACACACACACATACATTCACAGACACACACACATACAATTTTTTTATTTTTTATTAACAAATGTTCACCCTGCTTCCCTACCTGGATACCTGGCTTGGACCTGTCCCTGGGGTCCAGTGGGGCAGGCGCCTGTCTCCAGAACAGACGCGGCGAGGGAGCGGTGTCCTCTCTGCTGCCTCTCGCCGCGCGGGCTGTCTACAGTACCTGGGAGCCGGAATATGACGTCATATTCCGGCTCCCGGCATCAGCAAACGGGGCGCGGCGTGATGGAGCAGAGTGGACACAGCTCCCTCGCCGCGTCTGATCTGGAGACAAGTGCCCGCCGGGGGGGAGGAGGGGGAGGGTGTGAGCGTTCCTGCTCAAAAAAAGGAAAAGGAACTCTGTTCCTGCAGGACTCAATACATAGGCGTGCTGCGGGCATTAGGGTGTGCCCAGGCACACCCCATGCACACGCCTATGGCCTCACTCCAACCTTATTTGATTGCAAATGCCTGTCCTATTGTGTTTTACACCCCACCTCCTATAGAATGTAAGCTTGTTTGAGCAGGGTCCTCTTCAACCTATCGTTCCTGTAAGTTGTTTTTTTTTTTGTAATTGTCCTATTTATAGTTAAATCCCTCCTCTCATAATATTGTAAAGCGCTACAGAATCTGTTGGCGCTATATAAATGGCAATAATAATAATAATAATACAACTGCCCACTAAGATTTAAGGCATGGAGGTTTAAATTTACTATGCAAATAATCAGTGGATTTCAGTTTTATCCAGACTCACAATTATATTGTTAGTTTCTAAGCTGTTAAACAGGTCTCTTCCACTAGTTATTGTAATAGTTGGAATAACTCCCTGAATTGGTGATGCGTAGGCTGTTAAACAGGTCTCCATCAAAGATGCTTCTTGTTTTTTTGAATTGTAAACTACTTTATTGCATACATCCCTATGTTGTTTATATATCGTTTAGATTTTTCTTCTTTAGCTGTGGTGACTGTTTGTGTGGCCTGGGAAAGTGGGACAACTTAGGTGACCTTATTTCCCAGTAGTAGACCAAAACAGCTTCAGACCTTATTGTTTGTTTTTTAATTTTATATAGTATTTTTTTTATATATATATATATATATATATATATAAATATGAAAAGGCTGTTAAGCCTGAAGTTCTGGAAGGAATTTGCCAGCCTATTTATACTCATCTGACCAACGAGACAGGAGGACTTTGGATGGGACGTTGATACCTTCCGCCTCTCCCTTAAATTAATCATCCCCTACACACTAACCTAGGTGGGCTCTTTTCCACATGCTCATCTGCAAGTCGGTTTTCAGCACACCACAACTGACTCTTTCCTTTACCTATCTACAACACTATTGGCCTGTTGTACCTTACCGTATATACTCGAGTATAAGTCGAGTTTTTCAGCACGTTTTTTGTGCTGAAAAACCCCCACTCGTCTTATACTCGAGTCAGTGTCTGTATTATGGCAACTTACATTGCTATAATACAGACCAGGACCGCAGGGCTCATTACAAGCCCGGCGGTCCTGTTGGGGGCTGGCAGCGAGCTGTAACTTACCTTTCCTGCAGCTCCTGTCAGCTCCCTTCTCTCTCCTCCAGTCCGGTCAGCTCCACTGTAAATCTCGCGAGAGCCACGGGGAACGCTCCGCGCGTCTGCGAGACTGAGGAGAAGGGAGCTGACCGGAACGGAGGAGAGAGAAGGGAGCTGACAGGAGCTGCAGGAAAGGTAAGACAGCTGCTCCAACCCCTCCTGCACAGTGCACACCACTGGACCACCAGGGAATGAGAGCCCCCCTCCCTGGCCAGCTAACATATAAAAAAATTTTTTTTATAATAATTAAAAAAAATAATAAAAATGCCCACTCCCCCACCAAGGCTCTGCATCACATACACACACACACACACTGCACTCATACACACACTGCACTCATACACACACACACACTGCATTCATACACAAACTGCACTGATACACACACAGACACACTACATTCATACAAACACCATGCATTCATTATATACACACACTGTAAATAAATATTCAATTAATATAATTTTTTGAGGATCTAATTTTATTTAGAAATTTACCAGTAGCTGCTGCATTTCCCACACTAGCCTTATACTCGAGTCAATACGTTTTTTGGGGTAAAATTAGGGGTCTCGACTTATATTCGGGTCGACTTATACTCGAGTATATACGGGTATAAAACTATTATGATTGTGTTGTGTTTTTTTTACGGGGCCCATTATGGTAATATAATGTAATTTAATGCATTTGAATGTATATTATATGTTTAATTTCAGCGCTGCAGGACTGAGAAGGTCAAATTAAAATTAGCTAGCTGTGTTGCCGTTTTGATGCTGAAGGTTTGAGGTGTAAGAGGAAGGGAAGCTAAGGAGTGTGATTTACTCCTAATTTTAAAAAAATAATAATTTTGACAATCAATTTTTTATTGAGGTACATTTATTACAGATTCTGTTTTTGTAATCGTGACATTGCTAGACAGTTATATTTAGAAGTGTTATGGTATAGCATAAACAATGACATATTTTCTGAAATAGTTAAGCTAAGACATAAAAACATGTGTATAGTGCTAAGTGACATTGCATTCGTAGTCACATAAAGGTTAATCAGGTCTCTTTTAAATTAAATAACTACCTAACATAACATAAGAGCATTCAATAGGGAAAGGAAAATAGGATCTGAAAAAGCACTAGGCGATTAAAGTCTAATGAACAAGCAAAACGTGAAAAATAACTAACAGAACAGTGAGCTGCAATACTATGATCCAGATGCAGAACAAACTAGTTGTGTAAGAGGAGTAGACTCGCCTTGTATTGTGCGGAAATCTAGGAATAGGTTGCTCAGCTGGGTTATATAACCCCTAGCCTAGGAAGCCTTGGTGGGGGAGGAGGATAATATATATTAGAGTTCTAGGTTAATGGAAGCGCCATACACACTTATATTCAAGGTATAATGAGTGTATAGGTAACATTTATGAAGGGAAAAAAAAACTTAGGAAAATGAATAAGTCATAAGTAATAAAACAAACAGAAAATGAAATATAGGCTGTGGCAGTGCCCATGTCACAGAATTCAATCCCTCTTGGGACAAATGGAGTTATACTCCATAAACCATGCGAGGCAGAAAAGGCCAAAGAGACTGGATGCCATGTGTGAAGGCCTAGAGCCTGAAGAAAGGCTGTGGCCTCCAATGGAGAGGATAGTTGGAAAAAAGAGCCAGCCCTGTCGACAGTCAAGGACCTTGGTGCTGACCACCGGTATTCCACCCCTGATTCTCAGAGTTGGCGTGTGACAAGCCTAAAGCTTGCCTTTACTGTAGTGTGGATCTGTAAAGGTTTTGGAAGAAGGTAAGATTTGAAGAGTCGAAGGCATAAGGTGTTTTATCCTGCAATGCTGACATGATGCCGCAAAGAGCAATTGACATCAAACAATTTCGTAGAGGGAAGCTGTTGAGGGAGCCTTTTGAGGTTTGTTGAAGCAATAATATCCATCATGTGAGATGCCTTAAATAATGAGCCAATTCATCTGACGAGGTGGAGTCCGGAATGCCCTGTATTTTAATATTGGTCCACCGGCTGTGATCATGCAACAGATCTGCAGTCCGAGCAAACATAGTCTGAGTTGTCTGGATTTGCTACAGAGATTCGCTCATAGTGGTGACATCCTGACGCAAGTCAATAATGTCCTTCTCGGAGGCCTGAAGCTTAGCCGTCACCGCCTGAACATCGACTTGTACTATCTCCAGGTCTGCTGCAAACAGCTTTTTGATGTCATGTAGTAGATTGTGGATGTCTTGTTTTATAGCCGGTGTCGGAGTATCCTCTTTTACTGAAGCCACTGGTGTTCTGCAGCACTGAAGCAGGGACCTCCGAGTTAATCTGAGAGTTGATGGAGTAGGCCATCTTGTGGGCAGCAGCGCTCTGGAACATAGTGCCTATGTCGTGTGTGTCATTAGACGCACCTGCTGGTTGCTTTTGGGATCTACATCCCATTGTGTGAGCGTTCTGAACCTGAGAAGGGCCCTCAAGTAAGTAATAGATAAGATGCTCCAGAAGTACTCTAGCCTGGCGGGAGGTGCAGGAGGCCCTAGATTGTCAGCTTGTGTTTTTTTCCTGCAGGAAAAATAGGAAAGGCATCCGTTGAGTGTCCACAGCTGGCAGATGCGATGGAAAGCGTGTTGTTGTCGAATCAAGGTGGCAACGTTAGCGTAATCAGTCTATTTCTCAAGACAGAGCCAGAGCACCCGGGAATAGTGTCCGGTCTGCTTGACTGCTAAGCTCCGCTCCCTAACTCCTAATTTTGAATTAATTATAAAGATTTATTTTTAAAAATAGTTACATTACCTTAGTGTACCCTCTGTGCACTGTTTAGTGGATCAGAAAGAAAGTAGATCATTCAGTAAACATCTGCTCATTAGTACTGTCTCTTCAGGAGTACTTCCACATTACCAATAGCATAGTTTATATTTAGTGTTAAATCCGGGCCAAGTTTTGGTCTGCAGTACAGCTCTCTTTTCTCAGACTAAGTTGTACATGCAGCAGCAAAACTTAAACAAAATGGATATAGTAAGAAATCTCATTCCGGTAAAGCTGGCTAAAAAAACAACTAAATATCTCTAATCTGACTGTGTTTCAAGATTATGGCTCTGTGGGATCCTAATGCCAATATGATGGCTGCACAGACAGAGTGCAGGTGAATAGTAGCCTAGCCTGCACGTTGCATCCTACCTGATGTACCCCGACAGCTGTGAAATGCATATGTTAAAAAAATGTCAGCAAGTAAAGATCTATATTGCCATCTTCACTGACACTTCAAAAGGTTAAACAATTGCAAAAAGATAATTATACAGAGATAATGACAATATACCATTATTCTAAATGTCACTTGCTGTCAAACAGTACCCTGACACGCATATCTTGTACCCTGGAAATTGACAATTTCAAATTAAATGCTTAAAAAAATAAATCAAAAACATGTAAATTATAACCATTGTTTATTAATGTTGAGTTCTTCATCGGTGATGTGTGTAAACAGATTGCCATTCTAATGCCTTATGACTTTCTCTCTACAGTGGCAGTTGGGGACACAGCATAAGAATGGATTTAAAGTGGGCATGAAATTAGAGGGGACAGACCCTCAGCACCCTTCCATGTACTTCATCCTGACTGTGGCTGAGGTAAGAGGTTTGGAAAAACACAGTCAAAAGTGGTGACAAAACAGACATATGGAATTTGTGTGTAGGTTACACTTAACACATCAAGGAACTCTTAAGTTCCTTTACTTTTCGGATTCCTATGGGAAATCTCTCAGCTAAGCAAATGAAAATTTCTCTAATGTGTTAAATTACATTGTTCAGAGATTTCCCACTACTGAAACGAGAAGGCTCTCCAAAATAGGGTCGGACCAGGGTTGGAAAAGGGCATCCTTTTCTATGTATTGGATGAAGCGGATAGGGAAGAGAGTGGAGATAAAGAAACACTTTCTGCTCACTTTGATCTCAACTGTTTAACCCAAATGCCAGAGGCTCCAGATGAAACTCTAGAAGTTCTAAGTTATCTAGGTGGAATCCACAGCCTGTATAATTCACTAGGAGTGACCAGGTAACACAGATTAAATGAGTGATGTTCCCAGGGAACACTTCTTGCTGAAAAAAATGCTTATAGATTATCAGTGATATCTTCATGATTTATTTACCCATGACCATAAGTACATTCATGGAGAGAAGAAAGCAATCATTTGGGTTATTGTCATATAAAAAGAAAATTCAGTTTGACTTGACTTTCTGTTAACTCGTTTAGTTTTTTGTCTCATCTTTTTATCCATTTTTGCTTAGTATCATGACAACTTTTCTACTTATCCTTCTCTCAGGTTTGCGGTTTTCGGATAAGGCTTCATTTTGATGGATATTCAGACTGCCATGATTTTTGGGTGAATGCTGACTCACCAGATATTCATCCAGCGGGCTGGTGTGAAAAAACTGAACACAAATTACAGCCCCCCAAAGGTACCTGGAAAGAACATGTCTTGTTATATTGTTTTTTCTTTTTCCTGTTTTTTTTTTGTTTGTTTCTTAGAGCCTTTGTTAATGTTTTGTTTCCACTTTTCTATTATGCTGTACAGCTTCACATTTTGATTTCTGTCTGTTTTGTCTTTGCTCTTTTTTTCCAAGTCTTTTATGTGAATAGTTATAGTTATAGGTAAATAGGCTGAAAAGAGACATGTCCATTAAAGGAAACCCATAGGGTCAGGAACACAAACATGACCCTATAATGTTAAAACCACCATTTAGGTGGCTTGCACCCCATAGCCCCTTAGAAGGAATTAAAACTCTCCTTATTTCCAGCGCCGCCGGCCCTGGTCCAGCCCCGATCTGCACCCTTGATGACATCATCAGAATTGCCGATTTTTTGACAAACCAATGCTTTCCCACAGGGAAAGCATTAGATTGGCTGAAATCAGCAAGGAGGCGCGGCCAAACACCAATCAGCACCTCCTCATAGAGATGCATTAAATCAATGCATCTCTATGAACACAATTCAGCATCTCCATGCAGAGCGTGGAGACGGTGAATGGCAGTGCAGCCTACTGCACTGCCCCAGGAAGCAGCTGAGTGGCCACTTGGAGGTGTCTCTAGGGGGCATTGTAAACACTGCCTTTTCTCTGAAAAGGCAGTGTTTGCATGAAAATGCCTGCAGGTAATGATTCTACTCACCAGAACTACAACATTAAGCTATAGTTGTTCTGTTGACTATATTGTCCCTTTAAGTTCAGCCTCTCACATGTGTTTTTTGTGGTTGATCCAAAAGAAGGCGAAAAAACCCAGTTTGAAGCACTTCCAACTTTGCAACAAACTAGGAAAACATTTCCTTCTTGACCCCAGAATCACAGTCAGATATCTCCTAGGTTTAAGAAGCTATTACCCCACAATGTAAAAAGTATATCCTTGAATATCGTTTTCGCAAGTATTTATCCAGTTGCTGTATGAACATCACCAGTAGAGACTCTGATAAAACCACTTCTTCAGGCAGAGAATTACACTTCCTTATTGTTCTTACTGTAAAAAAAAAACTTTCCTTAGTCCTATATATAGTTCTGTTTGTGAATAGATTTCCAGACAATGGTTTGTACGGGCCCTGTATATATTTGTATAATGCTGCCATATTCCCTTTGAAGTTCTAAACTAGAATAGCATTAGTGGTTCTCTATTCTTAGCCTACTTCACTTTTATTTACAGGGTATAAAGATGAGGATTTTAGTTGGACCAACTATTTGAGATTGACTAAGGCTCCTGTTGCCCCAAAGCATCTGTTTGTGTCTCCTAAAATTGTGAGTAAAACCAAAAACCTGCACACCTCACCAAATCCCTATGCACATTTACATAATTTGAAGGTTTTTAATACCACTCAATTAGCCATTCAATTAGCCATTTAAGTGTTGGCTCACCTGCCGCCTCAAGATCAACCTGTTAGGTGAGTCCTACACTAACAATCTACCCTGCTGTTTTCAGCTAAAAGACAAAATCTCTAATGAGACAAAAAGGAGTATTTTTATGAACCCCTACATACTTATTAACCCTTAATAACGTACACATGGACTGGGCGGCAGCACTGTAACATAACGCAGTAATACAGAAATACAAACACACACAATTAAGCATTGCACTCAAACTGCCAATACTTTTGGACAGGGCCGTCTTTAACACGGGGCAAACAGGGCAACTGCCCCGGGCCCAGTTACTCAGGGGGGCCCAAAGCAGCTGCCCCATGGGCCCTGCTGCCCTCTACTATTTATTTTTTTCCCCCAACGGCCCCAGTGCAGCCGGGGGCCCACACACTAAGAATGCCCACCGGGTGGCCCATGCACTAACGGGCACCTGGTGAGCCTTTGTAAGCGACCAGTCCCATGCTTTTCGGCAGCGCTGGGAGGAAGTGACGGCCATGCGTCACTTCCTCCCAGTGAAAATACAGCGCCGTGTGGGAGAGATCAAGGAGGCAGTGAGGAGGGGGGCTGGGCCGGGAGAACCAGCCCCTAACTCAAATCAGCCTCAGCCACCACTCAGGACACCAGAGAAGGAACCCTTCAAGGTTGGAAATGGGAGGTATGTTAAAAGTGTAAATTGTGCATGTGTGAATGTGTGTCAGTATGTCTGTCAGTGTGTGTGTTAGTATTTCTGTCAGTTGTGTCTGTGTTTGTCAGTGTGTCTGTCAGTGCGTATGTATGTCTGTGTGTGTCAGCATGTCTGTCAGTTTGTCTTTCAGTATATGTGTGTGTGTCAATATATCTGTCGGTGAATATATGTATGTTTGTGTGTATGTATCAGTATGTATGTAAGTGTATATGTTTGTGTAAGTATGTCTTGCAGCTCTCTACTTTAGTTCCCCTACTGTGTGAGGGTGAAATGTGTGATTGCACACAACTGAGTGGGGGCTGGTGGGGTGGCAGGGTACAGAGCCCAAATAGATGGAACAAAAAAAAAGAAGTTACTTGCCGGCCAAGAGTAATGGGAGTTTGAACGCAAGCCTTAATTTTGTGTATTAAAATTGAGTAGCCTCCATACAATTCTCTTCTTTATTTTGTCATTCATTTCTTGCACGTCACTATCTTTTATTATCTGCTCTATAAATATTTTCATTCCCAACAAAACTCTTCCAAGCTTTTATTCTTTTACTTTCTCACTCACAGTTACCAACCTTTTCTCACCTCTACTTTTCTCTATTCTTCTCCGGTTTGATTTGACGCTATGAAAACTTTTGTCCCTGCTTTGGAATTTCTCTTTTGCCAAACATTTTTCTGGAACTTTTATTTCTTTATCTACAGCGTTTTGATTTTTGTTCTTGAATGTCTCATGAAACCTGAGTTTTTCCAGCAGTTTTCTGAATACGATGTGGCTTCTCATCTCACTAGGGTATGCCACCGTCCCTCTTTCAAGTGGGGATGAAGTTAGAAGCTGTAGATAGAATGAACCCTTCCCTAATCTGCGTAGCAAGTGTCACTGATGTGGTGGAAGACAGATTTCTTGTGCATTTTGACAACTGGGGGGACACTTATGACTACTGGTATGCACAAGATATATTGGTGAGGGGGGAACCCTGTTGGATGACACATTATAAATTAGAGAGTTAGAGCTAAAATGTAACTTTGATAGATATGTTGGTTTAGTCAGAATGGAGATGGTGCTGTATTTATTTTTTAAAGGGACACCACTTCCCGAATACAAAAAACTAACTAAATAAAAATCACTATTTAGTAGATACTATTAAGCAGAGTAGATGGTGGGAACCGCACTCATTCCCAGCGGCCACGGGTGCTCCAGAGCAGGACCAGCAATCCCAGAATAATAGGCAAAGAAGAAAGACTCGCAGGCACTCCGAATTCAAGCCGCAGGCAGTTTTATTGTAACAGAATGCAACGGTCGAAACGTTGCGTTGCATTCTGTTACAATAAAACTGCCTGCGGCTTCAATTGGGAGTGCCTGCGAGGCTTTCTTCTTTGCCTATTTAGTAGATACAACCCAAATTAAAATATGCATGCATTTAATTATGCATATGTTTCTCAGTGTGGCATATCTAAAACCAGCTTGCAAAAGCTGCAGATCGCTTGTCTGAAGCTTTTATAATCCCTCCCCTTCTAACCCTGCATAGACTATCTGTGGCTGACCAATCACAGACTTTCCAAGCAGCTCAATGGGAAGTCTTTGCAAGGCTCTGGGCAATTACCCGCTTCTCGAGTTTAGCTCCACTGGGCTAAACAGCCAGGAAATTACATGACCAGTTTTCTGATTGTTTGCCAGTAGGGGAGGGGGGCTAAGAAGGTTAATTTAAAAAGGGGACAGTTTCTATTGAAATCTGCACTTTTTTGTAAAATTAAAAAAAGAACACACTCTTCACATGTAAAAAAACTTCAACAAGCTTAAGAGTTTTAGGTTTAACCCCTTCAGCCGCACGGGAGAATGAGCGCTAGGGAGGGGGGCACTGTAGGATTCTATGGTGCCAGGAAAACGGCTTTGTTTTCCTGGCACTATAGAATCCCTTTAACTCTGAATGTAGAGAGAGTGCCAGAGGACACCAGGCACTATAATCAGTTAAAATAGGTGAACGGGTTGTAGTGCCTTTAGTGTCCTTTTAATGAATTTTATTTTCAGTTGCAGCACTTAATAAAATGTTTTCTGATATTCATACAAAAAAAAGGAGCTAAAAATAAAGGATTTTCTTTCCTTTTGAAGCGTGTCCAATTTTATAGTGTTCACGCTCCCTCTACCTATCACATACAATAAAACTGGGGGTGCATTTTATGGTATATTTTCCTCACCAGGTGTGATCCCAGCAGCCCTTATGTCCATCCTGTAGGCTGGTGCCAAGTACATGGGAAACCACTCACGCCACCTCAAGGTGAGTAAACTTTCTTAGCTGGTGACAAAAAGCAATACTGAGAACTGTAATCTCTAAGTATGAAACACATAATGTGAATCTGAAGCTGTCCTAAAGAGAAAAATATTGGAGTATTTTTTAATACAACATAAAGTGTTCTGTTAAACAATTTGAGAATGGACCACGGAATTTTGGAACAAAAGCACAAGTGTCATCAAAATGTCACAAGTTTATTACATTTAACGATACTTAATAGGAGACTTCACTGCCCAAATACAAAAGAAATAAAAATCATTGTTCAGTAGATATACCCCAAATGAAAACTTGCATCCATTTAATTATTTCATTGGGGTACATCTAACACAAAAACTGCAGATCTCTTGTCTGCTGCCTTTTCAAGCTCTTCCCTTCTAACCCCGCCCAGACTTTCTGTGGCTGTCCAATCACAGACTTCCCAATACAACTCAGTGAGAAGTCAGGTGCTCTGGGCAATTGCTGCCTCTTGAGGTCAGCTGCATTGAGCTAACGAAACCAGGAAGTAACATTACATGTTGTCTGCTTGATAGCCAAAGGGGTGTAACCAGGGTAATTTATAAAAGTGTAAATTTATGTTGAAATCTGCGTTTTTTGCAAAAGGAATAAAAGAGGACACACTCTTCACACGTAAAACTTTTCAGCAAGCTAAAGTTGTTTAGGGGTCTGGAGTGACACTTTAATGATATCTTTAAAATGATGTATATTGGGGTTTTTTTCCTAAGGAAATTAAACTTTTTTTTTTAATATATATATATATATATATATTTTTTTTGAGTACATGGATATTCACACAAGTTTGTAAGAACATATCAGCAATAGTGAAAGCAACAAGGAAAATTACAGATTTGTGACAGGACATGTTAAAAGGTTTGCAGGTTTTTTTTTGGTTTTTTTGAACATCAGAAGAGGAACAGTGATGTCTAAATTTTTCAATACGTAGTAAGAGAGGGCATGAGATAGACATGGAGATTATAGGCAATATTTAACAATAAGACCAGCTTAGACAGATAGACATATTAATAAAAGGCATGTATAGAAAGAGTAATAGCCATATCTCGGTGAGGTCAGATAATTAAGGTGACCACCACCACTCCCTATCCCATTGACATCCGACCAGTATTCCTGAAAGATCCTGACAGATTGTAAGTGCAGACAGTGTAAAATGAAAGAACATATAACTAAAACTAAAAATACAATCTGCAGTTGTATGGGTACACCAAAACCTGGGGGCACAGGCCATTGTATTAGCGATGCACATGAATGCAGATTATGACTCTCATAAAGAGGTGGGTTGTAGTAGACCTCGGTAGCTGTTCGGGAGAGCATGGTGCAGTCAGTCCGGGAGAGTCCCTCTGGAGATCAATTCGCTCAGGTGCTGTGTCTCGGCTGGGATGGGGGACTGACCACACCATCCATTGGATCTGGACACCACTTGATTAAAGCAGCTGGAGGTGTCCTGAAGTGGAAGGGGATCCTGAACTGGATGCAAATGGTCCATTCTGCATGCTTTCTCAGGGCCTGTGGTGATGTGCTGGCCGCAGCTATTTTGAGGCTCAAGGCACTGTGCACCGCTGTGAGATGTGTCTGGCAATGAAGGTAGGTATCAGGTGTTGTAGCAGTTGGGACCTGGATAACCTCCACCGGCCCAAAGAGGTCGGGGGAATACAGGGCCCATCCACAGATCAGCCCATAGGGTCTCGCCGAAGAGGTCGGCTGCAACTCCCAGCCGGTCCCTTGTTAGGCCGCAAAGCAATCGGGTTGGAGCACTGCCACAGCAGACGTCAGGAAACTTTACAGGAGTGCCCAGTGACACCCGGGTACCTCCAGGTTTTGGCTGGGTTCGAGTTAGCAATTGGGATATCGTGATTGCCGGAGATTAGGTGGGTCTTTTGTGGAGCTTGTGCCCGATGCTCCGGCTCGCCATGGCGGTCAGGCCCTGCCCTGGGAAATTTCACTTTTTTATGTGGCTGAGCAAGCAAGTTGGGTCAGATTTTACTGTTATCTGACTAACTACTGCTCAAGCTAGGGAGCGTGCTGCTGTAGTTTGACATACGTACACAGAGAAATCACTGCAGCAGCAAACAAGTTAAGCTGATTAAGCAGATAGAAAGTAAAATGTTCTCCAAAAAATAAATATACATGATTTAAAGAGTACCACTAAGCTTCATTAAATGTAAAAATGTAAAAAACAAACAAACTGAAAACTAAAAGGTTCCTAATAGTTGTCCTCTAGGGAATGTGTGGTCACGCTATTTCAGTGTATACAATTTGGGCCCCTGTCAAAAAAAAAAAAAAAAAGGAACCACCACATTATAATCACTTCCCAATTAAAAATAAAGTCTATTACAAAAATGAACCCAATCTTTCTGGTGTTGTAATAATATTTCTAAAAAGACCCAAAGGATTTTATAACTTTGAAAATCTTTATTTAGAGGATACGTACAGATAGAGAGGCACATTTCAGAGTGTTTACATTTGTGGTTTGTACATTTGTTGTGCAACACATACGGTTCAGCATTTATCCAAGAGGTTGCTGTCTAGAACCATTCCTCTATCTCAGATTTTATGATTTAGAGAAAAAAATTATTCAAATTAACATTTTGCTTTATTCAGTTGCCTGTCACAATAGATCTAAGTGTTTGTCGTTATTATAGAGTGCCAATTCAATATGAATTGATTTTAACTCTCTCCCCAGATTATCCAGACCCTAATAACTTCGCATGGGACAGATACCTGGCGGAGACTGGGGCCACAGCAGTGCCTTCCAAGGCTTTCCATACGGTACCTATATATCTAGTTAGAAGGCCTCTGAGTACCTTCCTGACATTTAAATGATTAAAACCAGTTGCTATTTGTAATAGTCTCCCTACCCTCTTCAGTCACTATCCAATAGAACTGTATATGACTGTAGGAGAGACCGATTGCTAAAGAGGAGCATTTGGAATATCTTGTCAGCTAGGCTAACTCTCTATCACACCTAAGAACAAGTACTTTTTGTAGCAAAAGAACAGTAAGCTGGCCATGGAGGAGGTTTAGATGTTTACATAATATGTACTTTGTCCTTTTCACAGTGCTGGTATCTAGAACGTTTTTGTAATTCATTTAACTACTTGAAATAAAATGTGGATTTTTTTTATTACATGCTCTGAGTTGCATCATGCTAAGTTTCTACCCAGCTATATGACTTCAGCTCACACAGACCTCTATACAGACAGGACACTGGATTAAAGGGGGTATTCAACTTTTCCAGAATTTACACCTGAATAATTTGTTGAAAATCGTCTTTAACTCGTGTTTGAAAAAGCTAGCAAATGACATTGTGATCCAGTTCAGACAAGGCAAACCTTAAAAACGAAGAGGAGAAATAGACATTGGGGGATATTTATCACAGCGTTCTGTTGTAAAATTCTAAAATCAGGCCAATAACTCTGAAACCAATAGAACCAGTAGACACATTCCATTGGTAACTTCTCCCCTTTTACACTTTGCACCACTTTGTAGAACAGAATATTTTTCTAAATCTCTCCATTGTTTAATTTCTCCTCCATGTTTGCTTTCTTTATGCTGAGTCCCCGTTGACACAAAGCTTATGACAATGATTGACAGGGTGCTAAAACTGAACCCAGTTGCAGAATAAAGAATTTTACACATCATTTTATTTTCACACCCCAAATAACACATTTGTCAGATATAGGTGCTACGTATACAAAATATAAAAATCCTGGACAGTGACACTTCCTATTTTAAGTACAGAACCATCTCTGCCTGTGATTATATTGTGAGAGTTCCCTATCAACACATTACTTTATTCAATTTATTTCGGACTTGTCTCCATTTCTTTTATGGTTTTGCTCACTTTTTAATTGCACTTTCTCTCTTTCTCCTACTTCATTGGTTTTCAAAAGCGGCCCCCGCATGGATTCAAAGTCAACATGAGGCTTGAAGCTGTAGATAGACGAAGCCCATCGCTGATCCGTGTTGCATCTGTGGTTGATGTGGAGGAATGTAGGATAAAGGTGATATGACATGAAGACGCTCCCCCTCTATACATTATATAGCTATAGTTCTTGTCGAGGGTGACAGCATGGACCCCCTCCCCCATTCAGATTTGTGTTTGTTGGAAGGGGTTATCATCAACTTGGTTTCTGACTACCCCTCCTAACCTCTAAGGTTCACTTTGATGGCTGGAGCCACCTTTATGATTTCTGGCTGGATGCTGACCACCCAGACTTGCACCCTGCAGGCTGGTGCCAAAGAACCGGACACCCCCTACAGACACCACTCCGTGAGTGTGCCCACGTATACCTAAGGCTCGTTATTGTATACATGGTTGCATATGGACATGAGCATACCGTCATATGTGCACACTTATACCCAACAGATTCTAATGTTCCATTATATCTCACTTCATATTGGTATACATTGCTGTACACCTCTGTGGGGCTATTAACGAGTGTGTGTTATTCATTCTTCACAATTATTTCTTTACTGAGTTAATTACAAAACAGTGAGTTGGCAATGGACAATCAGAATTCTGACATCACAACTACTCATTGTTTAGTGAATTGCTCAAAGTTTTCAAGCATGCTTTCTGAGCCAGAGAGCTTTAAAGTGGATCTGTCTTTTTTTAGTGTAATACAATGATAAAATGTTGCTTGAGGAACTGTTTAAAGTCATGGTTAACACATCCTGCTATCAAAATGCTGACTTGGCCTTTACTATCTAGACACACAGTAAGTTGTGAGAAAAGAGCAGGAAGACTTTAAAGCTAATTAACGCGGCACCGTCTGGGGACGCAAAGACCCCCCCATCGTGAGATCGCCGCTGGTGGTCCGGTGGCCGGATAGGTAAAGGTGATATTTACTTACCTGAACCTGTCCCTCAGAGGTTCTTCGATCTGGTTCCAGCAGGTCCTCTTCAGGTCCTCTACTTGCATGTGCGAGAGTACAGCATTGAGATCTATGGAGGATCCCGCGGAGCCAATTCTCTGCAACCGTCTATGGTGAAGGCTGTCAAGGTTAAATCTGTAGCTCCGCCCAGAATCTAGGAAAGTCAGGCGGAGGAAATATAGAGTCAAAACAGTCCCTAATTTGTCTTTGTATATCTCTTGACTGGGTTGGAATGTCAGTGAAATTTCAGACACAGTCAAAATGAGTATTTCATAAAGATTCTCTAACATTCAGATTGGCCTTTTTATCACCCTCAGAAAGAATGCCCATGTGGCAACGTAGTCGCTACTATAACTGAGCACATTTTGTGAAATGTATAGCTAGATTCTGATTGAGATATTTTTTTTCTAAAAACGAACAATAAAAATGAAATAACACATCCACTTTAAATTCCCATTGTTTTCTGAGTTTAACAATAAATTTGGATATTCTCTTTTTTGATACATTTCTGCAGATGTTGAAAAACTCCCGTTAGATATTTTTTTTTAGCGTTTGGAAGAGGTATTTCTTTATTAGACCCCATTTAATTAAGATCTTGGCACACTTGGCATGCATGCATCATGCTGTTTAGAATGACAAACTTGTAACCCACAGACGTGTCTATTTCGACTGAGTGTGTTTCACAATGTCTTGATGAGCCTGGAACCATAACAAATGACTACATAGTCTATGGTGGTGTGGATGAGATGCATCTGTTGACTGTTTTAAGGTATTGCATATTAGTAAATATGCACATAATCAATGTCTTCATCTGAATGCATTAACATGCCAATCTATGGAATCTATTCCTATAACATATATCATTTCAGGGCACAGGGATGTTCCCAGTGTGTCTCCAGGAACTTGCGTGTCCCTCAGCTGCAAGGGGATACCCCACTCTCGGAGCACTAAATACAGCTTTCAGCACAGGTCAGTCATTGGATATGTTTCTTTCTACTGTGTTCTGCCCTGTAACATGTTCAATAACTCTGCTGCTGTGAAATATGGAGTAAAACCTCTTAATTCTCTGCTGCTGTGTGTGGGACATGATTAATGTAGGCTATTTTCCCTTCTCCCTTTTAAAGTGTCTATATATATATCTTGTAGCTGTAGTCTCACGTTCTTCGTTTAAAATTCAGTCTTTATTGGATCATGTTAAAAAAGATCAACGTTTCAGTCCTAATGAAGGACTTTCATCAGGGTCAACATTAAATAGGACTGAAACGTTGATCGTTTTTAACATGACCCAATAAAGACTGGAATTTAAACGAAGACCGTGAGTGCATCTGACTACAGCTACAAGTTGGAAATCTTAAGCCACAGTATGCACCCAGCATCAATTTGAAGATTTGGCCAGTATAGTCACCAAACAACTTAAGCTTAATGAAGCAGGTTTAGAGTATAGATCATGCCTTTTAGGATTTTAATTCACTTTGTTTATCCTGCTCTAGTCACCCTGCATGTGAATTACACATCCTTCCGAAACACTTCCTGTAAAGAGTCATCTAATGTTTACACTTTCTTTATTGCAAATTATGTTTCTTATTTTCTGCTTCCTTAATAGCTTGCTAGACCCTACAGGAGCCTAGCGTATGTAATTAAAGTTCAAATTACAGAGAAGGACATAAAGACTTTTAAACTTACATGTGATTGAAAATGAAACCATTTTGTTTTCATGCAGGCTGTGTCAGTCAAAGCCAGGGGAGGTGTGACTAGGGCTGCATACACAGAAACAAAAGTAATTTAACTCCTAAGCGTTACTGAAACATCAGAGGCATGATCTACACACAGAAACTACTTTATTAAGCTAAAGTTGTTTTGTTGACTATAGTGTCCCTTTAACACTACTACAAGAAATAATAAGAGGACTCCGGTGAAGCTTGCTTTGTTGGTCCAGCAGCGTAGCTACTGTTTGGTGACTTTCTTTTCTACAGATGCAATGAATGTATGGCTATAAACAATCTACTAAGTCCTTGATCAACTGTCAAACTGAACTTAAGAGACATTTGTGCTTCATATGTCCTTTTATCATGCTGCAGGAAGTGCCCAACTCCAGGATGTGATGGCTCTGGTCATGTCACTGGGAGATTCACAGCTCATCACTGTCTCTCTGGCTGTCCTTTAGCTGATAGGAATCAGCAACCGGCAAGGAGCAGAAATGCCATACCCTTTACTCCACGCAGGAAGTCCAGGCACCACGGCAGGTATCCGAGGGTAGTATGGGAAGATGTAGCCATTTCTAATTCTGTCCTTCTTTCTATATGCAAAGGAGGTATGTACTAAGCACTCAGCAAAGCAATTAGACAGATTATGCCTTGCGTCTTGTAGGATTGGACGTCCTCCCAAATACCGCAGGGTCCAGCAAGACAATTACCAAGGTGAGAGCACTGTCAATGTATCCCTCTGTTCTGCCAAGATTTCCCATAAAGCCTGTTTATACTGCCTCCTTGTGCTGTATATAAGCAGCAAATATTAACAGAGCTTTCTGAATTCCATAACTGACATGTAATCAAGTAATTAGCTATGTATTTCAATGTATGAAATTTTGTTAGTATCATATTATCAAACAGGTACAGCACTCCTGAAATCTGGAGTCAATATCTGATCTTCTACTCCACTTAAGGGTTCTGTATAACCATCCCTATTACTCAGCATGTTTGTCTATATAAACCACACCAAGAGCTACCTTAAAAGAACACTAAAATAACCAATAGATCATGCCCCTGCAGTCTTACTGTTCAATTGCCTGCCATTTAGGAGGTAATTCGCTTTGTTTATGCAGCCCCTGCCTGTGATATATACAGTTTCCCTTTAAGGGTAAACCTCTTTTATTGCACAGTCTATTTCATCTAGAATCTTATCTCCTGCACTGTTAACAGCCTGCTAGACCCTTCATGAACCTGTGTGTCATAAAAGTTCAATTAACAGAGCAGGAGATACAAGTTTCTAAAGTAAACACACTGTGCTATTAGATCTGATTGAAATGAAACAATTTTTTAAAGGAGCTTGTATGAGTCAAGGGGAGTATAGAAAGAAAGAAAACAGATTTAACTCCTATATGGAAGAGAATTGAGAAGTAAGACTGCTCCAAATAACCCTCCCTATAATTCCTTCCATTGCTTCATATAACCCTCCCTATAACTTCTACTATTACTCCATATAATCCTCCCTATAACTCCTTGTATTGCACCATACAACTGTCCCTATAACTCCTCCTACTACTCCAAATAACCTTTCCTATAGCTCCTACTATTGCTCCAAATAACACTCCATATAACTCCTCCTATTACCCAATATACCCCTCCCTATAACTCCTCCTACTACTCCCTCCATATAACCCTCCCCATAACCTCTCCTATTACTCCATATAACCAATGGAAGGTAACTTTTCCTGCTGCCCCCTATAACTCTGCCATATTGCACCATATAGCTGCTGTATATTAACTCTCATATAACCCTCTGTCTCCAGACACAGTGCATCAGTCCCTTTTCATGTCCGCTCTGTCCGTGCACCCGGATCGTGCCCTTGCTCACTGCTGGGAGCAGCACTGCCGCCTCCTGCCAGGCGTGGCTGGCATCAGCGCCAACACAGTATCTAAGTGGAGCACAGAAGAGGTAGTAGGCACATTGCAACCCCTTTTCTGGGCATGGCTGGTCAAACCTGTTCTTACTGACGTCAACTTTCTGTGACTGTATGAAGTATGGGGGCATATTTAATTCCTGCAGCCACTGGGTGTCGCTGTGTTCCATGCATGGTCATGTCACTGTATACTGAGTGGGCACAAACTCAGATAGTCCCTTTCTCTCACTGACAACTGACCTTCTCATTTCCAGGTATTTAGCTTTGTGCAGACACTGACAGGGTGTGAGGACCAAGCCAGGCTTTTTAGAGATGAGGTGAGATTAAAAAAAACACATGTTGTAGTGCTTCTAACCTCCATTTACTGAAGCAATAGGTACATGTTGATGTTCTAATGCTGATGCTACTGGGCTTTCTCTTGCCTCATGTTCATTGATTATCTTTGTGTCTCTCCTGCACCAACAGCGACCTCAAGGAATCTTGTTTTACCTTATTGATTCATTGTGCATTTTTTAAAGTTGAACCGTTACTTTTCCATCCTAGCACAGATGCATCACTCCATCTTAAGGGTTATCGCACGTTGACTCACGCGTGGACCTCAATCACACGAACAGCAAGCTTTTCAAACACTTTCTTTCCCTGCAGATGATAGATGGACAGGCACTTCTGCTTCTGACCCAGACAGACATTGTAAAGATCCTATGCATCAAGCTGGGACCAGCTGTCAAAATCTACAACTCCATCCTCATGTTCAAGAATACAGAGGACGCTGTGGACTGATAGTTGTACAGCGCTTTTCTCCTTACCCATTTACGCACAACTCCAACATATCATCGCCAACAGTCTTGTAGTTTCTCACTTTGCAACACATCAACTCACCAAAAACCATTGATGTGGCTTGGTTAAGCTATACAGTGCCAAATAAATGTCTCTTTAAATATATTTTTGTGATTATGGCTATGTTACGTGTAGAAGCTCTGGGTACCCTGAATTCTTTAACTCAGGAGCTTCCACTAGGTGGCGATCACTGACTCAGTAAGTGTGTGTGAATATGTATTTTAGGAAAGCAACATCAGGTCTTAAAAGCAAGCAATCAAACAGGTGATCTGTGAAATTCCCATAGATAGCGACAGAGTAATTCTGTTTGCATGCTAGGATGGCAGCTAATCTGTCTCACCTAAGTACATATTTATACTACTTCCATTTATTCTTTTGTCTTTCAAGTGGTATATTTAACATGTTGTCCAATCTACTAACATACCTATCTGGCTATTAATTTTGTATATTTGTTTAATTTTGTTGTATCTATATGAGGTTATAGAGCATCCAATCCTCTTTCTACACAGCGTGTATACATACATATACTCCACAGAATGCTTATATATATTACCAAAGTGGTTCCCCAGTTCCAGTTAATTTCAGACATTAGTGACACTGGATATAGAATGTTGACAGTAGGGGTCCTTGATTAACAATATGTTGACATGGGAGGTTCTTTGTTAGAAATATCTCTTTATGGCACTTAAAAACCACAGACTGTGGAACACTGGCCTATACCGCATGATTTATGGGATATACATGTCTTAAAACTAAGGAGAGTGCTATTTTTGTATAATCTTGTAAAAGAAAGAATGCATTAACACTCGAATGTTAATCAGTAACAAAGTCAACTCTTGCACTTCTTGAGAGAAATGTATTTGACCTTCAGTCTGGTCTCTCCCCTTCATTCCTCCCCTTCACACTCCTCCTCTCCCTCCACCCATACGCCCCTTTCCTCCACCTCTTCTAAGTCAAAAACAAGTTTTAGTTTTAGGTAGAGGTGAGTCAGGGTCTTAAACACTGGAGAGAGAGACACCCCCACCTACAGCACCCAACAGGTAGGGGAGCCACATTAGAGTTGTTTTTGGGGAGGAAAGAATGCTATTCAAAGGGAAAATAAGTAATTGGATGCCAGTGTCCATGGCAGTTTAGGATTAATTGGAACTGCACGATTCTGCTCACCCACCCCACGGGCTGTGTTAAATTCAGTTATAACTACTTAAGAAATTATTACTTAATTATTTCCTAATTCCTGCAGCTGCTGTCTCTTGTATTAGGTGTCCTGTAAGTTCTGTCTACAGAGAGACATGCAGAGTGCACTGAGAGGCAATGAATGTTATGAGAGACAGCCACAGCAATGTATTGAGAGACATCCACAGAGTGTAGTGATAGACAGTCGTGTGCTCAGAGACATGCAATGATTGTACCGACAGACAGACTTTAGATATATTGTGTGTACTGGGTGATAGGCATGTGTTAAACTACATACAGTGACTGAGGGGCATGTAATCAGTGTACTGAGAGACATGCAATGATTGTTCTCGTACAACCATATAATAAGAGATGTACAATAAGTGCGCTCAGAGGCAGCCATGTAATAAAAAATATGCAGGCATGTAAGAAATGGTATACACAGAGATAGACTGATACTGAAAGGCATAGAATTGGTATACTCAAAGACATTCATATATTGAGAGGCATAGAATTACAATACAGTAGAGAGAGTCATATATTGCAAGGTACATAAATGCCTTCTATTATATGACTAGCAAAAGCGTCCGGATTTGGTACCCAAAACACACCGTCCAAGGCTGTATCTTCAGAGAACTGAACTGAAAATCAGAAAAGTGCTTTGCTATACTGCACATGTAAAATTTTGCAAATACTTGTCATATCATGGAGCAATAGGAGTTGTAGGGGGCAAAAGGAGAAAATATGGTCAGGGTAATATGAGCAATAGGACTAGTTATAGGGAGGGTTATATGGAGTAATAGAAGGAGTTATAGCGAGAGGTATTTAGAGCAATATGAGGAGTTATAGGAAGTGTTATATGGAGTAATAAGAGGAGTTATAGGGAGAGTTATATGGAGCAATAGGAGGAGTTATAGGGAGGGTTATATGGAGCAATGGGAGGAGTTATATTGAGTAATAGGAGGAGTTATAGGGAGAATTATATGGAGCAATAAAAGGAGTTATGGAGAGGTTATATGGAGCAATCTGAGGAGTTATAGGGAGGGTTATATGGAGCAATGGGAGGAGTTATAGGGAGGGTTATATGGAGTAATAGGAGGAGTTATAGGGAGGGTTAGATGGAGTAATAGGAGGAGTTATAGGGAGCAATAGGAGGAGTTATAGGGAGGGTTATATGGAGCAATAGGAGGAGTTATAGGGAGCGTTATATGGAGCAATAGAAAGATTATTATTGAGGGTTATATGGAGCAAAAGGAGGAGTTATAGCGAGGGGTATATAGAGCAATGGGAGGGTTATATGGAGTAATAGGAGGAGTTATAGGGAGGGTTATATGGTGCAATAGGAGGAGTTATAGGGAGGGTTAGATGGAGCAATAGGAGGCGTTATGGAGAGGTTATATGGAGCAATAGGAGGAGTTATAGGGAGGGTTATATGGAGCAATGGGAGGAGTTATAGGGAGGGTTATATGGTGCAATAGGAGGAGTTATAGGGAGGGTTATATGGTGCAATAGGAGGAGTTATAGGGAGGGTTATATGGTGCAATAGGAGGAGTTATAGGGAGGGTTATATGGTGCAATAGGAGGAGTTATAGGGAGGGTTAGATGGAGCAATAGGAGGAGTTATAGGGAGGGTTAGATGGAGTAATAGGAGGAGTTAGATGGAGCAATAGGAGGAGTTATAGGGAGGGTTATATTGAGCAATAGGAGGAGTTATAGGGAGAGTTATAATAAGCAATAGGAGGAGTTATAGGGAGGGTTATATGGAGCAATGAGTGTAGTTTTAGGAAGGGTTATAGGGAGGGTAATATGGAGTAGTAGGAGGTGTAATACAATACAAAAAGATGATCTGATAATGTGGAGGATTGTGGCATTATATGGATGATAGGATTATTTATATGGAGGTATTGTATAGGGTAATATAAAGACTTATTGGGGAGAATATATAGTGATATATTGAGAAAGCATACTATAGACAATATTCGGTTTTAAGTCTTTGTCACTGAAATGAATGAATGCCAAGTCTTATTCGCCACCACAGCTTCTGTGTCCTAGATGTGCCAGACACCAAGGAAAGCAATATTCACATATTCACAGAAAGTCAATGTATTAGGAAATGCCTGTGTGAACAATTAGACTGTGTTAATCGTGCCAAAGACAAACAGCATATTCTCAAGCTGGAACTGGTCACACTGGATGATGAAGCTGATTTGTGCCTAGAAGAACAGTGGTGGAATGTTCAGAGTTCCAATGAGTGTGACTCTGTGTCTACTTATACTAGCGGAAGGGGGAGGTGGGTACTTGATAAATAAAAGCAAATAAAGGAGAGAGAGGGACAGTTGTCACCTAACAATGAGAAAAGACAGAGAAGTGGATTAACATTTCAGACAATCAAGGAATGGTAAGGGACCCCCCGATTGCATTAATCTGAATATATTTACAGATTTAATACTTTTCTTACCTGCTAATAGTTGTTGCATGTTAATTCCCATATATCTTAGGTTTTGTTACCTAGGATTCTGGGAATTAATCTAAGGCAGCCTACCAGCATTTTGCATCTGAAATGCCCTTGTGGATGGAATCAGTGTGATATTCAAAAGGCCAAGCTTCTCTCTGCAATGGCACTTGTGAGCAAAAACTTGTGGACCCTGTACACGCTATACCTAGCTGCGTATCCGCTACATCTCACTGAAAGGTGTCCTGTCTGTTTATTGGGGAGCAAAGTTTGGTGGTTATATGGTCAGCATTCATGCTATAATCTCAGATCTGAACTCAGCTATCGTAGATGGGATCAGTCTGATATACAATAGGCTAAGGTTCTCTCTGAAATGGTACATGTAAGAAAAATCTTTATTGAGTCCTGATCGAGTTCTTACCGAAAGGCAAGTTATTAAATTTTCACCCTTTTTCAGTGTTCTCTGATCTACCAAATAATTTAACAGCAGATGGGCACATAAACACTACACTGTAACACTAATTTAGTTTACAAGTTGATTTTCTGTATGGTGCATTTAATAAGTGTTATAGGTCTAAGTGTACTGTTAGTGAAATGATGTTTGTATAACCTGTTTGTATCAAAGCAATGTTATATGTTGTTGGAACTAGCCATCCTGATTTTAACCTACAAACATTAGATCTGTAACATTTATCCCCAAAACAGTGGAAGCGGCTATAAATATTTAGGATAAAACCTGTTCTTCTTTACATAATGTTCTGCTTGCCCTACCCTGTTGTTCACCTCTAGCTTGTTACAGGTTAACTTCGTTAACAAAGGAATCTACCCTCTTTAAATTTATAGCCATCCGACAAAACTCACCAAAGGAACAAGTGAATACCTTCGATTGTCTGCCATCATGTCTTCAACAATAAACCTGGGACCCTCAGCCAATCCCAAGTGAGTGCACGACATACTATCCAGTGTCAGAAATAGTTAATAAACTAGACTTACTAAAAACTAGATTCGGGCCAATTTTGCTTCTTAAGAGTTGCAGTGACATTGTGTTCCCATTGGCATTAGTATATTTTTAAACTCCACAGAGAAAAAGGAATTCACTTAGCTGAAGTTTGAAAAGAACTAGGAACATAATAATTTGGTGATATTAACCTCTTAAAGTCACAACTTCAGAAATAAAATGGAATCATGACAGAATATTTCCGTCATGTGTCCTTAAGGGGTTAAGGGTGCTGAACGAAAACATGGCTAATATTAAGAATATTTTAAACAAAGCATATAATGTTGAAGCTGGAGGTTTTTGCTATATTTAAGTTGGAATTTTTGGAGTGTTGAGTTGATCAGGGTCCATGATCCACATAGACACAGTTGAGAAAAATTTAGATTTCAGACTTCCTGGAGCAAACTAAGTAACGGAAGCTTGTTCCAAAATGTCTTTAATGTGTTTTTCAGTACGGCATTACTAGATTCTTTTATGCATGAACTTTACATCCTTTACTAAAAGGATATGTCCAAAGCTTAGATAAGCCACATTTTTCAGAAATATCTTAGGAGTTCCCAGGACCTCTATATAAAATTTAGCAGCACTGGAGGTTGGTCCTCTGAGTACAGATGGTGGGGCTTTCATTACGAAGCAGAGGTCAGAGATGACAGCATTGTAATTTGTGCACAGATACTGATCCTTATTACTTGATTTGGATTTGCTCACAATCCCAGGGCAATTTCATTACTGTGATGTCTTCCACTCCAGGAGATGTGCCTTATGGGTGTCTTCAGCAAACAAAAAAGGAGGAATTAAGAAAGCTCCAGTAGCAATACCTCCCTTTAAAATGATACTCTAGGCACCAAAACAACTGTAGCTTAATGAAGCAGTTTTGGTATACAGATCTCCTATATAGATCTTGCTGTTTTTTTTACTACTTGACCTCCAGGAGCTTTTTCTGATGTTGTCTAATGGAACGAGTCCGCATTGTTGCAGACTTTTTTTTTTGTATTCTATTGATATCTTACAAAGAGAGGATATTGGGGGAAATGAAGAAAACAGCAGTAGAAAAGGGATGGAGTCAAAAAGAAGCAGTTCTTGGCAGATGCTAGAATAGGGATAGGCAACCTTTGGCACTCCACATGTCTGAAGGTTGCCTATCTCTGGTATAGAATATGTTTGTTGGATTCATCAGTGGAGCAAAAGCAGAATAAAATTTCCATACTTAATGGCAGGATTGGAAAGGTATAGTGGGTGATAGAAAGTGATAAAAACAAGGCACTGTATGATTTGCAGCACAAACGAAACCTGCAAGTCCCACTGGCTATGTATCTTCATGGGTTCGAAGCATTGCAGTGCAAATGTTGTTACAAGGATTCTACCTGTCATAGAGCACTGAACAACAGATTTGAAAGTATAAGTATCATGTTAACATGTGTACAACATATTGAGATCATTAATATAATCATGTTTCTTATGCTGCAGTGCCAAACCCACCGATTTTGATTTCCTTAAAGTAATTGGAAAAGGAAGTTTTGGAAAGGTTAGTATTTCACAACTTATGCTTCATACTATGTCACACAATGCATTGAGTGTGTTGGCTCTTTTTTCATTAATTTAATCCGACATAAAGGTAAAGCAGCCCTTGAGGATATTTCAAAAAGGGGCGCAGATTGGGAATTGACTGTGAGTGAATGAAGATTAATAGAAGATGCTGATGTGTGATGGAATGAAGGTGGATAGGTATCAATAGAAAGAAAATTTGGGATAGCAGAAGAAAGGTAGTTAAACGTCATAAATAAAGGGAAAAAAGATGGATAAGTCATAGGTGAAGGATTGTAGGGAAGGGAAGTGCAAGGGAATTAACATAAATATAAATATGTGTTAATTGGAAGAGACGTATGACCAAATTAAGGTGAATGTGTGTCATTAATAGGGAAGTGGGTTGTGAATGAATAGAAGACAGTGCCTAGTTACAAAGGGAACAGAAGTGTGACAAAATTAAGGTAAGTAGGGATCAAAAGGATGGGAGTTGTAACAGAATGACAGACTGTAGGCTTAATTACAAGGAATAGAGGATAGAAAAAATGAAGGGAGATATGGTTAGCTACAAAGAATAGACATGTGAATGAAAGTGGATATCGTCAGTAATGATAAAGGAATGAGAGTTGTGACAGAATGAAGGAAGAGGACCAGTAACAAATCGAAGAGATTGACAGAATAAAATAAAGGTATCGATAAATAATAAAGGGAATAAAGGTGTGAGAGAACAATCGTAGATAGGGGTCAGTAATGAAGAGAGCATAGGTGTGAGAATGAAAGTAGATAGGGGTCAGTAATGACGGAGAGGTGTAACAGAATAAAGGTACATAGTTACATACATAGATACATAAGGAAACATTGTTGGACAGATTAAAGGTAGATAGGGATCAGGAGTGGAAGTGACAGGTGTGACAGAATGAAGATAGATAGGGGTCAGTAAGGCAGGAGAAGAGATGTAAAAAAAAGAGGGACCTTATGGGCCAATAAAGTGGGAGGACAGGTGTGACAGAATTATGGTACATAGGAGTCAATAATGAGGGAGTACAGGTGTGACACAATGAAAGCAGCTAGGGGTAAAAAAAATGAAAGGACAGATGTGACAGAATGAAGGTAGATAGGGGTCAATAAAATGGGAGGACAGGTGTGACAGAATGAAGGTAGATAGGGGTCAATAAAGCAGGAGGACAGGTGTGACAGAATGAAGGTAGATAGGGGTCAATAAAGCGGGAGGACAGGTGTGACAGAATGAAGGTAGATGGGGGTCAATAAAACGGGAGGACAGGTGTGACAGAATGAAGGTAGATAGGGGTCAATAAAGCGGGAGGACAGGTGTGACAGAAAGAAGGTAGATAAGGGTCAATAAAGCGGGAGGTCAGGTGTGACAATGATGGCAGGGGTCAATAAAGCGGGAGGACAAGTGTGACAATGATGGTAGATAGAGGTCAATAAAGCGGGAGGACAGGTGTGACAGAATGAAGGTAGATAGGGGTCAGTAAAACGGGAAGACAGGTGTGACACAATGAAGGTAGATAGGGGTCAATAAAGCAGGAGGACAGGTGTGACAGAATGAAGGTAGATAGGGGTCAATAAAACAGGAGGACAGGTGTGACAGAATGAAGGTAGATGGGGTCAATAAAGCGGGAGGACAGGTGTGACAGAATGAAGGTAGATGGGGTGAATAAAGCGGGAGGACAGGTGTGACAGAATGAAGGTAGATGGGGTCAATAAAACGGGAGGACAGGTGTGACAGAATGAAGGTAGATAGGGGTCAATAAAGTGGGAGGACAGGTGTGACAGAATGAAGGTAGATAGGGGTCAATAAAGCGGGAGGACAGGTGTGACAGAATTAAGGTAGATAGGGGTCAATAAAGCAGGAGGACAGGTGTGACAGAATGAAGGTAGATAGGGGTCAGTAAAGCGGGAGGACAGGTGTGACAGAATGAAGGTAGATGGGATCAATAAAGTGGGAGGACAGGTGTGACAGAATGAAGGTAGATAGGGGTCAATAAAGCGGGAGGACAGGTGTGACAGAATGAAGGTAAATAGGGGTCAATAAAGCGGGAGGATAGGTGTGACAGAATGAAGGTAAATAGGGGTCATTAAAGCGGGAGGACAGGTGTGACAGAATGAAGGTAGATAGGGGTCAATAAAGCGGGAGGTCAGGTGTGACAATGATGGCAGATAGGGGTCAATAAAGCAGAAAGACTGGTGTGACAATGATGATAGATAGGTGTCAATAATGAGGCTGGTCAGGTGTGACAGCATGAAGGCAGATAGGGATCAGTAATGAGGGAGGACAGGTGTGACAGAATGAAGGTAAATAGGGGTCAATAAAGCGGGAGGATAGGTGTGACAGAATGAAGGTAGATAGGGGTCAATAAAGCGGGAGGTCAGGTGTGACAATGATGGCAGATAGGGGTCAATAAAGCAGAAAGACTGGTGTGACAATGATAATAGATAGGTGTCAATAATGAGGGTGGTCAGGTGTGACAGCATGAAGGCAGATAGGGATCAGTAATGAGGGAGGACAGGTGTGACAGAATGATGGTAGATAGGGAACAGTAGTGAAAGGAGGAGAGGCGTGACAGAATGAAGGCAGATAGGGGTAAGTATAGAAGGTTCTAAATATGTAGAACTCACAATGGAAAGCAAATAAATATTTCTGCTATTTGATCTGCTGGTTACTCCATATTTATAGCTTTCTATCAGAACTGGATTGCTTTTCCTTGCAACATTTTTATTCATCTCTCTGAGACATTATTGGTATTATTTAGTAATCATCAGATTTTGGCATTGCTTTAACTCCATCCCTGGTTAAAGTGTTTGTTACTCCATTTTGACAGCGATTACATTTATTTGTACCACATGATTTAATATTGTTTTCAATTATCCACACCTCTCTGATTATTTTGTTCTTGGTTGACCGCTGTGCTGCCAAGGACTTGGAGTTTGTCACTAATCTCATAATCTTGAGCAGGCTGGACATAAAAATTCCTGTGGCAGGGGTTGAGGGGAGATCAGACTGAGATCCTGTTCTAGATTCTTAATGAAAATTTGTATTTTAAGGTCAGCTCACTTCACCTCCTCCAAAATCATATAACAGGGATAGTCAACCTTGTGCACTCCAGATGTTGTGAACTACATCTCCCATAACACTCATACAGCCACAATGCTGGCAAAGCATCAGGAGAGATGTAGTCCATAATATCTGGAGTATCCAAGGTTGCTGATCCATGTCCTTTAACCAACTTTCTGACCTTCTAGGACATTTTTTGTAGCCTCTGACCTCAACAGCCACTTCATGGCTGTAATCTCCCACCTGGAGAGCCAGGTTGCCAGTACCATCATGGTTGGTCATTAAAGTGAGAACTCAAAGTCACTTTAAAATTTAAGGCCAAAGTTGTCAAATCGGATAAAAGATGACTTCCAGAATTTTTCCCAGTTGAGCTATTGCACCTTGAATTTAAATTCACACTTAAGCGTATATGTCATGTTTTATTGCCTCGCTTTTGCACGCTTGTTCCATTACACAGTTAGCTTTATAAAAAATATGTATTATTTATTGCTCAAAATCACACCTATCCTACATCTTGAACCTGTAATTTAAAAAAAATATTAATTTTGTACCCATACATCATGTACATTTATTACTCAATCGTAGGTAAATACTCTCAGATACCTGTAAAATCTATGGGTGAAGCCTTGTCTCATAGCTTTTCTAAAGAATTCATTTCTCACAGGTACTTCTGGCCAAGCGTAAAAGCGACAATCGTTTCTATGCTGTAAAGGTTCTTCAGAAGAAGACTATCTTGAAGAAGAAAGAGGTGAGTAGGGAAAGGGCCGTCAGACATGCATTGTATTATCCCATTAAAAGAACTTGGTATAAATGGACATTTTAACAGAATAGTAAAGCAACTGAGAATAAGAAAATTAGGGTCTTTGAGTGGTTTTACACAAACTGAGGATTCCCCAGGTGCCTGATTTACTTTTATTTAAGACAGCTTAAATAAAAGAGATGCAGTTGCAGGACCAGATTTCCCATTAGGTAGAGTAGGCACCTGACCATTAATGGGCGAACGTTTTCAGCAGATAAAATGAGCCTTTTTGAGCTTAAATAGGCTGATGGGGAGTGATAAGTACCAGAAGCCATGGCCAGTGTCCTATGCAGTCCAGTCAGCCGTAGTAGTAGTAGAGCTGCAGGAACAGTTATAGAGGGTGTAAAACACGTAGCTCCTCCAGTGTCTGTGTGTGAGACAGGATGTCAGAGGGATCACTTCCAATCTGCACACTAACAGACTCTCAAACAGGAAATGCTTTGCAGGAGGAGCAGTGGAAGTTCTGAGTGATGCACACTGTATGACATCTCCTGCAGCTGTAATATCATCAATCTGAATTATCTACATAAAGTTTTCCCAAAGTGTGGGTCGCAGGGCGATTCCCAGTGGGTTGCGCTGACCCACGCCTCCAGGGCCGCCGGGGACCTAAGAGACAGGCAGGCAGACTGATTAGTCAGGCTCGAGAGTGACCACGGGCCCGACACCAGGAGGGGCACCAGCAGCTTGCCCTGGATGTCACCAGGCTCCCTCCAATCAGTCTGCCCAGCTCTGCCAGAGCTGCAGACCGTGTTATAGAAGTCTCATGAGCTCCCAGAGCATGACAACACGCTGGGAGCTCGCAAGACTTCTATCACATGGTCTGCAGCTTTGCACCCGGCGGAGCTGCAGACCGCAGAATTAACCGACCGGACCACTAGGGAGAGACACTGGACCATCAGAGAATCTAATTAAGGTAGGACACAGCCCCACACCCTGCCCCCCCACAATGTAACCCCTTCTCTACCTGCCCCAACACTGTAACCCCTAATCTCCCTACCTCCCTCCTCACACTGTAAATCATTCTCTCCCTGCCCTCCCACACTATAACCCCTTCTCTCCCTGCCCCCTCCCGACACTGTAATCCCTTGTCACCCTGTCCCCCCGTATAGATTTCTCACCCTGCCCCCCCACTGTAACCCTTTCTCACCCTGCCCCACACTGTAACGCCTTCTCTCCCTGCCCCCTCCCCACACTGTAATGCCTTCTCTCCCTGGCCTGCTCCCCACACTGTTATCCCTTCTCTCCCTGCCCCCCCCACTGTAGCCCCTTCTCCCCCTGCCCCTGCCCCACATTGTAGCCCTTCTCTCTGCCCCACACTGTAACCCTTCTCTTCCTGTGCCCCCACCTGTAGCCCTTCTCTCTCTGCTCCCCACACTGTAGCCCTTCTCTCCCTGCTCCCCACGCTGTAACCCCTTCTCTTCCTGCCCCCCCACTGTAGCCCCTTCTCTCCCTGACCCCCTCCCCACACTGTAACCCATTCTCTCCTGCCCCCCCCCCACACTGTAACCCCTTCTCTCCTGCCCCTCCCTCCACTGTAACCCCTTCTCACCCTGTCCCCATTATGGATTTCTCACCCTGCCCCCCACTGTAACCCTTTCTCCGCTGCCCCCATTGCCAACCCTTTCTCACCCTGCCCCCTGCGGCCCTTTCTCCCCATGCCCCCACACTGTAACCCTTTTTCACCCTGCCCCCCCCCACACTGTCACCAGCACACACACACACACACTTACTCCCACACTGTCATCCTCACCTCCTGTCTCTGTATGTAAATGTATCTGTGTGTCCTTTTGTGTCAGTGTGTGTCTGTGTGTATTGTGTGTCAGTGTGTATCTGGGTAAATGAGTGTCTGTGTATCTGGGTGTGGGAAACTAGGTGTTATTATGTGTATGTCTGTGTGTATCGGAGTGTCAGTGTGTGTATTTGTGTGCCTGTGTATTTGCATGTGTGTCAGTGTGTGTCTCTGTATGTGTGTGGAAGTGTATACACTGCACACAAATGCACACCTGCATTCAAACACCAACATTCACACACATACTCCATACAAAACATGCTTACATTCAAACACACATTGTGTATATGTATATTTTATATACACAATATACACACACTGCATCCACTACACACGGACTGCAATCAAACGCAAACATTACATACAAACACACCCCTGTATTAAAACACTAAAATTATATACACCCCTTCATTCAAACACCAACACTACACCTAAATATAACCCTGCAACGATGGGCAAATGGTAGATCCCCAGATGGCATAGCATTGTTGAAGTTCTCTGACAGATGGGGATCTACCTTTTGGTCACACTTGCACTATATGGGGGCACAGAAAACATACTTGCACCAGGGCCCTCTTTACATTAGTTCCACCACTGGGATAATAAGCGTTAGGTGCCTGGATGAAAGAGCGGGACACAGAACTTCTGATTCTGACTGAGTCTGTGAGTAAGCCGTTGTATGCCTCTAAAACGGATTGCCATGATATGCCACGTTTCTCCCTTTAAAACTGCCATAATATGCCAAAATAATTGCTATAAAACTGCCATGATATCCCAGAATTATGCCTCTAAAAGTGTCATGATATGCCAATTGTATGCATCTAAAGCTGATTGCCCTAGTGTTGCAATTGTATGCCTCTATAGCTGCCATGTGCCAACTTTATGCTTTTAAAATGGATTGTCATGGTGTGCACATTTTATGCATCTAAGCCTGTTTGCCATGGTTCTGCCAATTGTATGCAGCTAAGACTGTTTGCCATGGTGTGTCAATTGTATGCCTCTAAAACTGATTGCCATATGTGCCAGTTTATGCATCTAAAGCTGATTGCCCTGGTGTGCCAATTGTATGCATCTAAAGCTGGATGCCATGATGTGCCAGTTTTATGCCTCTAAAACTGATTGGCATGGTGTGCCAATTGTATGTCTTTAAAACTGATTGCCATGGTGTGCCAATTGTATGCCTCTAAAGCTGATTTCCATGGTGTGCCAACTGTATGTATCTAAAGCTGATTGCCATAGTGTGCCAGTTGTATGCCTCTAAAGCTGATTGCCATGGTGTGCCAATTGTATGTCTCAAAAATGATTGCCATGGACTGCCAATTGTAAGTCTCTAAAGCTGATTTCCATTGTGTGCTTACTGTATGTCTCTAAAGCTGATTGCCATGGACTGCCAATTGTATGTCTCTAAAGCTGATTTCCATGGTGTGCCAATTGTATGTCTCTAAAGATGATTGCCATGGTGTGCCAATTGTATGTCTCTAAAGCTGATTGCCATGGTGTGCCAACTGTATGTCTCTAAAGCTGATTGCCATGGTGTGCCAATTGTATGCCTCTAAAGCAGATTGCCATGGTGTTCATTTTTAAAATATGCATTAAAAGAAGTGGGTCTCAAAAAATTACAGTTTTCAAAAGTGGGTCTCAGCCCATAAATGTTTGAGAAGCCCTGATCTACATAATACATAGTAGAGTGAGTACCCTGCATATAACCATTCAAACTCCAGAACTCAAAGCCTAAACCTAAAAAATAAATCCTTTACATTATTACCTTTGTTTAACTCCCTTTAAAAGCTAAACAACTCATGTACGCAATAGAAAATTTAACACAACTCTGACCCTAAACTCAATCATCCTGAAACACACCCCAAAATGCTAAATTTAACCCAACTCTAGCCCTCAACTCAATAATCCAAAATATTCCTTATATTACAACTTCAGCCCTCTGTAGCTGTTAATCCCTTTGACACATCCTATGTAATCTAACCCATTTCTAACTTAAAGCCACTTTTACCCTAATCACTTATGTTATCTTTAACCCTGCGTGTATTTACACAGCTGCACACACTCACTATACTCGGACTCAAACACAAACAGAGCAGAAATATACACATACAGGTGATACCTGAAAAATTTGAATATCGTACAAAAGTTCATTTATTTCAGTAATGCAACGTAAAAGGGGAAACTAATATATGAGATAGACGCATTACATGCAAAACAAGATAGTTCAATCCATGATTTGTCATAAGTGCGATGATTATGGCTTACAGCTCATGAAAACCCCAAATCCACGATCTCAGTAAATTAGAGTATTACATGCAATCAATAAAACAAGGAGTGTACATAGAACAATATCGGACCTCTGAAAAGTATAAGCATGCAGATGGACTCAGTACTTGGTTTGGACCCCTTTTGCAGCAATTACTGCCTCAATGTGGCGTGGCATGGAAGCTATCAGCCTGTGGCACTGCTGAGGTGTTATGGAAGACCAGGATGCTTCAATAGCGGCCTTCAGCTCTTCTGCATTATTCGGTCTCATGTCTCATCTTTCTCTTGGCAATGCCCCATAGATTCTCTATGTGGTTCAGGTCAGGCGAGTTTGCTCGCCAATCAAGCACAGTAATCCCACGGTCATTGAACCAGCCTTTGGTGCTTTTGGCAGTGTGGGCAGGTGCAAAGTCCTGCTGGAAAATGAAGTCAGCATCCCCATAAAGCTTGTCTGCAGAAGGAAGCATGAAGTGCTCCAAAATCTCCCATTAGACGGCTGCGTTGACCCTGGACTTAATGAAGTGGACCAACACCAGCAGATGACATGGCTCCCCAAATCAACACAGACTGTGGAAACTTCACACTGGACTTCAAGCATCTTGCAGTGTGTGCCTCTCCATTCTTCCGCCAGACTCTGGGACCTTGGTTTCCAAATGAGATGCAAAAGTTGCTCTCATCAGAAAAGAGGATTTTGGACCACTGAGCAACAGACCAGGTCTGTTTTTCTTTAGCCCAGGTAAGACGCTTCTGACGTTGTTTGTTGTTCAGGAGCGGCTTGACAAGAGGAATACGACATCTGAAGCCCATGTCCAAGATCCGTCTGTATGTGGTGGCTCTTGATGCACTGACTCCAGCCTCAGTCCACTCCTTGTAAAAGTCCCCAACACTTTACCTGACAATCCTCTCCAGGCTGCAGTCATCCCTGCTGCTTGTGCACCTTTTTTCTTCCACACTTTTCCCTTCCACATAACTTTCTATGAATGTGCTTTGATACAGCACTTTGGGAACATCCAACTTCTTTCGCAATTACCTTTTGAGGCTTTTACCTCCTTATGGAGGGTGTCATTGAGGGTTTTCTCCACAACTGACAGGTCAGCAGTCTTCCCCATGATTGTGATTCCTGCTGAACCAGACTGAGAGACCATTTAAAGGCTCAGAAACCCTTTGCAGGTGTTATGGCTTACTTAGCTGATTAGAGTGGGACACTCTGAGCCTAGAATATTGCACCTTTTCACAATATTCTAATTTACTGAGATTGTGGATTTGGGGTTTTCATGAGCTGAAAGCCATAATCATGGCACTTATGACAAATCACAGCTTGAACTATCTTGCTTTGCATGTAATGCATCAATCTAATATTAGTTTCTCCTTTTACGTTGCATTACTGAAATAAATGAACTTTTGCACGATATTCTAATTTTTCGAGTATTACCTGTACATATTTATACACATGCAGTAATCAAATATACATATGTGGTTTTTCTAGATTTTTTTTTTTAGGCCTGCACTTAATACATTGATTATACTTACTTTATCTGAAAGATTAAGCAGGGGTGTAACTGGAAAAATATTAAAAGGGTAAGTAAAAAAGGTGCAGAGAGGTAAATGAAAGACTAGCAGAAGAAACAGAGAACACAGAGTGTGAGGGTGGCCAATCCCGTTATATTCTGACGTAGTTATATATGTATTGATTGGGCTTTCCTATAGAAAGGAGATTAAAGTATGGGTATGGATCAAAAGTGCAATAAACACCTTTGTTCTCATCAGCAATCCCACATTATGGCTGAAAGGAATGTCCTCCTGAAGAACCTAAAGCATCCTTTCCTTGTGGGCCTACACTACTCCTTCCAGACCACTGAGAAGCTCTACTTTGTTCTAGACTATGTAAATGGTGGAGAGGTAAGACGATAACCCATTATCACACTTACTACAGTGGCATTCTATTGCAATATCCCTCATTTTATACTGCTACACTGTGTAAACAAGACTCAAACACCTTAGACCACGAAATGTTGTGTTGAGGTATTTTTCAGAGTAACTACTGGGCCAGCGAGGCCTATGTCAGGTAAAAAAACCTGTTGCATGCACCACTACTTTGTTATTCCAGGAACTCATCAGTGATCCAGAACAGTGTGTATAATTGCAAGCTTCACCTTGGGAGCAGTAACTCAAATGATTTATTTCACGTTGTGCTAACTGCAGAGAAAACACGCGGTTAGGAATGACTAAGTGGATTTTTTTTCCCGAGAGGCAAAAAGGACCTTGAGCTACCTTTGCAACCGGATACAAGATTTGATTTTCCAAGCTAATTTCCAAAATAATGAGTTATTTTAAGTCAGCAATCAATTTCCAGGCCAACGTATCCGATCGGGGAAAAAAAAGGAAAGTCCATTTTGACCATCTTCATTGATTTTTTTTTTTCTTCCGTTCTGTTAATATAAACTATATGTTGAATAAACTACTGCATCTAGGGTGGGCAATTTCTGCAGTGTCAAACCCTACATCTCCCAGAATGCTCTGCTACCTGTCATATAGTGAAGCCGTTAACAATAAATCATAGGGTGATACAATCTGTTGTTACTGCAGAAACTAATGATAATTCATCAAATTACATAATTAGTGGAGTGAACTCAACCGTCATTCTCTTGGACTCTCCCAGTGTAGTTAGCAGAACTCAAAATGTCAAAATACTGATAGGAGTAAGAAAGATTGCTGTCATTTAAGATGGTGGTATGCTGCTAATGATAAAAAGGCAGAGCTCTTAGCTCTCACTGGCATGCCACGGGTTACGTATGTATGGGCAGGAAAGTAGCCAAGAGTATTACGCTCCATTGTGCCTGAGCCACATCAGCAGCAAAGGATTGTGGTACCATACTCACTTTGTTGTTGTTATCGTGCACAGCAAGACTACATACTGTGTTTGCAGCTCATTAGTTTAATTAGTTGTCCTAAGGCCTAGTGGGATCGAGTGAAAAATATGCCTGAAGCATGCTGAGCAAATGGTTTTTGTTTGCTAGAACCATTTAGGTGGAAGAGAGAAAATACTCCCCACATATGTTGTTGTTGTTGTTTTGTTTTTTTCTGTTTTTTTTTTTTTATCTGTTTTTCCGCATGCCCTGCCAGGTATACTGTTCATAAATTGCCGAATTGCTGAATAGTTCCTGGGAAGGTAATAGATATCTGGGCTAGTGCTCACTTAAGAGTAATAGTTTGAGGTTGTTTATTACAGCTTGAATATGTTGTTTTCTTAAATGTTGCATTTACTTGAAGATAAAGCTCTCTAACTTGGCAGTAATCATCAAACCAGGGACTATGCTCTATATAACTAAATAAGTAAAATACAAACAAACAACCCTTACAAGTTGAAGTTAAATTTAGAACAATCTCTATATAGTTATGGTTATCATTACATTTTAGTATTTTGTATATTTTTTTAAACTGGTATTTTTCTGTTAGAGTAAGAGATATCCAGTAACAGAGATCATGTTTTGTGCATGACCAGAACATATAAAATAATAAAATGCTGATAAATCAACCTTTTAAAAAAATAAATAAATAGAAATATCAATATAGTGCCTGCATTGTAATGAGCCCGACAAAATCAGACTATACTATAACTGTTGAATTTAAATGAGGTACCGGAATATGCACTTAGATCAATTGGTTGGGTTCAATAAGGCGAGTAAGCACCTAACCAAAGGGGGCCTCGAGGGCGGGGGTGTAGACCACTATAAGCAATACGTGTTAATGATACAATAACACAGAAATTAAATTGTAAAAAGAAAAACAACCAAACAGAACAAAAAAAAGGTTAACCACTATGTACACGATAGCGTAGCAACATCAGACTCGTAAACTAAACGTAAGTCATGGTACTCTAGTTAATCTTACTTCACCAATCTGTCTAGTCAAGCATGCTTAAAAAACACAAAATTGTGCGAACTCTCATGCCACTGCTAAACTGTTATGACTCTTGAAATACGCTGTTGTGGCGACCGTTGATATATTGTAATCATCTGCACAGCAAAAATAAAAATTCTAAAGACAAAAGGAGACACAAGTGTGAGGGTCCCAGGAGCAGCATGGAAACAGGAGTGTCTTAGATTGCACGGTTAAGGTGACCGGAACAGTGCACCCAGACCACTTCGATAAAATGAAGTGGTCTGGGTGCCAATAGTGTCCCATGAAAAGTACCTCACTTTTTTCTACACAAATAAACAATTCCAGATGCAATTACAGACTGGCTATGTTCCTTGAGCAAGAAAGTTTATTTCAAGGACAGGTTAGAATACACATTATCTGAAAGACTGCATGAGAAGCAACAGAGTTGTAGCAACAACATACTTTGGTTTGTGTGGGTCACTATTAATGAGCAAGCATTTTGACATGAATCGCTGAGAGTTGTTTCAGCAAAGTAAGTGATATTATGCACTGATACAGTGCATCTGCTAATTTCCTTTAGTAGAATCTAGTATATGCTAAGAATCTATTCATCCGTGAATGTCACTAGGAAAAATATGGAGCTCAGCTAAATTGGATCAGAACCTTCTTGTGTTAATAATATTTTTATTGTTTTGCTTTTAGCTAAACGTTATTATGTATATAATGATCATATGCACAGGTGTTGCTGGGTTAGAGCATTGGGGCGAAATCCACTGAATGGTATTCTTTAGCCCTGGATCTCTACAGGTAGTGGAGGGGCTGAAGGATATAAGCGTTTTCTTATGGTCTTTTTTGCTCTGCAAGGCTACTTAGGGTGAGGAAGTGATGCCCCCAAGGTTATCTTGTGATATGGTGCTGTAAAGCAGAACTTTGCTGCACACCGCTCTATTAAACCAACACTATAGGGTCAGGAACACAAACATTTATTCCTGACCCTATAGGGTTAAAAAAAAAAAATTAGGTGGCTTGCCCGCCCCCTCCTCAGCCCCCTTAGAAGGGGTTAAAAAATACTTTTTTCCCAATGCAGTGTGGGTTTGTCGGCGTTGGCCCCTCCCCCGATCTGCCTCCTTGGTGACATCATCAGAATTTACTATTTTTAGCCAATCCATTGCTTTCCCATAGGGAATGCATTGGATTGACAGAAATTGACAAGGAGGCAAAATGTGCACAGAGCCAAATGCCGGTTTGGCCAATCAGCACCTCCTCATAGAGATGCATTGAATCAATGCATAGAGATGCTTTGAATCCATGCATCTCTATGAGGAAAGGTCTGCGTCCAGAATGGCACTGCTGCGCACTGGAGTGTCTGAGCAGTTATCTTCTCAACATTTACTAGCAGAAACCTACATCCTTTGCTTTCCCAATATACCGTACTGCAGACTATGTTGGTACTCTGTAATAACCATTTTTTTTTTTTGCAAGTTTCTACTCAAATAAGTTGTACTCTGCAGCTCTCTATAGACTTAGTAGAACTTGGCCATGGTCCATCAATATCTTATAACTGTGCCAGTTCTGAAAGAGAACCATCAAACCATCCCATTTGAAACGCCAACATTGAAATGGCGCCTGTGACGGACCGCCTGCCACCCCGACCAGGTACCTCCGCCAATCACTTCTTCCTAGTACTCCTTGAGTACCATAAGCGCCGCACCGGACACCATAACCACTGTAAACCCCACAAACCACCACAGTTTGGTTGGGGTCTCGCGGTGCTCCACCCACCCTGGACCCAAGACCAGGATCCAGCTTCCAGTGGGTAGACCTCTCCTAGTCCAGAGAGCAAAGCAGGCTGCTCTTATAAGAGCAAGTGTTGTGATCCGAGGGAGTATAGTTATTATAGCAATCCCCAGAGTGTGAATATAGCTCCCAATCCCCCAAACATGAGCCTAGACTTCATGAAGGGGTAAGACATTCTGTTTAATGGCAGCCATAACTGGCCTTATATGCAGGTCCCCATGCAAGGGGTTTCCGGTTACATTTTCCACAGGCATTCCCCACTGGACCTAAGAGTAGACTACAGCAGAAACATACACATGATTACATTGGCTCTCAGGTCCAGGACCCTCCCACACCAAACAAGAGAATCCCTCCCCTGTGCCTGGGTGATAATTGAGTCAGGAACTATACTAAACTCAATTATCTCCAGGCACAGAAAACATACATTTTACAATACCCCAAAAGTACCCCCAAAACACATGAAAACCCCCTGATAGCCCCGATCTGGGGGACCAACATATCAAAAAATCACCAAGATTGGTTCGGGGGTTCTGCCCAAAACCGTTCCAGAGAATCGGCTTGCGGTCGGTCTAGTTCGGTAGTTTAAAACCGAAAAAAGTACCGAACATATTTAAGAGTCTTACCCTGGAGCTTGTTCACCTTATTCGTGGGAACGTTTCCACCGAACAGTGCCCTTCTAAGTTGTGTTAAACCGACTGCAGGTGATCCTGGAAGTCCAGTAGTGTTCGGGAGTTTCAGTGTCCGAAAACAATACCATAAACTCAACGACCAAACACTGCTGCCTACATTGGGCGGGAACAAGATGGCCGCCACCTTGTGGTCGTTCATGTGAACAGCGGCCATCCAGACGAACACTTAGAACACTGTGGTGGAAAGTGTTACAAACTGTCAATTAGGTTTAACAAGATCCTGGGTGGTCTCTGGTTCGTGCGCCTAAACCAAATATAAAATCCCTCGGACCAAGTCCGTTCACATAGTTTTTTTTAAAGGGCAGAAGGCTGGCAAGCAGGTCTCTCCAAGAACCTGTGACGAGGTTCCGTTCGTCACAGCGACATAGTTTTTTCTCCACTTATTATTCTGGTGCCATGGCTGTAAAGCATTACAGGGTTATTTACTAAAGTAAGCATTATTGGGAAATCAAAGTAAATTTCAAATTTAAGGCCAAAACAGCCAGACCGCAAGAAATTGCTTTCAGTTGTCTTTATTTTGTCTCTAAATTTGAAATTCACTTAGAATTCACTTTGAGTTCCCGACAATAAGCTGAAACGGTGAAACGTTTTATCAGGCTATCTGTTTGAGTGCGGATTTAAAGCAATTTAGACGTCAGATGTTAGGGTTAAGATTGGGTTTAGGCATTTAATAGAAGCAGTTGGGAATGAAGTTTAGTGTGCGTTACAGAGCATATATTGTACAAACCCTTAACTGTTGTGCTCTATTTTCAACACAACATTTTAAACGCATTACTCTGATGAGCAATGTAAATAGGGCATACTAGACTAATGTACAAATGTGTTTCAGCTGCTACGAATGAATCAAATGCCTTTTAATCCGTGCCAGAACGAATTGATCACAGTGAATTAGACTCCACCGGTAAATCCCAGATGAATCGATTTGTTCAAGTGCTTATTAAAAAGGCATTTGATTAGTTCATAGCAGCTGAAACACATTTGTGCAGAAGTCTAATGTACATTTAGTAGTAAATTGGGCATACTGCCACTAGAATGCCTATTTTATTGATGCTGTATTAGCTAAAAGTTAAGGGCTATGATCAGTAGTTATTAGTTCTGTGGGTTAGAAGTTAAAGGTTGTAGTTAGAATCAGGAATTAAAGTTATGGAGTTAGGTTACGCAGTTTTGAGTTAGTGTAAGGACTTCAGGTCAGGAGTAGGGACTAGGAGTTTTTATGAGGACTTAAGGAATAGGATTTTATTTAGACTGTTTTTTTCTCCATTTATTATTCTGGTGCCATGGCTGTAAAGCATTACAGGGTTATTTACTAAAGTAAGCATTATTGGGAAATCAAAGTAAATTTCAAATTTAAGGCCAAAACAGCCAGACCGCAAGAAATTGCTTTCAGTTCGTCTTTATTTTGTCTTTAAATTTGAAATTCACTTAGAATTCACTTTGAGTTCCCGACAATAAGCTGAAAAGGTGTATATTGCCCACATACACGCACTCACTTGATGTTCTCTGTCAAAAATGGCAACAATAGTAAATTGGACCAATCTGTTATGGGATCCTGCTGAGTTAAAGGAACACTATAATGTCAGGAATACAAACATCCATTCCTGGCACTGTAGCCCTGAAGTGGCTGTTTAGATGACCAGCCTTCTCCTATATTAGTAAAAAGACTATTTTACTCACTTTCCCCTTGCCACACCAATCTCGCCATGGCAGGCCCCGTCTGGCTCCATTTGCAGGGCTGAGATCAATCAATCTTGATGATTTAAGCCAATACAATGCTTTCCCACGGAAAAGCATTTGAACGCCAATCACCTCATAGAGATGCATTGAATCAGTGCATCTGTATGGAGAATGTTCAGTGTCTCCATGCAGAGGGTAGACACTCTCCATGCCAGTGCTGCACACATTGCAGCACACCGATAAGAAGCACCTCTTGTGGTCATCTGAGTGACTGCAACTAGTGGTGTTCCTAGGCACCAATGTATATACTGTTTTTGTCTTAAAAAGGCAGCGTTTACATTGCCGAACCTGCGGGGACATGCTGTAGACATCTGAAAGACTCAATTAAGCTGTAGTGGTTCTGGTGACTATAGCGTCCCTTTAGGTTGACAGTAATATGATTTGCATCTGCATTCACTTTAGTAGTTATAAGGTACTCACTGATACATAGATAATAATCTGCGCGGATTTCAGTGCACTGATTACATGAACTCAAAAGTCCTTAAGATGGAATCTTGGAATACACATTAACAATTCAAGAATGTATTTTTTTTAATTTTAAAAAAATCTCTAATAACTTCAAATAACATCATAGTTTTTGATAAAAACAACCTGGCATGGCACAGATTTCTTGTAATTGAAACAGTGTGATTCTTACTCGTGGCATGATGCCCAGTCTTTATTAATTGACTTATTACGCGTCACGCATTTTATAGTTTGAAAGGGCAGAGTACACTCGAAATATGCTCTTATCTTATTTAGCATCTTATTGCATTTATACAAAAAAAAAAACGAGATCTATTATTAAACTATTGCAGCAGTTTATTGCTTAAATTATACCGGATCAGAGGAGCGATATTACCTGCTTTTGTTTACATGGGCGAGGAAGTCAAAAGTACCTTTGTACGGCTGACGGGCATTTTTCTTTTTTTTGGAGCAACACTAAACCAATTCCTTCTGAAAACCAGCATGAACTCATTTTTTAAATTAGGAGCCTTTGATTAATGACTATAGCATTGGACCTCAACCTTTCCTCACCCAGAGCACACAGATTTTAATTGGCACAACATAATTTATTCAGATTGGTAAACACTATGGCAGATCTCTAAATATAGTTCCATGATAAATAATGGTGGATTAATTAGAGTAATCAGTCTTGTCTCTTTTTTTTCTTGCTTTTCCCCCCCATCTTTCATATTGCTTACTAATATCCTTTCTTTTTATCTGCCACTTCCTATCAAGCAATTTTACTTTTTTCCCAATTCCATCACTTTTCTCTAATGTCTTATATAACTTTTACATCTTCACCTCACACCCAAATGTTTTACTCTCTCTTGCCAGCTCTTCTTCCACTTACAAAGAGAACGCTCATTTTTGGAGCCTCGAGCTCGTTTCTACTCTGCCGAGGTCGCCAGCGCGATCGGTTATCTGCACTCCCAAAATATAATCTACAGGTAATGTCCATCACAGAGTGGTACATTATTAAACCTTCTCTTGATGCTGGGGAGGTGGGTAAACTGTTAAATAATCAATAAACATGTTAAAATTGAGAATCCTATGGGTTGAAAATAAGATGATGAAGCCTGGAGTGTCTGTGTGTTAATGTATGTCTATGTATGTGTTTTACCGTGTGTTTGTGTATGTGTGTCTCTGTGTGCTAGTGTATCTATGTCTACTTGTATGTGTATGTAGGCATGCTTGTGCTTGTATTTGTGACTGTTTGCTAGTGTTTGTATTTGTATATACGCTACTGTTTGTCCATGTACAAATGTGTTTGTGTGTTGCTAAGTAAGTTAATATGTGTAATAGATAATTATGCATGTGAGGCTAATCATGTATGTGTTTGCATGGGCTTCTCAAGCCTACGGCCCTGCACATGGCAAGGATGGCTCTGAAGATATTGATTGCATGTATAGGGATGGAAGTATTGTAACTGTCTACCCACAATCAGGAAAAGTATATATTATACACATGGACACGCCAAGAACTTCACAGCAACAAAACATGTAACAGGCAAAAAAACAGATCCTTAATAAAAAAAATAAAAAATTATATATATGTTTTGTAATAACAATATTATACTATATATCACAATTGGAAGGTTGATTGGATTATGGCTGACACTTGATGTTTAAATCAGAAGTTATGGGGAAAATGCCACACCAAATCACTGTACATGGTCTAAATTATTCAATTATAGTCTACCATATTCTAAGCTAGTAGTGCAGTCTTGATAATGATGTCAAGTCTCCTTCCATTATTAATCTATTTTATCCAGGCTTAGCTGAAGCCAGTTGGCCGTCATCCACTGGAAGAGAAAGATTTGACGAGCAATTTATCACTAAGAGTACTTTACCATTGCTGCTGTTGAAATCAAAACTAAAACACACCATGAGCACATCCCAGGCTGTTTTTTCTGATAATGTCTTCTGTTTTGTATGTAGATTGAGACACAGTTTGATCAATATAGTTCTCTACATTCCAGTAGAACAGGTTTAGAGGACTTTATTTGTGAGGACACTTACTGTAATTTGCAAGATGCGAAAGATGTAAACCACCAGTCCACAAGATTTTTCCAAGTACCCAGTTAAAATGCCATGCTCCATAATTTCAAAAACCACCATGAGGTCCAGGAGAGATAGGATTGAACACTCACCTCTGTAACTTGCCCCGAATAGGTGAGGTGGTACATGTACTAATGCTGACTCAATTAAATGCCATTTCTCAAATCCTGTGTCATAAATGTTGCTGGTTGATAACCTGGTTTCCTATTCATTGATATTCCGTACAAAATGAATGTTTAACATTGGTCTGCAATTAGCTCTTGCCTTTAGAAAAGATGAGCACACTGCTTCCTTTATCATGACACTAATTAGTTTAAGGAAATGTTGTCCTGGATTGTAACTGTAGTTTGTATCGGAGAACTCTTGGACTATGTGGACTATTGATTACTTTGTCATGTTAATACGGGATGTTATAACAGAATTAGTTGTGTAGTAACTGTATATTTAAACTTGTGCACATTTTATTAAAATAGCCTTGAACTTATCTTGACATGTGATTGGTTGTCATCCTTTTCCCACAGAGATTTAAAACCGGAAAATATCCTACTGGATAGCCAGGTAAGTAAGTACAGAGTACAAACGGGGAACATATACATACAATACAGAGATGGAGAGAGTAACTGTGAGACAGTGGAGAAAAAAATTCAATTTGGAGAAAAAGAAAAAATGGCTCGGCACTTCCTTCTTGATAGTGTTAAATATTTGCCCTTATTCCATGAAACACCCAGCACACATTATCCAGTACATGGCTTGATAAAGACCATTTGAACCAGTCTAAACCTGATAGGGGTTTTGTACAGTCAAGGTGACTTTTTAACACGGAGTAGAAATGTTGGACAATTTGTTCTTTACTTCACTGAAGTTATTGCAAAACAAGGTGTAACGCACATTTTATATACCCTGCTGGGATTTTGTGATGAGTGATCGCTACTACTTTAAAAAGTATATTTGGTATAAAATTACCAATATAATATTATATATATTCAGTAACTAAACACAATCTGCTAATAATGTAATTGCAGGTATAATATTTTTGCCCTATATGACCTACCTCTTGTATTATAACATCTAGGGCCATGTGGTACTGACTGATTTTGGACTCTGTAAAGAAGGGATGGAACCAGAGGAGACCACCTGCACCTTCTGTGGGACCCCTGAGGTACACACACCACTAAAACCGTGCTAGCGAAAAATGGCTGTACAGGGCTTATACTGGCCATAGTCACAAGGATGACTCCCATTTCTCTTGATGCACTCCATCACAATAGTGTTGCTGGACGGTTTACTTGTTGCAGGGCTAACTCATCATTACACTTCCACTGTAGAAGAGAGGTCTTTATCATATCAGTCTTCAACAGGTTGAGCCCCAGGTATTTGCTGCCATTATGACTTCTCCAGCACATTGACATATTAGTATACAGCATGGCTGGTCATTGAAAGCTTAATTAGGAAAAAGGTGATGGTCAGGACGGGCAGCTTTGGATTTTATTTGTTAACAGGCAATATGTAGATCTGATTCCTAAAAATGGTTAACAGGCAATATGTAGATCTGATTCCCAAAAATGGTTAACAGGCAATCACTGGCACATCCAGCCACATGTGTTTTTGCATGTGGACACACTTGGTCCCAAGACTTGCTGGATATTGGGTGGTACTGCTGCAGTGGAATGAAAGAGTTATTCACTAAAGTGTGAATTTAGGGGAATTCAAAGTGAACTTCAAAATATAAACCACAATTGTAGAACTGGAAAAATTCTTCAAGTCAGCAACATTTCTGATTCAGCTATTTTGACTTAAATTTCTTTTGAATTCCTGATTATTCACACATTAGCTAACGATCCTGTCGTCATTAATAGTGCTGTTAGAACACGCGTTTGCAAGCTTTCGATATTTCTAATTGTCTACTTCAGGTAGTGTTGGCAATTAATCTATCTGCAACATAGGCATTACTTAACAGAAATTTCAAACTGAGATTCTGTTTAGCTGATTGATTCTTAGTGTTATTTTAAATTGATTTGCCTTCTTTGATGCTGTGATGACACTGCCTTTACTTGTTTAATACTGGTGACAGTGATACAATTCTTGGTCACATCTTTGCCTTGTTCTGTGCAGTATCTCGCCCCTGAGGTCCTGAAGAAGCAGCCGTATGACCGCACTGTGGACTGGTGGTGTCTGGGAGCTGTCCTGTATGAGATGCTGTATGGACTGGTAAATATCCTTATAATAGGATACAAGTAAATACTTGTACCTCTAGGATCCCAGCTATGATATCTCTGCGCTCTCACATCTCTTTTTAATCACCTTGTGTGCTCTCTGTATTGGCAATGACAATGTAGGGGTGCTTGGAACAGCTCCCGAAAAATGAGCCAGAAACAAAACTTGTTTCAGAATGGATGAGCAGGTGATGATTTGTCTTCCATTTTCATTTCATCTCTTTTAACCAACATTTTGGATTTGCCTCCACCCACAATCACTGACTTAAGACTTAAGATTTAACCAGAAGTTTCTTTATCTATGCCCATTCCGTTTGAAAACTTATCCAACATTGTCGTAAACTTCATTGTATTCCTGCTTGCAAAGCTTGTTCCTTCCTTCTCATACTTCTCTACATCCCTTCCTCTCTCCAGCCTCCATTTTACAGTCGGGATGTTTCCCAGATGTATGACAACATTCTAAACCAGCCTCTACAACTACCAGGAGGAAAAACCACCGCAACCTGTGACATCCTCCGTGGACTGCTCCACAAGGACCAACACAGCCGTTTAGGAGCCAAGACTGACTTTGTACAGTACCATTACTTTCTCAATATTTTCTGCCAGGAATTTAGTCGTTAAACCCAGAATTCTGAGATATATAACTAACATTTAGGCAGGTTAAAGTGAAATTTGAAAATGTGATTTCTGGAATTCTACAGAACAGTCATAAAGACCCTCTACCTAGCTGAGATAGTCCCAGTTTATGCCCATCCCATGTGTCCAATAAAAATTATTAAAATAAATTATTTACCTACCTTTTTTCCAGAGCTCGGGGTCCCTTGGAGCTGCTTATCTCTCTGCAGCATTTGGGACCTGATGCTCATTAGTGGCAAGTGTCACCAATATCTAATCTTATTGAATCAATGTTTTCCTGTGGGGGTTTAGGTTTCTCGTGACTGGATTTTACTTGTTTTTGACCACTGAAGTGTCTCTAGTGGCTGTCAGGAAGATATCCACTAGAAGTGGATTTAATCCTGTACCGTAAATATTGCAATTTCTTTAAAACTTTCATTGAATTGAAGTGACCTGGGTGACTAGTGGTAAAATATGTCTTCCACGCTACTTTAGACTGGATCACCACTGAAACCAAAGAGGTTCAGAACCATGCGACATAACCCTTGGTAGCAGCTGCCCCATTAAACGCAATTTCAATGACCGGTCGTACTGGATCAGCTCAATCTCTATTTCCCAAGTTGATTCCCCATTAACTAAGTAAGGACTCAGCTCAGTAGCTTTGTGGGAGCTGTTAGTGCGTTCTGCATTTACCTTATCTAATCTTATCAAAGCTAAGTATAAGGTCAAGTTGGCCTGATAACATTTTACTGAATAGTAAGTTGATCACTTTTAGTGAAAACAGGAATGTAAAGAAATAAAAACATGTTTGATCCAATTAAGATAATTTTACATTGACAGAAAAAAGGGACAGTATCTTTACATTACATTAAAATGTAGTGGCTTTGGTGCTTAGACTGCCCCTTTAAATATGTGACCTTGTCAGCTATGTATATCTTGTCACTGCCAAATAGATGACTTCACAAAGCATTAATAATATTAGTTAATAATCATTAATATTTTACAATGGTTTGTGTATTATAGCCAGTTTAAAAATCTAAGACAAAAAAAAGCCAAGCAGAGCATACATTATAAAAAAGACCCTAAATTGACACAATGTTCCTCTAGTCTAGGCTATACAAAGTCAATTCCACAGTACCAATTCATTATGAGTGGAGTTGCTAACACAGGGAATACTTTGATGCTGTTACAGTATTTATTAAAGGAACACTATAGTCACCTAAATAAAGCAGTTTTAGTGTATAGATCATTCCCCTGCAATATCACTGCTCAATTCACTGTCATTTAGGAGTTAAATCACTTTGTTTCTGTTTATGCAGCCCTAGCCACACCTCCCCTGGCTATGATTGACAGAGCCTGTATGAAAAAAAAACTGGTTTCACTTTCAAACAGATGTAATTTACCTTAAATAATTGTCTCTCAATCTCTAAATTGAACATTAATCACATACAGGAGGCTCTTGCAGGGTCTAGCAAGCTATTAACATAGCAGGGGAAGAGAACATCATAATTAAACAGAACTTGCAATAAGGAAAGCCTAAATAGGGCTCTCTTTACAGGAAGTGTTTATGGAAGGCTGTGCAAGTCACATGCAGGGAGGTGTGACTAGGTTTCATAAACAAAGGGATTTAACTCCTAAATGGCAGATGATTGAGCAGTGAGGCTGCAGGGGCATGTTCTATACACCAAAACTGCTTCATTAAGCTAAAGTTGTTCATGTGACTATAGTGTCCCTTTAACCCCTTAAGGACACATGACATGTGTGACATGTCATGATTCCCTTTTATTCCAGAAGTTTGGTCCTTAAGGGGTTAAGAATGTTGTGGCTATCATGTTTTTGGCAATGTGTTTTTGGATGATAAACCCTAAATGTTTTGTCATTATGTACATTGTTTGCTCCTGCAGCTTGAAATCAAGAATCACGTCTTCTTCAGTCCTATTAACTGGGACGACCTGTATAATAAGAGGATCCCCCCACCATACAACCCCAATGTGGTGAGTCGTCTTCTCTGATGTATCTTAGGTTTATTGTAACATTTTTGCATTAGTTCACTTTGTATGTATTAAAAATCAAGTGTCATTTGAATGCTGTTCAAATGATGCTTTGGACTGTAACTATAATACAGGGAACACTGTAGCATAGAGACTGCTCTGTGTTGATGATATGAGTGTAGCATCATTAAAGGAATGCTACAAAAACACCATAACCACTGCATACTGTTGTATTGGTTATAGTGCTAGGATTGTCCTAGTGACATCCTACAGTAAGATATCAATCCATTATAGCAAGCAGTTTGTATTGCATCCAGTCTTCTCCAGCAAGACAATGTGGATATCTCTGTAGAGTAAAACATGGCCAAGGCGGACCTCTCACCTGCTGCTCTCAGCCATAGAGCACAGTACTGCATGGTACAGCTTTGCTCTACAGAGAAATTTTAATTATCATGCTACAGAAGACCAGACGCAGGGGATTTACTGAAACCCAGATTAATTGTCATACTGTGCTAAAACAGTATGACATCTTATTGTAGGGCAGCAACATCGAACTACTGGCACCAACACCACTAGAGCGTGTTGGTGTGTCCCTTTAAAATATTAAAATTATGATGCTCAACAATTTTAATTTTTGAATTCATCAGTTCAGTTAAAAGAAGACTGATGACATTTATCCACTTCCAGTCTGTCTAACCATACTATTTCTTTCCTCAGGCTGGCCCAGCAGACCTGCGTCACTTTGACCCCGAGTTCACACAAGAAGCTGTCCCAAATTCATTGAGCCGCACTCCTGACATGAATCTTGGCAGTTCCGGCTGTTCTGGTGCATTCTTTGGGTTCTCCTATGCACAAAGTGACGATGATATATTGAGCTGAGTGCCTTACAGGCCCCTTGAGCTTTATGGTGTAAGAATGCATAAACAGGGCAGCTTGGGGACACCTCTCACTCTCTATTTTCAGACGGGAGAGCTCTAGCCCTCATTTATTATTAAGGGCTATGTTTTGGTGTCACCTATAATTCTTTAACACCTGGATTTACCATCACATGAAGAAGAATAAACGGCATTGGGGTGGAGATGTTTGGGATGCTGATATTTTGAAAATATCTTTGAAAATACACAACAGGACAAGCTCAGCCACAGAATGTATCCATCCCACTATATAGTATTTAGTTATATGTTAGGGACTGTATCATGAAATTTTAATATACTGCAAACAGCGCAGAGAGAGTGCTTTCATTTATCCTCCAGGACCCTCTTACCTAGTTCCCTTGCTAATTAGTTTTGTTGTTTGTTGTTACTTTCTCCCTTCGTGATGAGAGAGGCAGCCATAAAGAGGTCCAATTGACCTTCTACTAGCACTAAGCTGTCTCTTTTACACTGCTGTGTTGACCCCCTCATCACTTTTATTATAGACCGTTAAAAATATGTCCTTTGGTGTCGAGTTAGGTAAATTAATCTTGCAGATTGCCAACTTTAATTTACTGTTTGCAGCATTTTATAAACTTCTCCAGTTAAAAAAAAAAAAAAAATGTGGTCACTCTCGCCAACCTGTATTATTCCAGCAAGTGAACTACAACTCCCAGAGCCTCTGCAACAATTTTAAAGTCCCTCTTCTTCTGTTTGTGTGTAATTGCTTTTGCTTTATGATCTCCTATGTCATTTTATTCCCCATCCAGATTTTTCAATAACAAACTAATCACTTTGCCAAAAGCAGTTAGGATTTGAGTGTCCTAGACTAGAGTTACTGTTAAAATAGAAGCAATATTATGTGTAAACAGTGATCTGGAACTGTGTGAAGCCACAACACTAAGTTTTTGCATTCCACAACAAAGTATGTTATAGCATGTGATGACCCACACAAGTAAAAGATCACTTATTTTATTGCCCTTATTGAAATAATTTTTTGATGCTAATCTGGCAAGTGTACTACATTCCCAAGATGAGCAAAGAAACTACTGAAAATAGACAAAAATTAAATTACTCTTATTTTCTTTTGCGGTAAGGGAAGGCTTGAAAATTCATGTTTGTAGATGCCAGAATATTTTGATATTTCGATGCAGCTTATTGTGATACAAAGTGAATTTAATGAATGAGAAAACTGAGGGGTCTCTTTCCTATAATACTTAGGAAATTCTGCACTAACTGCTATACATCACAGCTTGGGAATGCAGTAAATCACCAAGATTGACATATTTGTTTTTCTGTTTGGACATTAAAATAAGTTTGTATTTGCTGTTCCTTTTAGATCTAAACATTTGTGCTCCTTATTCTGTCTCAATAAACTGTAATCCCTATTTGCTACAATTTGTTCCCTCTCATTAATCCCTCATTATCACCTTCCTGATATTATTTATTCTTGGGCACAGCAATATATGCTTAGATTACTTGTCTCTCTTTACTATACCAATAAGTCTACATTTTGCATAAAGAAAAATGTTTTCACTAAATATAGGGACTATTTGCTAAATGCTGAATTGTACTATATTGAAAACTGAATTGCAAATAATATGCCAATACAGCTGCACAAAAACAATTCTCCAGTTCAGTTTACCCTAATTAAATTCTTTATTTTTTAACTGCAAAATTAAAATTTTAGATCACCACAATTTGCCGTTTAGTGAATAAGCCATTGTGTCTTGCCTAGATGAGTATATATCCTAGATTTCAGTGTGCTAACTGAAAAATGTTAATGTTTTTTTTCACGGAAATTATTTCTCTGTATAGAGGTTAGTCCCGTAGAAGGACATTTGGACAAATATTGTGCATGTGATGTAGGAATAAGCTATATGCTACTACTGTGAATAAAACTGTGGGCTGCATTTGACACGAGGATTTTGCAATAAAGTTATATATAGGTGAATTATTTGTCATTATTTTCACACTTTTCATAGTCAACATTATGCATCAAAAAAATGCAAGAATTGGAAATAGAAATTTTTAGGTAAGTATATACGAAAGGATAATGCAGGAAAAATACTAACTACGAAATGTCCCTTAAAGGAAAACAACTTCATCTGTATGACATCATGGGAGCAGAAGTCCCAGGGCACTATCTTACCTTCAAAGGTTTTCAAACAGGAGGAGGGCGGCCGGGCGTCCTAGGGTAACAAGTTTGGGATCAAACCGATATAAAATGGTTTACCCCTGAAAGTAAGACGACATTGAGATGAAGATCAAGTCAGATGGTAGCGCTCTTCAAAGTATAAATGGGCTGTATTACCAACTCTTGCAGACAGGGTTATTTATTAAGGGGTTTATTCACTAAGCTCCAAATTTATTAAAATGTACACAAAAACAGCCAATACTTAGCATAAAACTATTAAAACAGTAAAGCTGTTAGTTGAGATTTCTTACAAATCCGCTATTTAATGGCAGTTTTTGTCATTTTCCGTTCGCAACAATTCATGAATAACTCGATATGTTTTCGATTAGGAAATTTTGGCTTCAAGCTCACATAATTTTCCGGCAGTTAACACTTTAGTGAATATTCAGACAAAGTGTAATTGTGTGCTCGATCATTTCACTCTTAACTTTTTTAGTATATCATATCTTCTCATGAATGAAAGTATTTGCAACTTCTGATCAGTGGGTTTATGGATTATGTACAATTCCAATTAATGATGGGAGGAACGGGATTTACTGAGAGAATTCAGCCACTTTCTGGACCCAGCAGAAGTTGCAGAGTTTCAAGGAACATTCATTGGTTTCTTTGTTTAGCAATCTTTTCCCATCAATACAGTGAACAAGTGTCCTGAGCTGCAGACTGGAGTGTTCCTTTCGAATATACTGGTAGTATCAATTCTGTCCTTTCAAACCTCAGTCTCGCAAGCAGATCTACTTAGTGTTTCATCCTACTGTTGTCCATACATGTTTTATCTTTGTTGGTTACTAATATCTATATCTCATCATCTCTTTTTTTTATGAGTTCATTATATACGACTGTGATACTGATGCAGAATAAGCACATTCATTAAAAAATAGGGCACCTGTGCCCATCTGTGCATTGCTGCACTGTTAAATGTGGCACTCTACAAAATCCTGTCTCAATTTTGCTTTGTGGGATATGACGCTCATTATACGAGGGTTTGAATGTTTCAGATATTACAGGGTTGGGGAAGGTAAGAATCAATCATGCAATCTTCACTTTAGAAATTCCCACAGATGTTCAGGACTGTTTTGATCCTGAGATTGAGTAAGCTATGGAAGGTATTTGACTTAAAGGACCACTCAAGTCACCCAGACCACTTCATCTCCGTGAAGTGGTCTGGGTGCACTGGTCCTGTATGTTTAAGCTATCAAGAAAAAAAAAAATGAAGTTTTGCAGAAAGGGCTGTTTACTTTTAAGGGTTAAACATGCCTCTAGTGGCTGTCATACTGCCCCTCTAGGCACCTCTGCTGCACCGAGTCACGTAACGTTGCATTTCATACGAAAGCATTGGATCCAATGCTTTCCTGTGAGAAATATTGGATGCACTCGCCCAGGGTCGGTGCAAGGATTTTTGCCGCCCTAGGCAAAAGTAAAGTTTGCCGCCCCCCCCCCCATGTGACATCACAATGCCCCACCCATATGATCTGCAATGTTAACCAACGCCAGTGCCGCCGTGTTTACACTAAAAGGCCTGCAGGGACAGGCTATAGACACCAGAAACACTACATTAAGCTGCAGTGGTTCTGGGAACTATAGTGTTTCTTTAATGTGAGGTAAATTAGAGATTAGTGCCACGAATAATATACTAGATTGCCTACTTACAACCAGATGAGGATGATGATGGGCTCTAGCTGCAGTCTGGCTCCACTGGTCTGGTGTAGAACAGGCTCTCTGGAGGCGGTTTGTAACTGGGGTCACAAAAATCAATGCTCTGGGAGAACGGGAAGCAGCTCCATTTTCTGGCAGCCCTTTACACAGCTCAAGGTCTGGGTCCCAGGGTCCACCTTCATGTTCCACCAATGAGTTTGTTCACAGGGGGTGGAGTGTGTAGGGGATGTCCTGATATGTGTATGTACGGGATGCAGTGTGTGCGTCTGTAAGGGATGCATTGAGTGTGTGTAATGAATGCATTGTGTGTTTCTGTGTGTGTAAGGGATGCATTTTGTGTAAGGGTTGCATTGCTTGTGTGTCTGTGTATATAATGCAGTGTGTGTGTGATGGATGTCAATCTCCCCCCCCCTGTCAATTTCCTTCTCCCCTCCCAATTTCCTTCTCCCCCTCTCCCAATTTCCTTCTCCCCCCTGCCAATTTCCTTCTCCCCCAATTTCCTTCTTTCCCCCTCTCCACTTCTCCCCCTCCAATTTCCTTCCCTCCCCCCCCTCCAATTTCCTTCTCCCCCACTTGGGCGGCTGCAGCATGAGGGGGGCCCTAGGCGGCTGCCTAGTCCGCCTAACAGGTAGCGCCGGCCCTGCACTCACCACACATGCCCCTAATACTCCTTGATGAGGACCTCTGGAATGGACAATTGCCGGAGGAAGCTATGCCTCCATAAAGATATCCTTTAAGAAATATATGGAACTGCACTCACGCCCATCAAGCAGAGCCAGGGTGCTTACTGTACCGGAACCAAACACCAGATTTCCATAATTGATGAAACAAAAATAAATGGGGTCCAGGCACCCCTTGGTTCATTACAGGCACTTTTATTGAAACCACAGCAACGTTTCGACTGTGAGGTCTTTGTCAAAAAAGACTTCACGGTCGAAACGTTGCTGTGGTTCCAATAAAAGTGCCTGTATTGAACCAAGGGGTGCCTGGACCCCCTTTATTTTTGTTTCATCCATTATGATGTCGGCGGAGATGGGCAGGCCAGCAGTGCTGAGGAAGCATCAGTAAGTAAAAATCTTTTATTTTAAAGGGTAAACACTATTTTTGCGCTTTTTAAAGGGACTCTATAGTCACCAGAACAACTACAGCTTAATGTAGTTGTTCTGGTGAGTATAATCATTATATGCAGGCATTTTCATGCAAACACCGCCTTTTCGGAGAAAAGGCAGGGTTTACATTGCCCCCTAGGGAAACCTCCAAGTGGCCACTCCTCAGATGGCCACTGGAGGTGCTTCTTGGCTCAGTGCTGCACAGTAGACAGCACTGCTGTTCAGCATCCCCCACTCTGCATGGGGATGCTGAATTTTCCTCATAGATATGCATTGATTCAATGCATCTCGATGAGGAGGTGCTGATTGGAAAAAAATGGCATTTGGCCCCACCCCTTGCCAATTTTAGCCAATCCAGTGCTTTCCCCATGGGTAAGCATTGGATTGGCTAAAAAGCGGCAATTCTGATAATATCACCAAGGGGGTGGGGCCAATGCCAGCAGACCCGCGCTGCGCTGGAATTAAGGTGTGTTTTTCATGCTTATAAGGTAAGGGGAGGCAAGCCACCATAATGGTGGGTTTTGCACTTTAGGGTCAGGAATACATGTTTGTGTTCCTGACCCTATAGTGTTCCTTTAAAGCACATAATATTCCATTTATTCAGTTCTGCTAGCAAATGTATAGATTGGGAGAAAAACCTGTCAATCAATTTTTCCAGCATAAACTTCAGGCTGAAGAATTAACTGATAGAGCAAAAGAGACCACACACATGCAGTCCTTGTACTCTCTAACCATAGCAACCAGAGTGCATGCGTTGTGTTATGGTAACTAACAGGCGGTGCTGCTAGTGCTGATGTTACTCAGTTAAGACGCCGGTGTCATGGAGGAGGTTTGTCTTGCTTGGGAAATGCTGCTGCACAGCTATAAATTATGATGTTATATTGCTTATTTTGTGCTCTTCACTTTGGCAGAGATCAAACTTGATGATCTCAGCCAATCCATTGCAAACCCATAGGAAAGCATCGGAAGGCTATTGCACACACGTGAATCAATACATCTCTATGGGGAACATTCAGTACCTCCATGCAGAGTGTGGAGAAGCTCAACGTAGGTGCTGCACATTGTGCAACCAGTGAATTAGGAAACACATCTAGTGGCCATCATGAGTGACTGCCACTAGAGGTGTTTCAAGGCAGCAATGTAAACACAGCCCTTTCTCTGAAAAGGCAGCATTTACAGTGCTCAGCCTGCAGGGACAGGGTATAGATACCAGAACTACAACATTAAACTGTAGTGGTTCTGGTGATTATAGTGTCCCTTTAATAAGACATCTTTCTATCACCTGTCAATCAAATAATTGGCACATTCTCCTGTGCTTATGAACTGTCTCAATAACCGGTTCATTATATTGCTTGCTTCAGTGTATTTTATCTCCCATTTTTCCCCTTTAGTTGTCTCTTACAATCCCCCTTTGTGTATCTCTTACTTCCTCCAAGCCCCTTTATGTATCTCTTTTTCCCCTTTTCTAGCTCCTCTGTATGTCTCATTACCCCAAGTCCCTTTTGTGTGTCTTTCTTTGCCAAGCCCCTTTCGTGGGTCTCTTAGCCCCAGCCCCTTTATCTCTTTCGTCCCTTCCCAGCTCTTTTGTGTGTCTCTTTCTTCCACCCCAACACCTCTATATGTCTCATTCTCCCTTTCCTCTGTATTTCTCATGTTCACTTTTTCCAGCACTTCTGTGTCTTGTCTCTCTCCTCCAGTCCCTTTGCGTTTCTTCTCTCACCCCGCTGTGTGTCTCCTTCTTCCCCCAGACCCTCTGCATGTCTTTCTCCCCTACAGCCGCTGCATGTGTCTCTATTCACCTCCCTCCATGTGTCTCCTCTCCCCCCCCTCATATCTCTATTCCCCAAGCCCTCCATGTGTCTCATTCCCCAGTCCATCCATGTGTCTCCCCCCATCTCTATTCCCCCCAAGCCCCTCCACGTGTCTCTATGTCAATGTCACAAATTCCCTGTAATCACTCTGCCTCCCCATCTTGTCATCCAACTCCCCCATCTGGAATGACTGCCTGTGACGTTAGAGGTATCAGTACAGAATTACACTTCACTATATAAAGGGACAATCAAGGTAGCAGTGAAAATAAAATAACCTAATACCTATTGTGTAAATGTATTGTGGGAACAGGCGCCTGTTAGTTGCAGTATACTCCATGGCACACTATAAAAACCATTTGAGTAGGGGGAATATGTGAGAGACTACTTTAGGACCTTCTTGTGCTTTGCTGGCCTGCCTCTACCAAGATGGCGGACGCAGGCTGACGTTTTTGACCTCCTTACTCCCTTACCCAAGCCCCCCAACCCTCCTCCTCTGCAGAATCCGAAATTAAGAGGGGGCTTCAGTCCGGGCCTGATCACATATCACAGCCCCTCTTCCTGCGGCTTTCCGATCTCCTCACTCAGCGCCTGTTAGGCTCTGTTAGAGTGAAGGCCTGGCGTCACGTGACAGCGGGCGGGCGGGCGGCCGGTTGCTAGGCAGCGGCGGCTGTTAGTTACCGGCGAGGCCCATAATGCAGCGGGGCAGCAAGAAGATGGGGGTCAACAAGCAGGTAAAGCAGCAGTTCGTTATCCACACACGGTGGCCCGAGGCAGAGCAGACTGTCATGGTGGCACATTCCCCACCCCCCCCTTACCCTTTCTATACCCCCCAGATTACCTGCATAGCGCCTGTATAGACCGCAGCGCTGTACAGATTGGACCTTATAGATGGGTTATAGAGCGGCAGGTCATTTACTGACAATTTCATGCTGGATAATACACACACGAGGTGCATGGATAGAGCCTGGGCAGATTATAATCTAGAGCAGGGGTTCCCAACAGGGCCGGACTGGGGATACGAAGCAGCCCTGGAAAAAAATCTATGCCAGCCCCATAAGTCATTGTGCTATGTAGGGTGTTGTATATATATATAGGCAATTGAAATAGTTGGCTGCACTCTCGGATTTCCTGAAAATGTAACTTTTATTGAAATAGTTAAGATCAATGTTTCAGTCCCTCTTGTGGACTTTCGTCATGATCTTGATGCAAGGGACTGAAACGTTGAAATATTAAATATTTCAATAAAAGTAAAATTTTAAGGAAATCCGAGAGTGCAGCCAACTATTTCAATTGCCTATATATATTCTTCTTCTAATTCAAAATATTAGTTCTTTTAGGGTAATTAAATTATACAGTAAAGCATTCTCACAGACAGACAATCTTACTGATGCACACAAATAGGCTCATTGACAGACAATGACACACACAGACAAGGTTACTGGCACACACACAAATTTAGTACAGACAAACTCTGATACACACACACAAGCTTACTATAGACAAGCTTACTATAGACAAGCTCACTGTCACACACACGCTCACTACAGACAAGCTCACTGATCAGCACACACTCTCCCTACAGACAAGCCCATTGACACACCCGCTCCCTACAGAAGAGCTCACTAACACACAGATTCACTACAGACAAGCTCACTGACACACACATGCTCACTACAGACAAACTCACTGTACACACATGCTCACCACAGACAGGCTCCGACACACACAGACATATGATCCCTACAGACAAGCTCACTGACACACATACAAGCTCACTCACTAGCAGGCACACACACACAAACTCACTAGCAGGCACACACACACACACAGAGGCTCCCTCACTAGCAGATGCGTGCACACACACACAAAGGCAGACAGTCACTGACACCCAGACAGACAGCCACACACACAAACAGGCAGACAGTCACGCACACACAGGCAGACAGTCACACAACAGACAGTCACACAGTCTCACACACACACAGTCACACACACACAGACAGTCACACACACACAGACAGTCACACACACACACACACACAGGCAGTCACACACTCACACAGACAATCACACACAGGCAGTCACACACTCACTCACACAGACAATCACACACAGGCAGTCACACACACAGACAATCACACACAGGCAGTCACACACACAGACAATCACACACAGGCAGTCACACACTCACACAGACAATCACACACAGGCAGTCACACACTCACACAGGAAGTCACACACTCACACAGACAATCACACACAGGCAGTCACACACTCACACAGGCAGTCACACACTCACACAGACAATCACACACAGGCAGTCACACACTCACACAGACAATCATACACAGGCAGTCACACACTCACACAGACAATCACACACAGGCAGTCACACACTCACACAGACAGTCACACACACACTCACACAGACAATCACACACAGGCAGTCACACACTCACACAGGCAGTCACACACACAGACAATCACACACAGGCAGTCACACACTCACACAGACAATCACACACAGGCAGTCACACACTCACACAGACAGTGACACACAGACACACTGACCTGCTTCTTACCTCCTGCAGGCTGGTTGTTGGGGAAGCAGGGACTCCTTCCTGCTTCCCATGCTGCAATCAGCCCCGCCCCCGCCGCACGCTTAGCCCCACCCCCGCCGCACGTAAGCTCCGCCCCCACTGCAAATTTTTTTTTTTTTTATGATCCCGGCCGGCCATGTGTGAGCTGTGCCGGCCGCCTGGCTCCCCCGCTCCCATGGGGCGCTGTGCGGCCGCACAGCTCACACATGGCCGGCCGGGATCACAGGAGCTGTCAGCCCAATGATCAGGGCTGTCAGACCGGCCCCAGGTGCCGCGGCCCACCGGGAAATTTCCCGGTATCCCGGTGGGCCAGTCCGGCCCTGGTTCCCAACCCAGTCCTCCAGTACCCCCTACCTGTCCAGGGTTTAGGGATTACCCAGTTGTGTTTAAAGTGTTTTTTTGTTTTGTTTTGTTTTTTTCTCCTCCCTTTCTAAAATCCTTTTAGACACAACAGGGTAATCCCTAATTCCTGGACAGGTAGTGGGTACTGGAGGACTGGGTTGGGAACCCCTGATCTAGGTTCTAGGGGGTAATTTGTTTGTTTAACCTTGTGTGGTGTATCAGCTAAACTCTGAATTCCACAGCAGCTGAATTGGAAATATTCTTCAACTAAGCTTTGTTGTTCTAAATGCCAATTTTGGCCTCCTATTTTTACCAAACTGTTTAAAGGGACACTGTAGTCACCCAGACCACTTCAGCTCAATGAAGTGGTCTGGGTGCCAGGTCCCCCAGGTTTTAACCCTTCAGATGTAAACATAGCAGTATATATATATATCTCCTCGTGCCCAGCACTCCCTGCTCCCTTTTCTTGTGTGCTTTGGCCCAGCCTTAAAATAATATCCCAGTAGAGTGCACTTCGAGAGCTTGTTTATGAAAATCACAATAGTGCTTTATTTTTGCAAAATGCAATAGTACATTTCGACGTTTCAGTTCATTTGGACTTTTAAGTGAAAATAAATCTGGTACTGCATGAATATCATTGGAGGGTGAGTGATGAAAACGAGATGTGATGTCACTGATGGGGTATGAACTTTTAAAATGCCTCATTCACAAGAGTTCACCTCTTACTGGATAAAGTGTGAGTGAAAAAAAAAAATGTGCAAATAAGAACTATACATACGAGATATAAAGATGTAAGAAATAAGTAGGAGAAAGCATGAAGCCCGAGAAGTTCTGTTTGTGTGATGGGAGTTGAAGTTTGAACCCTCGAGTTTGCATGTGATTTGGCTTCCCTGCTTTAGACTTGTGTGTGTTTCATTATTAGTCCTCTTGTGGAATTTGTAGTAGCTCTGTTTCCCATTATTTTATGACTTTTCGAAGAAAAACAAAATGTATGCACAAATATCACTTTAAGAAGAATATTGTTGCACATTAAATTGATTAACTCGTATAAGGTTTCTAGGGCAACCGAAACTTTGATGTATGTTAAAGGGATACCATAGCCAGGAATACAAAGCTGTAAATGCTTTCCTATGAGGAAAAATCTGACGCTTGACGTCCTCATGCAAAGCGTGAGGACGTCCAGCATCTGATACCGGTCCGTTTCAATCTAGTGCTGACTTAGTGCTGCAATGTAAACATTGCAGTTTCTCTGGAACTGCAATGTTTAACATTGCAGCACTAAGGGCAATAGGGACACTGGATCCAGACCACTTCAATGAGCTGAAGTGGTCTGGGTGCCTACAGTGTGAAGTGGTTGTCTCTGATACCTTATTGCACATAATATCACTGTTTAAGTTCCTTACACACACACACACGTTGTTATTGATATCACGTTGGGACCCGGGGGCACCTCTCGCACCATAACTACATCACCCAGCTCTAGTGATCATGGTGCTTGGAGTGCTTCTTTAAATTGTTAATTTAAGGAAAAATCTAATTTCATTGAAATGCTAGTTAATGTGTTTTGGCCAGAGGCAATTGTCTCTGCAAATCACACACATGAATTAATAATTACAATGTTGTATTAAAACACATTAATTATAGTATATGAGAAGGAAGAAAGGCTGGCGGCTTATTTTGTCAAGTTTAGAGTAGGTCAAAGCAAGATATTATATTGTAATGTGTTCTGTACTGTAGAGAATTGTGGATAGTTTAAATAACACTCCCTGTATCTATATAAACATACATTCAGATTATTGATGGCCATAACTGTGACTAACCATAGCCTTTTCTGTAATACATGGCCGTTTCTATCTGAGATCTATTGCAGGTTTATATTTCTTTTTTAATTAGGTTTATGAAGGTTAATTTTGTGGGTTTTTACACTTTGAATAGTTGTTATTGTCTTGTATACACCTTTGGCACTCTAGGGGTTAATAGCATCAGAGCCCAGATATAATGTGTTTTTGTAGACTTCCTGGTAAAAAAAAAAAACAATAGGAGTAACACGTGACAGATCATATAAATGTCTTTGATCGTGCTTGCTTATATATATATATTTTTTTTTTTTTGTGAATATAATTTTTATTTGTATTGGTTAGTCAAGATTCGAAGACTCGCAGGTCTCCAAGGTGAGTTTTGCTTATATTTTTTTACCGTTTGTTTTGTTGCACAGCACAGTAGCTAGCTAAAAGCTGTGGGGTGTGATTCTTCTGTTACCTGAGCCATTTTTATTTTCATTTATATTATATCTTTTCTGTAGACCGTGTCTGATGGCGAAATTCGAAACACCATTTTGTTTAATGCTTCCAAGCGGGAGATCTTTACCATCAATAATGGTTACAAGTCACTTCAGAAAAGACTATGTAGCAACTGGAAGATACAAAGGTGAGCAATATTTGTGACATGTTGCATTACAAAAAAATGAAAAAAAAAATGTGTATGTATATGTTGTTGTGAGATAGAGATATATATTAATGTAGGTGGGGTTCATGGTTAATGTAATGGGTCGTTATAAGCACCATAACCACTACACAGCATTGGGGGTTATTATTTCAGTACTTCTTTGATGCCATCCCCCATCTAAGAGTAAAATGAATTTCTAACAGTTTAAATCTTCCCTGAGTCCTCCCAGAAATGTGTAGTCTATTTGGAGATCGGAAGTTTCCAGTCACTACCCATTGTCAGATTGGTCTTTATTTCACGGTTACATCTTTGCTCCTGCAAAAACTATTTATGATGAACATTTTCCTATGGCCTGCGAAATATAATATGACTGTTTCGGCAGTTGTGGACCTATTGAAATTGAAAGAACCACTGCTTTTACACAACCCTTGAAAGGAGAATGTAACGGATTCCTTATTTTTTTTTATTTTTCATTGCCTCGCCTCTTACTTAGTCGTTCTGCTCTTCATTATATAATGATATTTCCTAACTCCACAGAGCTCTTAATTCATTGAATTTATGTAGTTGGCAAATACAGCAAACACCTGTGCAAGCCTCTGTAAAGGAATGATTCACTAAGATAACTCTCTTCAGGGTCCATTACCACATAAGAGCACTCAACTTTGAATACAAGCTCTGGAGAATTCACTTTCACTCAAATCATATGAATCCCTATTGACTTAATTACCTTAATTTTTTAGGTAAACTCTAAAAACCATAACCACTATGGCATTTTTTTTTTCTTTTCAATCGTTTTGGAGCAATCTTGCACATCATTGATATGTTGAGAATACCAAGCTAGCCCATCTCAATGTTTTTAGCCTACCTATGCTGCCCAAGTTTGGATAAATTTGTACTTGGTAATGTAGATTAATAATTTTCACATTTTCAGTGTGGCTGAAGAGGGAAGGGGCTATGAATACAAAAAACAAAACAGTCTACCTTTTTTTTTTTAACCTGTTAAGTATTTGGTGCCTAATAATGGTCTTGGTCTATAAGCCAGTTGCCCAAAATACCTGCATACAGCTGATGTTCTTTTTCGCTTCTCCTCTTAGTCTTAAAGAAGACTTAACTATAGAGAAACTGGAAGGTGTGAAGTTATGGATAACATCTGGACCTAGGGAAAAGTTTACAGCTGCAGAGGTGAGCAGACAATTCAGTAAATGGCCATTGAATCTGTAATATTTGTCAATATATTGGGCTACTCCCCAAACTGAGTTGCCATTGAAGTCCGTAATTACTCCTTTCCCAAGTTGACAGTTACAAACAGTATGTACTCGGGGGACATTGCTCAGTCTACTAGTCGATGGCACACTTTTGTGACCTTTGCCGAATATTGGCATAGTGATATCAGCAAAGTGATAAACTATGCTGTGGACTCCTTATCCCCTACTTTCTTGGGATTGTGATACCCTGTTTCCTCTAAGAAGAACATTTCTCTCCACATTGGTGCATTAACTAATGAAAAAAATAAATGGCAGAAACTCTCTTGGCTCTTGGTTGCTAAATAGAATAAAGAGACCATCTATTTGTTTTATTCCATCTTATTATACAGTTTGAAACACTAAAACAGTTCCTGAATAAGGGAGGAGACATTCTGGTGATGCTTGGAGAAGGAGGAGAGTCCAAGCATGACACGAATATCAACTTCCTGCTGGAGGAGTACGGCATTATGGTTAATTCAGGTAAGAAAGTCTTCCATTCTTCTGCACACTGGTCAGAAGACAACATTGTTTGGAAATGCTACACAGTTGTCAAAACATGCAGTGTCCATTCCCATTAAGACCATCCTCACACTTCTCATTTTGTAACATAAGAGTTACTTGCACGCTATTCTAAATCCTTATGCACATTTAAATAACTGGATATTTATAGTATCACTCCAATGGACATTAGATTGTAAGCTCACCTGCCACATCAAGGCAAACCTCCTAGGTGAGTGCTAAACTAACAATTCACCTTGCTTCTTCAGCTTCAGGTAAAAAAAAAAATCTAATTAGACAGAAAAGAGTATTTATCTAAATCCCTACGTACTTATTAACCCTTAATAGGGGGAACATGGGGTGGGCAGCAGGACTTATTTCTGCATATTTGTATTTGCTTTTGTATCACAGAGCCATGTTACAGTGCTGCTGCCCACCCCATGTGTTCCCTATTAAGGATTAATAAGTATGTAGGGATTTAGATAAATACCCCTTTCTGTCTCCTTAAAGATTGTTTTACCTGATGCTGAATGAAGTAATGTGAATTGTTATTTAAATGTACATAGGGATTTGGGATAGTAACTTTTTTTTTTATTTTTTTTTTATTATTATTATTATAAAATACATCATTCTGAACATTAGGGGACACTCAAGGTCACGTTTGCGAATATATTTACAGGCCATGGTTAACTAACAGAGGATGATAGCTCCTGTCTGCAGGCATACTTTGACATCATGTAATGCTCCAACTAAATTGGAGGGCTAAAAATATATTATGCTCTTCAAAGTAGAATGGTCCAACATTATGTAAAAATTATGTTATAAAAAGTTCACAATATTATACCAGATCTTGTGTCACAAGACAATGTGACCTACGTTGAATTTCATTGAATAGTTAGCAGCCCAACTATTGTAATTACACATCCTTGATAGGCTGGCAAACCAGCATGAGTGCTTTAGCCCAATAGGTAGAGTTGGCTGTGTCTTCTGTATATATTTATAGAGAGCCGTTTGTACCTTTGCAAAGAATGAGAGAGACTGTCAGCATAGCGCTGTAACACTGCACCCAACCTCATATTCTCTCCTTCCTTCTCCCCACTGGAAGATTCTGTTGTGAGAAATGTCTACTACAAGTATTTTCACCCCAAAGAGGCACTTGTATCCAATGGAGTTCTGAATCGGTAAGTGCCTGTTAATGTCTTTGCTAATGACTAATAAGTGGGGGTTCCAGTTAAAAAAAAAATTATTTTTTTTTTTTTTTAACAATGAGAGCAAAATACATTGAATGGGGTTTGTCAGTAGTACAGGCATAAAATGGTAACAAAATCTGTCAAAATACAGTTGCAAGACAAAGTATGTGAACCCTTTGGAATGATATGGATTTCTGCACAAATTGGTCATAAAATGTGATCTGATCATCATCTAAGTCACAACAATAGACAATCACAGTCTGCTTAAACTAATAACACACAAAGAATGAAATGTTGCCATATTTTTATTGAACACACCATGTAAACATTCACAGTGCAGGTGGAGAAAGTATGTGAACCCCTAGACTAATGACATCTCCAAGAGCTAATTGGAGTGAGATGTCAGCCAACTGGAGTCCAATCAATGAGATGAGATTGGAGGTGTTGGTTACAGCTGCCCTGCCCTATAAAAAACACACACCAGTTCTGGGTTTGCTTTTCACAAGAAGCATTGCCTGATATAAATGCCTCGCACAAAAGAGCTCTCAGAAGACCTACGATTAAGAATTGTTGACTTGCATAAAGCTGGAAAGGGTTATAAAAGTATATCTCCAAAAGCCTTGCTGTTAATGAGTCCACGGTAAGACAAATTGTGTAAATGGAGAAAGTTCAGCACTGCTGCTACTCTCCCTAGGAATGGCCGTCCTGTAAGGATGACTGCAAGAGCACAGCGCAGACTGCTCAATGAGGTGAAGAAGAATCCCAGAGTGTCAGCTAAAGACTTACAAATGTCACTGGCAAATGCTAACATCCCTGTCAGCGAATCTACAATACGTAAAACACTAAACAAGAATGGATTTCATGGGAGGATACCACAGAGGAAGCCACTGCTGTCCAAACAAAACATTGCTGCACATTTACAGTTTGCACAAGAGCACCTGGATGTTCCACAGCAGTACTGGCAAAATATTCTGTGAACAGATGAAACCAAAGTTGAGTTGTTTGGAAGAAACACACAACACTATGTGTGGTGAAAAAAAGGCACAGCACACCAACATCAAAACCTCATCCCAACTGTGAAGTATGGTGGTGGGGGCATCATGGTTTGGGGCTGCTTTGCTGTGTCAGGGCCTGGACGGATTGCTGTCATCGAAGGAAAAATTAATTCCCAAGTTTATCAAGACATTTTGCAGGAGAACTTAAGGCCATCTGTCTACCAGCTGAAGCTCAACAAAAGATGGGTGTTGCAACAGGACAATGACCCAAAGCATAGAAGTAAATCAACAACAGAATGACTTAAACAGAAGAAAATACGCCTTCTGAAGTGGCCCAGTCAGAGTCCTGACCTCAACCCGATTGAGATGCTGTGGCATGACCTCAAGAAAGCGATTCACACCAGACATCCCAAGAATATTGCTGAACTGAAACAGTTCTGTAAAGAGGAATGGTCAAGAATTACTCCTGACCGTTGTGTACGTCTGATCTGCAACTACAGGAAACGTTTGGTTGAAGGTATTGCTGCCAAAGGAGGTTCAACCAGTTATTAAATGCAAGGGTTCACATACTTTTTCCACCTGCAATGTGAATGTTTACATGGTGTGTTCAATAAAAACATGGCAACATTTCATTCTTTGTGTGTTATTAGTTTATGCAGACTGTGATTGTCTATTGTTGTGACTTAGATGATGATCAGATCACATTTTATGACCAATTTGTACAGAAATCCATATCATTCCAAAGGGTTCACATACTTTTTCTTGCAACTGTATGTGAAATGAGGGTGGCCCACCATAACTGAATAGGCTGCTATGCAATGTAGGAAGCAGGAGAGGAACCTACTACTGTATGCCATAAAAAAAAAAGTAGGTGAGATGAAAATCCGACAAAAAAGAAAAAAACAGATTGTAAAAAAATAAATAGGTCCCCCCCCCCCATTGCTATTTAGGGCCCCCACCCGCTGCTCAGCAGTGGGGGGCCGGGGGGAAGGACAATAGGTCCCCTCTCCACATTCTCATTTAGGGCCCCCACCTGCTGGTCATGGGTGGGGGCCGGGGGGAGGACAATAGGTGTGTCCCCAGCCTCCCCCCATTGTTTTTATGGCCCGCACCCGTCGCTCAGGGATGGGGCCCAGAGGGGAGGACAATAGCCCCACCCACCACTCAGAGGTGGGGGCTGGTGGGGAGGACAATAGGTCCCCTCCCCACATTCTCATTTAGGGCTCCCACCCGCCGCTCAGGGGTAGGGGCTGGGGGGGGCTCTAGGTCCCCCCTTCAGTTTAATAGCCCCCACTCACGCTGCTCAGGAGGGGGGTACTAGGTTTTTGTTTTTTTAACAGTGAGCAGCCACAGGCTGCTCACTGTTTAGTAGACATGCCCCTGTTTAGTAGACATGACAGTGCTGCTTTAAGTTTAATGAAGCAGTTTGTGTGTATAGATTATGCCTCTGAAGCTTCACTGGTCAAGTGTCTGCCATTTAGGAGTGAAATCACTTTGTTTCTGTTTATGCAGCCCTAGCCACACCTCCCCTGGCTGTGACTGACACAGCCTGCATGAACAAAACAAAAAAAAAATGGTTTAATCAGATGTAACTTCCCTTAAAAGATTTTATTTCCTGCTCTGTAAATTGAACTTTAATCACACACAGGAGGCTCCTGCAGGGTCTAGCAATTAAACAGAATTTGCATCAAATGAAGTATAAACATTAGATGACTCTTTAAATGAAGTTTATAGGAAGGCTTTGCAAGTCATGTGCAGGAAAGTGTGAATAGAATCCGTAAATAAAGTTATTTAACTCCTAAATGGCAGAGAATTGAGCAGTGAGACTGTAGGGGCTCTATACACCAAAACTTGTGTTGTTTGTTGACTATACTGTCACTTTAAAGTGACAGGAATCTAAAGGGGATTTGCACTATCAAAGGTACAGCTCAACATCCAGTGAAGAATCTTGTGTGATATAATCAGCTGGAGTCACAAGACTTCAAATATATGTCTATGACAAGCTTATCTAAGGACTTTAAAATCATACTCACTTAAAACAATGTAATTTCACCCGTCAGAAAAAAAAACCATGAATTAAATGAATTTCTTTGTTAAAATTAATAATTCTTTCTCTTTTTCCTGGTTATGGGAAAGGCCCTTACTTAGCTGTGCAATATTAAACTTTTCTCATTGATCTGATCTGATCTGATTCTGTTCACAGGGAGATCAGCAAAGCTGCTGGAAAGGAAGTGTCTGCTGTAGTGGACGAAGACGGTGGAGGAAACAACACCCAGTGAGTTTTGGGCAAAGGGTTTTGTTAGAAGCCAAAATGTCACTTAAAAAAAGCAAAAACAAGTTAATTTAAAGTTCCATCAGCACTGCAATATGACATCATCTCTATCAAAGTATGATAATACACATCCCACCCCCAACCTGTTTTTTAACAAGGAAACGAGATTAAGAGAAGATCGATAAGAACGGTAGAGCTTGTCCTCCTTTTTTAATGACCCAGGGTGCAGAGAGTCTGATTCTATTTACACCAAAGTTCATCCAATGCCATTTTTGGTGTTGGGTGAATGATGAGGGTACCAGTCTTAATGATTACAGAAGCTGTTATGAGAAATATTCATTTTATTTATTCTTATGTGAATACTATGTTTAGTGTAACATTATCTATTCTCATTCCTCTTTCATTTTTCTTTTGCCATATTTCTGTACATTCTGCCACATCTTCTCTTTCTCTGCCCCTTTATTATCACCATACTCTTAACCCTGGGTCATTCTACTTATTTCTTACAGGGCTCTGACATTTCTTTACCCGTATGGTGCAACCCTTAACATCATGAAGCCAGCAATGGCCATATTGTCCACTGGATCTGTCTGCTTCCCCCTCAACAGGCCAATCCTTGGTTTCTATCATTCTCGGGTAAATGTCCATTATCCCTTTCTTAATGTGGTGTTTTTTTTTATTGACTTTATTTTAATCTTTTCTATTCTTTATTCTGTTATTTATATTTTTACTTTTTATCCTTTCAGACACAGGGAGGAAAGCTGGCTGTTATGGGATCTTGTCACATGTTCAGTGATCAGTATCTGGACAAGGAAGAGAATTCCAAAATCTTGGTGAAACATATTTTATATACTATAACCAATGCAAAATGTAGAACACAAAATGTTAGCAGAGATTCAGCTTTTTATTATTGTTATACAAGGTGTCCACATAAACAGGAGAATAATAAATGTGAGTGTTTATTTATAATATGATAAAATACAGTTGGGCTTACCTCACTTATATGAAGTTTAGCTGGTGATTTCCATTTTATAAGATACAAACACGCAAATTTCCTATCTGTGATTGTTGGACCCATTTGTGTATTTCTTTGGGTCTTTAAAAGTAGGGGGGGGGGGGTGATCCACACATGGCCCCATCACTGTCTGTAAATCTATAAAAATACATTAACAAGGGAAATACAGGGAACAAGAATTTGTTATGAATATTTTCTTTCACTGAACACAGGAAGTGGGGGGAAAAGAAATGGAATCAATGTTTGTTGCTACTTGTGCAATGTGTGCCTTGGCTGTGCCAGGAGTTAACCGGATGGTGATGTTAATTCCTAAATCTTTAATATACTTCTAAAGAAACCGGCGCATAACACGAAAAACCAGTTAACACCAGTTATGGGGATTTTGAATGTTTTATTCATTGGTGCAATTTCTAGATATGAGACTGTAGAATATTGCATATTCTATGTTTCTATTGATTATATATGGATGTGTGGATTGACATAAGTAACAGATGGTATCAATAAGTCACAAGGCTTTCTTTGTCCGAGAGCTCTGGAATGTGGATTCGGGGGTCTTGTCCTTATATGGCAAGAGTTAAACGCTGACGTTAGTATTAGCACATCTATATAGTAACAGAGGGACACGAGGTCGCTCTCACTCTTGGCTTGGCTCTGTACAACGATGTAACTCTCCCATCAGAAGTCCAGCAATTACCATCTGCTGTTGAATGTACACTATCCTGTAACATCATTTATTATGTTTTATTATGTATCCGTAACAAAGAATAAACCTGAAGAAACCGTAAGTCAGATTGCGTATTACTACTTTTCAATAATATAGACATATATTATTGTGGCGAGCATTTGGCCCAAGAATACATATACAAAAGACGTATATATATCAATCATCTAGATTTTACAGAGACGGTCCCCCTTTGTTGCACTTTGGTTTTGTCGTTCACAAAGGTTTGTGGTAACAATGTTGGCCATCACCAATCCTACTTATTTTCCCTCCTACTTTGTCACAGGATGTGCTGATGCAATGGCTTACCACTAATGACATCCGCTTAAATCAAATCGATGCAGAAGATCCTGAGGTGAGCATTGGTGACCCACGGAGTGTTAGTGGCTGTTACTAAAGGATTCTGGGAGTAGGGTATACGTTTGGATTGGTTTGTCAGAGCCTTCTTTGATATCCATTTTCTGCTCTTTATTCCATTTAGATATCAGATTACACCATGCTCCCAGACACCAACAAACTCTCCCAGCGCCTGCGAGTCTGTCTTCAGGAAGGGGATGAGAACCCTCGAGATTTCACCACCCTGTTTGACATGAGCATCTACCAGCTGGACACCACATCTCTCCCTAAAGTCATTAAGTTAGTGATCTAACTACAACATATCCTTTCTGTTTTTTTTTGTTTTTTTTCTCTATTCTTCTACTTTTTTTTTATGATTGAATCTGAAATTAGAGTACTTATAAAAGTTATCTGACTGCGTTAAAAATTGATTCTCATAGTTTAAATTGGTATAACTGGTTTTGGTTGCCTTTTCACATAGTTTTTGTCCATGTTACAGATCATATGAGCAACTCAATGTGAAACATGAAAGTCTCCAACTCATCCAGCCTCAGTTTGAGTCTCCGCTGCCTGCTCTGCAACCTGCTGTAAGTGAATTGCATTTACCCTGTGGTATAGATCACCAATACTGCCAGCCTTGACTATTTATGCCTCTAAAAAATAAATCCATACAAATAAGATACACCTGTACGTGCCAACTTGGACTCTGCATGGGACTGATGTTTTATTGGTCACTCTCACAGCACTGACCTTCTTTGTAGCTTTAGCAAGCAGTTCTCCATTCTAAGACTGATCCATAAATCTCTTTACCTTTTGGCTGGTCATTCCAAAACATTATGTTTTGCAGGGATATTCATGGAGCTACGAAGACCTTTATGCTTCAATCCAAGGCCTAAATTTAATTAGATTTTCAAATGATTTCTTACTATTAGGGAAACTTTCCAAATGATTTATCTACAGAAGTCACCATTAAAGACAATTGGAGTTTTTGTAGATAAATGATTTGGAAAGCTTTGAGTCCTTTGCAAAGCTTATTAAATCGAGGCTCCCTAGTCCGAGAGGTATCATGCTTGTGCCATAACTAAAAAAGGGAAACAAAAGACAGATGGTCACCGCTAGGTTCCTATGACGTATGTCAATGGTCTAGTCGTGACCTGCCGTCTATAGTCCTATGACGTATGTCAATGGTCTATTCGTGACCTGCCGTCTATTTACCATCTTACCTAGGGGACACCAAACACACCCTGAATGTTTTAGATGGAGTACACCTTCCTGACAATGCTATCTTATGCAGTTTGGATGTAGAGGGGCTTTATAGCTCTATCCCACACGAGATAGGCTTAGCATATCTAAAAGCCTTCCTCGATACTACCTCAACTACTCCAAAAAGAAACAATCAATTTGTACAGGATCTAATGCGTTTTATTCTGACGCACAACTACTTCATTTTCCAGGGAAAATACTACCACCAGGTAAGAGGGACAGCTATGGGGACGGCTTGTGCCCCCTCATATGCCAACCTCCACCTGAGTTGGTGGGAAAAGACAATTGTGTTTGGGTCCCATTTAGATAGATATACCAAGTTTATCAGTGTCTGGAAACGTTATATTGACGACATTTTAATAGTATGGAACAACACTACTGAACTCTTTGAAGAATTTGTAGAAACATTGAATCATAATGATATTAACCTCAAACTTACCTTCGAAATAGGCGGAAGAAAAATCAATTTCCTGGACATATCAATTATGATCACAGACAAAGGTCACCTGATAACTATACTATTTCGGAAACCTACTGCAACAAATAACCTATTGAATTGGAAGAGTTACCATCCACTCCCCCTTAAAAAAGGCATACCAGTGGGGCAATATTTGCGCCTACGACGCAATTGCTCCACACTTGATGACTTCAAGGCTAAAGCTAAAACACTGAAAGAACAATTTAAAAATAAGGGTTATCCAAATAGATGCTTAAAAAATGCATACAAACGTACACTCCTAGTTGATAGGAAGGAACTATTGACGGAGGATTCAATTCGAGAAACCTCACAGACCATCATCTATTGGGAATTTTGATGTCGGTTGGCAACCAATACTTAAGATCCTGGGGAGATATTGGCCTTTGTTACTCCAAGATCCCCATATACATAAAACAATAACTCCATATGCCTCTCTAACAGCAAGGAGAGGACGAAACATCAAGGATATGTTAGTTCCCAGTCACCTTAAAACTACCACAAGTAAATCTACATGGCTAAAATCTCCAGTGACCGGCACTTACCAATGCGGTAAATGTAAAGCCTGTAAATTTATTCTTCAACCTTCAAAGAAACTTTCAGACTCCACGAATACATACAATTTTAATGTGAAAAAAATTTTCAATTGCCAATCTAAAGACGTGATCTACCTACTTACATGTTCATGCAAGAAGCTATACGTCGGAAAAACCATCCGCACTTTTAAATGCAGGACTCGAGAACATGTAACCTCCGTTAATCCGAGGAGACTGGTAGATACCCCTATCTCTAAGCACTTAAAACTACATCATGGAGGCTCTGCTGAAGGTATACGCTTCTGCGGTATAGAAAAAGTGACACTCTGCCCCAGAGGAGGTGATCTAGATAAAAAAATTGTTACAGAGAGAGAGTTAGTTTCTGGATATACAGACTCAAAACTATCTCACCTCTGGGCCTAAACGAGGGCTTCTCATATACACCATTCATCTCTAACTAGAATTACAGTTATTTATTTTTTATTTTTATTGTTTCTTAACTTACTCTATCGACCAGATACACTTGTATATATTATGTAAATAGTAGCCCTAGTATTGTATATATTTAAGCATTTTTTTTCAAATTTTACCAATACCTTTAGTTATGATATACCTTATATATCCCCTATTAATAATATTAGTGGTATAACCTACATTGGAATATTCCCTATCCATCTATCTCATGTCTAAAATATATATAACCAATTTACTGTATATATTTAACTATTCTCTTTAATTTTATTAATATCTTTAGCTAATTGGAATGTAATCCCTTTACAAGGATTTAAGATATATTTTACATGACAACTGTACAATATATACTACAATATTCTCTATCTACTCATCTCATGTCCAAAATATACCTGATTAAAATTTATGGTTTTGAATCCATAAAGACTACCTAAACTGTGGATCATTGTGATTTCTCTTATAACATAATTGTGTGAAACTTGGGCTAGATATTATAGACATTCAGAATATATATATATATACATATTGGGATTATAATAAATAATGGGAGTCATGCTCCTTTATGATATATAGTTATTTGAGAAATTATAAACAAGTCCGTTTTATATGGGCTGAGTGGATGAAGGATTAACTTGCAATGTGTGTTCACTTGTCAAAATCAATAAGCTTGTCTCTTGTGGTTTCGCAAATTACATATATTGCAACAGTATCCAACAAACTGATTGACCTCTGTTGATTCCACATCGAAGAAGGCGGAATGAAGCTTCCCTCCCACTTTGTCTATCAGAAGACACGTGGGACGGATGAAAACTCCCTGATTGACATTTTCCCAATACCGCCTATTGTGCACCACATAACTCATATATTAACACCCACTTCATTTTTGGCGCAATTGAACGGAGGAGCTATCCCCTTTAGACACACCTCCATTATTACACGCATTCCATTGGTTGATAAGGGACCTAGACCGGGGTAAATAAGGTATATAATAACTTTCTCAACTAGTAGCCTGTTTGCCTCTGACGAAAGTGCGCTATACATAGCACTGAAACGCGCGTAAGGCGTTTATTTTGTTTTGTTTCTATTAAATGGGCACTTAACACAGCACATTAGTTTGCCTCACATGGGTTTTCTATCTAATTGTTACTATGTTTCTTTTTGCTCCTTCTTTGTCTAGATAGATTAACAGGGAGAGAGGCTTTATAATTTAATACTTTTGCAAGCTTTTCTAGCAACATACTCATATCTTTGCTCTCTACCCTGTAACTATTTCTAATCTTTTGACGGAACGAACCCTTCGAAATGTTGCCAATAGGCACATTACTTCTATTCCAATAACTTACAAGGGAATCTACATTTGGTTCCCTAGTAATCAGCCTTTGAGCTACTTATATATCTGTGGCTATATCGGTTTATTGGAAATATATTTGGAAGAAACCACCTTCTGATTTATTTGTGGATACTTGGATGTATGAGATCTATAATTAACTTATTATACACTGCCATATTTTCGGGCAGTATATCCGTATCTCTTTTTCCTATTATTCAGACTATTTCTAAATTAAGTACGACATAAGCATTAACAGGATTATATATTACCAAGGAGGGTCCTATTATTACATGCATATTATAATAGATAGTTTCTCGATATCTAGAGCCAGACACAATAAAGCTCACATATTAGACACTATGAAACTATATACTCTCATATATGTGTATTATGGAGCATTTTCGAATTGTTTAAATTTTTCACTTCTATTACCCTTTCAATTCTAGCCACTATTTTATCTCTGTTATGACTAAATAGAGATAGCCTTGACATTCCACTTATTTTGAACACAAGTTTTTTTGTGTATCTACATTGAATATTCTACCATAACTTGGCTATTCCTATTTTCCAGACTACACAGCTTGTCACATTTGTTTGTACATTGTGACAAATATAGTGTGTGTTCATTTGTTTTCCTTGTGCCATAACTATACAGTAACATCATACAGTTCGCTTTAATGGTCCTGGCCTAGAATTCTATAATCATTGACCGTAATCCAGTGATATTTTAAGAATTTGTCATATTCTCACTTGCTAATGCCTCCACTCAGGTTTTTCCACCTTCTTTCCGGGAATTGCCTCCACCAGCCTTAGATTTATTTGACCTTGATGAGAACTTCTCATCTGAAAAAGCCCGTTTAGCCCAGATAACAAATCGATGTAAGTATGCTAGGATCTACAATCCACATTTTGTTTGTAGTTTGTGTGTGTGTGAATTTTTTTTTTTTTGTATAGAAATAAAATCCTAATCCTTCCTACTTTATTTACCAGTTTTTATTTATGTATTAATTTATTATTATTGCCATTTATATAGCCCCAACAGATTCCATAGCGCTTTACAATATTATGAGAGGGGGGATTTAACTATAAATAGGACAATTACAAGAAAGCCTACAGGAAAGATAGGTTGAAGAGGACCCTGCTCAAACGAGCTTACAGTCTATAGGAGCTGGGGTATAAAACACAATAGGAAAGGAAATCGCAATCAAATAAGGTGGGAGTGAAGCAGAGCTGGAAGTGATAGTAAAGTCTGGCCATTTAGGAGAGAGCAGGAGACAAGTATGTAAGGTAGAGGTTAGTCTGGGAGGCCATAAGCTTTCATAAAGATATGGGCTTTAAGGCACTTCTTAAATGATTGAAGACTAGGGGAGAATCTGATGGTGTTATGCAGGCTATTCCATAGGAAGGGAGCCGCCCGCGAGAAGTCCTGCAAACGTAAGTTGGCCGTACAGGTGCGAGCAGCGGACAGGAGAAGGTCACGGGCAGAGCGGAGAGACCCAGAAGAGGCATACCTAAGGATCTGTAAAGAGATATAAGAGGGGCTAGAATTGGTCAATGCTTTATAGGTATGGGTTAGCACTTTGAATTGACTCCTATGGGATATAGGAAGCCAATGTAAGGATTGACAGAGTGGTAAGGTGTGAGAGGACCGACTAGAGGGGAAAACTAGTCTGGTGGTAGCATTCATTACAGATTGTAGCGGGCAATCTTTTTGGGAAGACCAATTAGGAGAGGGTTACAATAATCCATGCGGGAAATTACTAGAGCATGGACAAGCTCCTTAGCAGCATCTTGCGTAAGAAAGGGGCAGATGCCGGCTATGTTTTTAAGATGGAATCTACAGGACTTGGTAACATGCTGGATGTGTTGAGGCCAGAATCAAGTATGACACCAAGACAGTGTGCTTGCAAGGATGGACTGATTTGGATACCACTAACTTGAAGGGAAAGTGAAAGAGGAGGATCAGTAATAGGAGGAGGGAAGACAAATAGCTCAGTTTTAGAGAGCTTTAATTTTAGAAAGCGGGAGGACATCCAGTCAGAGATGGAAGAAAGGCAAGCAGTGACACGTTGCAGGACGGCAGGGGAGAGGTCCGGGGAGGAGAGTTATATCTGGGTGTCATCAGCGTACAGATGGTAGTGAAATCCAAATGAGGTAATACGTTTGCCAAGAGAGGCAGTATAAAGAGAAAATAGGAGACCAAGGACAGAGCCTTGAGGACCCCAACCGAGACAGGATGAGGGGAGGAGGTATCATTAGAAAAGGAGAAACTGAATGAGCGGTGGGAGAGATAAGAGGAAAACCACGAGAGGACAGAGTCACAGAGACCGAGTGATTGAAGTCGTATGGAGTAGTGGCCTTTGGATTTAACTCCGATTAGGTTGTTAGTAATTATTAATTGTAACTTGTTTCCTTCTCTCTTCAGGCACAGATGATGATCTTGAGTTTTATGTGCGGAAATGTGGGGATATTCTGGGGGTTACAGGAAACCTTCCGAAGGAAGAACGAGATGCAAAGCACATTCTGGAACATATATTTTTTCAGGTTGTGGAGTTCAAAAAACTCAATCAGGTAATACTTAAGAGTGAAAACTAGCTATTTTATAGTAAAGACACATGAACATCATATTTCATTTCAAGACTACTACTTTCTGACATTTGTTTTGCCTGAAAATTGTGAGGTGGCATGTAGACACAATGCTCAGGATAGTATATATTAATAAGGAGTTAGTCTGGCCACAAATTCTGGGAATGAAGTGTGACTGAATTGGATTCCGAGCCTAAGTGCATCTTAAGACTATGAGAAGGTCCTAGAGCTGCACATTTTCACTCTGGTTTATTCACAGAGTATATTGAAGTAGCTTTCCAGATTGTCAAGTATCCAAAATACTACATGTTATTGGACCTTTTCATCTAATCAAAACTTAATCTTTGAGGAGGACACCTATTTAACCTAAATCATTGAAAATCAGGGTTATTTGAGGGTTTAATCCTGAGAATGAAGATTACAAATGTGTTCATGACTGTGTTGCACTTGCTCATTCCTCTCCTTACTAACCATTTTACTGGTTCTGTTTTAGGAGCATGATGTGGATACAAGTGACGCTGGGTTCCAGAGCAGCTAAAATCCAATCGTTTATTTACAGAATTTGATATTTCACATATTTATTGATATTTTTGTATTTTTTTTTTTCTAAATCATCTTGTCTTTGGAAACTGTAAATATATAATACATAGAGGGACCTTATTTGTAATAAATTGGTTTATATATTTGATCATGTTTTTTTCATTTGATCGAATATTCTGTTTCTAAAGGTAGAATACACTTTGTAGTACTCTGAAAATGCCTCCTGCTCTCTCTTCTTAGGTCAAAATGTTGCTGTAAGAATTGCAATTAGTTATTTAGTGCCAGCATTTTTGTGCAGCAGTGTATAGCAGGTAAAAAAAGGCAAACTATTCTTACAAAACACGTTTGACATATGGGAACAGTAGGTGACAAGGGCCCTGCCCAAATGTACTTAGTCTAAAAGGATGAGGGACAAATACACAAAGCAAAGTAAGGGAATCGCGTGATCTGGATATACCTGAAAGGATGGGAGGAGGGAACACGGTGGATAGAATAATACGAGAGCATGGACAAGCATTTTGTTTGCGTCCTGAGTGAGAAAGGGGCAAATGCAAGAAAAGTATTAAAGGGACATTAGTCACCAAAACAACTTTAGCTTAATGATGCAGTTTTTGTTTATAGATCACTCCTCTGAAGTTCCACTGCTCAGTTCTCTGCAATTTAGGAGTTAAATCGCTTATTTCTTTTTATTCTGCCCTGATCACACCCACCCTAGATGTGAATGACACAGCCTGCATGAAAACAAAATGGTTTAATTTACAGTCAGATAACTTACTTTTTATCTCCTGCTCTGTAAACTTTAATTCTATATAGGAAGCTCTTGCAGGATTTAGCAAGCTATTAACAGAGCAGTAGATAAGAAATTCCAAATTAAAGAGAATTGGCAATAAAGGAAGTATTAAAATTAGCTGACTTTCTTTACAGAAAGCATTTAGGAAGGCTGTGCAAGTCACATGCAGGGAGCTGTGACTAGGCTTCATAAACAAAGGGATTTAACTCTTAAATGGCAGAGAATTGAACAGTGAGACTGCAGGTGCATGATCTATACACCAAAACTGCTTCATTAAGCTAAAGTTGTTTTAGTGACTATAGTGTCTCTTTAACCCCTTAATGACACATGACGTGTGACATGTCACAATTCCCTTTTATTCCAGAAGTTTGGTCCTTAAGGGGTTAAAGTATTTTTGTACTATAATACATGAATGAAAGTTTGCATGTCAATATATAATAGCAGTGCTCAACATACAGTGATTTACACATACTCCAATTACATTCAGAAGACTTTTTTTGGTGTAATATTTCCTATTGGGCACTGTTGAGGCGGCTTCCTTCCTACCTGACAAAATGATCTTCCATGCCCCCTCAGTCACAGGGCACTTTATTTTCTTCAGGTTAGTGCACACTGACAGACTTAATATACACAGAATTGACATTAGCACGTGTCAGGGGTGCAACTTGCCCCCAGCACAAGTGCAAATATCAGTATGTGCAGTGTTTCAAACATCCATACTCCTACCACCACAACCACTAAGCTACTGCAGTGGTCATGATGGTTGTAATACTATTTGTGTGTGTATAAAATACACTAATGCAGGGTTTCTCTCCCACCCCCAAAAATAAAAAATGTAGACTGCAAAAAGGTTGTAACATTTTTTTTTAAAGAGACAGTTTGGGCACCATGACCACTTCATCTAAATTAAGTTATGGTGCCAGGAAGCCAGGGTGTAGTCTTACCTCAAGGTGTTAAACCAGAGCTTTCCAAACTTTTCATGTTCGTGACACTTTTCAGACATGCATCATTTTATGACACGGAAGTTGAGACTGTTCTATTTCTTGTACACGTCACTTCAGTTCCGGACGTGTTTGGACCCGATTCAGCATGCTAAGTATACATTTGTAGTGGGGGACATAAGCTGTAGTAGTAAGATAACAGAAGTGAATACCAGTTGGTTGTGGTGGTCCGGAACTGATGTATAGGTTAGGCCTGTAATAAGAGGGCCCACCCATGAATTGTGATAAAGGGGAGAGGTGGGAGGGATGAACCCAGCAATGACCGTTCTGATAAGGAGGGGGCCTGAGCTCATATAGACTGGTAACTGGTATATAGACCTCCCGCAAGTACAGACTACGCCTTTTTATGTATCATCTCTAACACACTGGCCTCTATTTACAATATAGTCAAGTGTTTTATACCCCACCTCCTATAGACCAAGCTTGTTTGAGCAGGGTCCTCTTCAACCTATTGTTCCTGTAGGTTTTCTTGTAATTGTCCGATTTATAGTTAAATCCCCCTCTCAATATTGAGAAGCGCTACAGAATCTGTTGGCGCTATATAAATGGCAATACTACATATGTTGGTTTTTCTGACCCTATATGCTGTTGCTGGCTAGAAAGGCTCTCTTCCCCCCCAACTTGTCCCCCTCTGTGTCGTTGTTTCCCCTCTCCTGTGCCTGCTCAGTCTCACCTTGCTCCATGTAGTGTGGCCAAGCAGGAGTCCTGTGGTAAAGTAGCTTATGTTTCCCTTACCCAGTCAGGCAGGAAGCACTTCAGGTTAGAGCAGGTAGGGGAACAGAAGAAGCTCTCTGGTGTCCAGCCTTTTAGGACATAAGTTCCCTAGTATAGCACATGCCCCTTGTGGCATCAGTGATACACCCCCCCTCTGCTATCTGAATTTCACTACAGTGTATGTTGGAAGATATTGGGAGGGGGAGAATGGATTAAGTAATTAAAAAATGGACCTCAAGCCCTCTAAACGCTTTACGCTGCTGTCAGCCAATTGGTCCGGTTACTTCCTGGTATGGGTAGCTCATTGGATCAAAAACGCAAGTGGCAGCCTTTGCAAATACCTTTCATTGAGCTGCATTGGGAAGTCAGTGCTTGGACAGCCACATTAAGACTGGGCAGGGTTAGAAGGGGAGGGCTTGTAAATGTTTCAGACGAGAACTGCAGCAGGTTTTGCAAGCTGTCTTCCGGCAGTGAAGGCAAGAAAACGCTCTCTTCTCTACTGCATTATTTACTCCATTAAAATATTGAGATTGCATTTACTGGAGAAGGAATTGGTATTTCATGGGATTTTAGATACAGGCAGCCAGAGGAGTGGTGAATTAGTTGGGTACCTTTCAGTCATCATAAGAAGGTGCCCCTCAGTCTTTCAAGCTTTGTGCTAAGGGCCCCAGAAGTAGTTGGTGAAAGTCATAAATTGTAAGATGGGGACTTAATGGACTGGTTATTTGTATGATTAAATCATTACTTCCTATACAAAAGATACCCTACAGCAATTTAAGCCATCAAAAGGTTAACATGATACAACAAGTCTATGTACTTGCAATCTACATCAGCCTTGGTTGTGCAATTCTGGCCACGTGTGAGCAGACAGCTGATGCAACAAAACCTTGTCCTTTGCTGGAGGATTGACTAGTACTTTATAAATTAAGGTTTACCAACATTGGTGTCATTTGAAAGAAAGTGAACTAGAATGTATTCTTTTCATTACCCCATAGCAGTGAGAGCACAACATCCATCATAGAGTTTTATTATAGATTTTATTAAGGCAACAAGACATAGGAAAAAAGTCATAAGATATATTCTACATAAGAATTGGAATGTGTTTAGTTATAGGCAAGACAACTGCAAAAGAAATAACAGTGAAATTTCTTGTTATATCATTCTTCACCCTCTTTTTAAAGACTGTGTTCTGCATAGGATAGCCTTTAGAAGCTAGAAGATAGACTAAGGATTCAATTAAGGCCCACATGCAGCAACTGTCCCAGCTGGAGAATTGGGTCCAGCTGTAACCTCTGTTTGCCATTCTCGACCAAGTTCAAAAGAAAATGCTGATAAATGTAAAGAGCGTAGTGGTGGCACAATGCTAGGAATAGGGATTTCAGAGGCACTCAACTGCCGTTGATATCGGAAAGGCTGTAGATAGGAGCGTCCTATATCCTTATGTGTTGTACCTACCCACTGAGGTGTAGGAGTAGCTGTTGCCGGGGCAGGCAGAGGTGGCTCACGATCAGAGCTACTTTGAAACCGCAAGTCAGAGATTGAGACATCTAGGGAAGGAGTACTCTCTTCTACTGCAGAATTTATTTCAGAGAGCTCCCACATTGGTGGTGCAGACTTTTGTAGACCAGCTGCACTAACCATCAACTCAGAATCTTGTAGCTTGGAGACTGGGTCATGTGCAACCATAGTATCAGAGGTCTCAAAGTTTTGTTCCTTTTTATAAGGTGTGGACACCTTGGCACCATAGAAGACCTCTACAATGGAGTTGTTGAATTGGGTTTGAGGTTCAGAAACCAAGGATGAGAGTTCAAAGACTGTACTATCTGGGTTCAATGAAGACCTGTTTAGAAGGGGCAGATTTTCTTCCCCACCTAGCCACGGCTTTGCTCCTCCACTAATCAGTGGTGTTGACTCTGAAACTTTGAGTAGGTATGGAGACTCCCCATGCTTTGGACGTATCCGCTGGTCCCACTGCTCAAGCTGAGCAGGACAAGGAGAGGAACTGTTTTGTGCTCTAGCAACAAAACCCATGTCCATTATCTCTGTGATTGTGAGATTGGAGGCAGACATTACGAAACTGACTCCACTACTATCCCAGCCAGAAGACATCTTTACTGGTCTTTGATTCTTCAAGGTTACAAGGAAATCTAGGAATTAAGAGAAAAAAAAAGATATATAAAGACTAAGCTTGCATACAGCAACCTCTGCATCAGATTTAGTAATTTATTGAAATATCATATCTGCAAACAGTTAAGTAATGCACATTATTAGAGTCAATAAAAAGTAAAAAAAAAAAATCCTTATTTTGGTTCAACATATTAGGGTCATGCATGCCACCAGTGGCCTATAGCTTCCTGACCGATCAAGCTCGTTGTCCCATTTATTTGCTTTTCTTGGTCAACTTCACGATGTTGAAACCCAGTGTATAATCTGCTCTTCATTCTATAATTCTCAGTTTGTTTTTTTAGTTTTATTTTTAACACCAATTACAACACTGAAAAATTTTACTTTGATGTACACTTTGTGGCTCTGTATGCAAGATATTTGTATAATTGAAAACTAGCTTTGCACTCCAACTTCCTGGGGGAGTGGGGAAATAAAAATAATCCCGGATTTGCACTCTTTTAGTATCCGTTCTTTTCTGATCTATTTCACTTTAATTCACGAGACAGAGCAGGGACTATTTCTCATGTATGTTTCCTACAGCTGATAAATGTGACAAGAAGGTGGAG